CCATCGTCCTCCGCCCTTGCCCCCACCTCCACCTCGGGCGCGCCACGCACGTCGCCGTCGACATCGCTCACGTCCGGTCCCGGCGCCACCGCCCACGGCAGTCTCGAGAACTCCAACCTGCTGCGCCCCAGCTCGCAGAAGCCGGACCCCAGGACGAGCGCCTCGCCCAAGTCCGACCAGGTACATCTCTCACCACGAGCCACGCCGCTACCGCTCACAGGCGCAGCGGCGATGGCCGAGATGAAGCGGCGGAAGCAGGCAGACGGCTCGCGCCAGACGAGCCCAAACCCACAGGTCGCAGCGATGCAGTCCTTGCTAGGTACCGGAGGTATGAGCAGACCCTCTGACGCACCAGCACCCGACAAGATGAGCTCGCCGTTGCGCAAAGTGGCCGAGAAGATCAATATTCCTAATAGTAATGCGCAAGCAGAGCAGGAACAGGATGTCAGTCCGGTAAGCCTGGGCAGTTTTGGCTCGACGATAGAGGGCACCAACTCCAGCGCCGCTATGACCGCCACAGCAAACGACCAACCCAACTCAAACTTCGTGGCTGAGCCGGCAGAGCTCAATGATGGAGCAGGCTATGCATCGCACAACGGCAACCTCGCCGTACAAGACCACAACGACAAAGCCTTGTCGCTGTCCTATCCCGGCCCACCACAACAGGATGGACAGGATGGCGGACCTTCGCGCAGTATGACTCTGCCCGGCATGGGCCAGAATAGCCCGAAATCGCCTGCATCGAACAAACGACACAAGTGCCCGTATTGCGCGACCGACTTCACTCGGCATCACAACCTCAAATCGCATCTTCTCACTCATAGTCAGGAAAAGCCGTACGTGTGTCAGACATGCCAAGCACGCTTCCGGCGTCTGCACGATCTAAAGCGACACACTAAGCTACACACCGGAGAAAGACCACATACGTGTGACAAGTGTGGCCGTAAATTTGCCCGGGGCGATGCATTGGCGCGGCATAACAAAGGACCAGGTGGCTGCGCGGGTCGTCGATCCAGCTTTGGAGGCGAAGACGACGACGGTGAGGGCTACGAAGGCATGGATGGAGTCGAGTACGAAGAGGGAGTTGATGAGCACGGTCATCGCAAGAGCTCTAAGAGGCAGCAGCTGGAAACACCACAGGACGCTGACAGGTCGGTGTACCGCCAGCACTCGAGCACATACCCGCCAGCACCGCGTCAAATGCAAGGCAGCATGGGTCCACCGCAGGTCGTCCATCCTGGCGGTGCAACGTCGCCACGCGAGATGTCTGGACAACCCAGCCCAGCTGGAGGGCAGGTGAACGCTTCGTACTATGGGCAAGGCCAGGTCTTTGGCGAGCCAGGCTTGATGACTTCTTCACCTAAGCCATTGTCGCCAGGTCAGCCGCACGACCAGCATCGCTTGAGTGTTGGCGACAGCAACGGACAGCTCGGTCGTAACAGGTCCACAAGCTTGACGACGCAGTTCCAGCAACAACATTTTGGGCGCGGCAGTGGACCTGGGGTCCGATCACCGCCACAGCCCAACAACCAATTTGCTCCGAATGCGAACCAGGTTCAGCCACAGCACACCATCCTGCCACCCCTAGGTAGCCAGCCACAGATGCGTGGTGCGCTGCCGCCTGCTGGTCCGCCCAATATGATGCAACCATATCCAGCTACAGGTATGGCATCCAACCCAGGCAGCTTGTCTAGTCACGGCCGATCCTCCGGAAGCAGCATGCGCGACATCGCAAACCAAGGACAGAATCAGAGCTCTGATGACATCTGGACATACGTGCGCACTCTCGAATCAAGGCTCAGCAGAATGGGCGATGAGTACGAATTGCGCATCAGTCGCATGCAAGAAGAAATCATCTCGCTGAAGCAGCAACTCGGGCAGCTATCGAACCAAGCCAGCTACAGTAGCGATATGGCGCGGCAAGGACCTTACCCATGACAATTGATGTCTGCCTTCTGCCATGAACGAAACAACGATTGATGATAGACCACCTGGATGGCTGAAGGATGAAGATGAAGACGAAAACGACTACCGCAACATCACTGTACAGTACGACGCGTCATCGATGGGCAACGCTCAAGCAATATGAATGGAGCTTGTTATCGACTTAGAAGAGGCACATCTGTGATACCAATTGGGATGGAAGCATGGAAGTACTGGCGTTTTGCTTGATCGCGAAGGACTTTGTTAGAAGTCAGTCGAATGGGAAGAGGAAACAGTGTGTGACGTGTACTACTATGGATTGGAATGCACAGCGAGGTGGGACGACGGACGGCGGCATGATTGCTTTGACAAAAGTGAGCTCTCCGTGCCGGAATTTGTTTTGTATCTTCGGTCACAATACCCCCCATTCGCTTCAATTGTTTATATATAGTTCTGGACGGATCGCTAGAATGGCGCATGGATCTGTAAGAACATAATGGAACTCATAGACGAAGATGGGCGTGCTGCAACTCTCAGCACTTCTGTGGCTGCGTAATGTACTGTGGCTTTGATATTGTACTCTCGTGACAAAGACCGGTGCCTGCACGAAGCTGCAAGGATTCGGACCTGTCTGCGTGATGCAGTGCAGCTGACATCGACGACATGCTGCTCCTGCGACATCCGTACGGCGAGGAGAAGATATTTGCCTTAATTCCCCATGGCAGACCGGCCAGTGCATCGTCGACATGTGCGGGAGGTGACGCTGCTGAAGAAGATGATGCACAGTACGTCAGAGCAAGAGCGACCCCTGCCGTGCCGATTGGACGGCTCCCTGCAGATGATCGTTCCTTGCAGATGTGCCCCCCAGAATCGAACCACTTCGCGACGACGGATTACTACGACTTTCCCAATCGGACCACTGACGACCTGCGCCATGCGGGAACAAGTCATCCTGTGGCTTTGACAGTCGTGAAGCGGCAACGAGAAAAACGAAAACAGGCCCTCGAGCGCTATACACGACTGGAAGCCAGCATCATGGCCCCAACAGCAACCCACACCAATGGCAATGGGGTGAATGGTCACGCATCCAAGACCAATGGACACGGGCGACAGAATGGGCACGCAACATCACAACATTTGACAGTCTCGAGGTCACCGCACAGCCGCGAATCGGACGACGAACACTCGCGAGCATCTTCCCCTCGATCGACCAGCAGCAGGCACAACATGCGACACTCACGGAGCCCCTCGAATCCTCTCGCCCCGCCCTTCATCGTGTCTGCACCAGGCAAAACCATTGTCTACGGCGAACATGCAGTCGTACACGGCAAAGCTGCCATCGCTGCCTCCATTTCCCTCCGATCATACCTCCTCGTCACGACACTGTCGAAAAGTCAACGATACGTGAAATTGCAGTTCACAGATATTGGTCTCGACCACACATGGCAGATCTCCGACCTACCTTGGAAAGAATTCGCGCCGAAAAAGAAGAAATACTATGACTTGGTCACGAATCTTGATTCAGAATTGGTCGAGATCATGCAGCCCCATATACAGGACATTTCGCCAGAAGTGGAACCGGAGAAGAGGAAGATCCATCAGGCGGCCGCCTCGGCGTTCTTGTATTTGTTCTTGAGTTTGGGTAACGATAAGAGTCCGGGATGTGTATATGCCATGAGGAGTTGCATACCCATCGGTGCAGGGTTGGGCAGTTCGGCGAGCGTGAGTGTGTGCATTGCTGCTGCTTTGCTCATTCAATCGCGAGCGCTGTCAGGTCCACATCCAGACCAACAGAGTGAGGAGGCGGAGAAGCAGTTGGAGAGGATCAATCGATGGGCTTTCGTTGGGGAGTTGTTGATTCATGGAAACCCATCCGGAGTGGATAACACTGTCAGCACGAACGGGCATGCTGTACTATTTCAACGGAAAGACTACACGAAACCACCTAGTGTTTCTGTCATACGCGATTTCCCAGAATTGCCTCTACTTCTGGTCGACACATGTCAGCCGAAGTCCACTGCAGCGGAGGTCGCAAAGGTGGGCAACTTGAAGAAGACACATCCACTCGTGGTGGAGAATATTCTCAATGCGATTGATTCGATTACGAGAAGCGTTTACGAACGACTGGAGAGCGACGATTTCGATTCGGGCAGCAAGGAGAACATCCAGCACTTGGGCGAACTGATGAACATAAATCATGGACTGCTGACAAGTCTTGGCGTTTCACATCCTCGACTCGAGCGGCTACGCTATCTCGTCGATCAAGCCGGTGTCGGGTGGACGAAATTGACTGGCGCTGGTGGTGGAGGTTGCGCAATTACGCTGCTGAAACCTGATATTGCTCCTGTTGGCAATGGGCGAAACAATGGCGACTCGCAACTAAATGGTGACGCGAAGTATAGCAAAGACGGAGAGGAGTTGAGCGGCATGGAGCAGCTTGATCGAGACCTGAAAAAGGAAGGTTTCATCAAATATGCTACGACGTTGGGTGGCGATGGTGTCGGCGTACTTTACCCAGCCGTCATCAATGATGAGGAAATCGATCTGGAGCTATTCCTGACTGTGGAAGGCCGCGAAGGCGTCGAAGATCTGGTCAGCGAGAAAGGCGAAGACGAAGTTTGGAAGTACTGGCGTCCATAAACCCAACGAGCCCAGATTCGAGCAACTTGGTCGATGGGGAAAGGAGTTCTGGGACGGCTTTCTGATGCATACGCTTGGTGCAAGGATTTTGACATATGATATTTTCGCGTGAAAACAGTCGACAGCGAGCGAGCGAGTATGGAGTATGGGCCTGCGGGTGCTGGCAAAGAATCTGAGAGAGAAAAGGAGCAATCCGATCGATTGCCTTGTTTATGTATGTGTACTTTACGGCCGGCCCGCAGATGTCGAGATCCTGTGTAAAAGTGTGTTAATGCATATATCTTTTCTGCACCCAGCTTTCCGTCCTCTATTCCGGGCGTGGGAAACTCATGGCAGGTACAGAAGGCCGGGGCAGCTGAGGGAAGTCATGAGCTGGAAAAATCAGCTGAAGGAAGGACAGACATGATGAAATTTCAGCACCGCACATGTTCGCGACAAATTTGACAACGCCCATTGGGATGACGGTCGAATGATGGAGGACGGCAAGACCAGGACACGCGTTCTTTCGCGAAGACTGCGCTGCCCTTCCCGTCAGGCTCTTGTCGCGACTTCCATTCGTTGTCTGCCCGGTCCACCATCACATCTTCTCCCGTTTCCAAGACCACATTCAACTCTTCAGGACCGCGATCGTACGGTGACCTACAGAGAAGTAGGAACATTCCCAGCTGACTTGCAAAGATCGAGATAGTAGTTGCCTTCGTCCCGAGGACACGACTGACGGCAGGTTTGGCCACCATATCGGACGGCCCTTCTCGCTCGTCACTGGTCAATGGCAGGCTGACGAAGGCTGTCATCACGATACTAGCTTGTGGGTTAACAGACTATGTCGTACAGCACTCCTCGTGACTACACACGGCACATGTCTGAACATGCTGAATGGCCCGGACAACACGACCAAGAACACGACAAGAGTGGTACACTTGCTATCACGCCCGGGACCAGACCACAAGGCAGTCCAATAGTGTCACGCGCCCTGCTGACATCTGGAGACAGCTCTTGTACTCTTGTACCGACTTCGGCTCTGCTGAATGTGCCGAATGAACATCAACAGTGTGCCGAGTCTTCAGCACCGGATTCGACGAGAAGGCTTGCCGGGCCACTCGAGCTCCCGACCAGTCAGACTGTAAAGTCGACATTTCTCCACAGCCCGGCGAACCTCGTGCTCGCCATGTGTTTCTTGTATGCGAGTAAGAACATCTTGGCTCTTCCATTGGCGACATTGAAGCGTCATTCCGTACCATCTTTTGCGCAATCGGGCGCTTCCTCCGGCCACTATTCACATCAGCGGCTCGCTCAGCCCGTTGGCGATACTTGAAGCAGTCTAGATATGGACAAAAGCGTCACCAACCTGGTGTAAAGAGGCTCTTCCCGCACCATGTGCTACTGGCGATGAGCAAGCTACTGGCTGGCTGCTTGCTGTTGGCTCCGGCAAGTATTGAAGCTATTCTCGTCTTGAGCGTCACGCTGGCTACGTACCTATTCTCCAACTCGTGACGCGCGCCTAGCGTCCACCAACTCTTCCCATGTGCTGGCAATGCCTTCTGGAGCATGTTGGTTGCGACGTGCTTGACGCCGCATGCTATATACTGAACAACAGAAGACTTTCGTGGCGTCTGCACGGCGCTTGCCATCAGCATAAAGGCGTGCTGTGCCTCATGTCGAAGACGTTCCTCATCACACTCAAAGAGGTTTGACTTTCGACGTTGGCTCCACAGAAAGCTTCCTCACCACCGGATCCTGGCAGCCGCAGCAGCTCTTGTCATTCGTCACATCGCTGAGCCTATCCACGCCCCGGGCTACTCTCCTTTCACCTGGGACGTGCTAATTTCTGACGATCTACTACCAAGCACTCGCGTCCTCGACGTTCAGCGCGGCTGAGAGTGAGAGCGTCAGGCCATCGGACTCACCGACGCAGTCACTCGAGTGCTCTCTCTTTTTCACCCAAGTTCAGCCTTGCTCCGGTCAGAATTGGACGAATCACAGTCGGGCGCCTACGAACAACAACTTTCAAATAGCCGCCCGCTCTACTGTTCCTCCGCGCCGCTCGTTTTACGTCCAATCATAGCGCTGCGGACAGACGCTAGCAAGGACCCAGGCTGTTGGCACAGCCTCCTATTGGCCTGGGACTACTTCACTTGCATGACCTCACAGGCCCTTGCAAGGTGGAAGTAAACACTTTCGATTGCTGTCTGTAGGCGCCGCACCAAGAATAGGTGGGAAGCGCTTCTGCTGCAGCAGTCTGTCTTGCATGTCTCTTTGCGGGCAAGTCGCAATGTGCTTTGAAGCACCGGCCGGCGTCAGGTAAGCATCCACACCAGAAGATTCGCTTTAACCCCAGGGCAATCTCCCTCTGGAGCTGCCGCTCTTCTCCCGCCTTCTCCCTCACCGAGCATCGCTTATACTGCTCGCAGGTCTGGAGTGTCGTCGTCGTTGTTGTCGCCGATTCATTTATTTGATTCTTCGGTCGCTTCCTCTCGCAAACGACGACATCACACCATGGCTACTGCTACTTCGTCCGCCACTATGGCTGCTGCCGGCTTCGAGAAGAAGTCGACTGCCAATACCGCCTCTCTACCTACTCCAGGATCGGGCACATTTCCTTCGGAGCTGCTGAGCCCCATGGTCAGCACCCCGGCTGCTGCATTCGTACGAAAAGATGATGCTCTGCGTACTCCAATCACCCCACCTTCGGCTTATCTCGACTTCCTCAAGAACTTCTCTCCAGCCGTTCAGAGTCCGGCCTCTGCTACCAGTGCGAAGTTCAGCTTTGGTGACAAGAGCTTCGACAGGCCTTTCGACAGAAGCAACTCAGATCCAACTGGAACGAAGTCAAATATCACCCCACCAACATCTCAGCCATCTCTGTCTCGACATACATCCTACGATTCGAATGGAACAGACGCCAGCGCTGCAACAATCAGCAGCGCCGTAGCAAGGTCCAACAATGGCAAGCGTCCAGAGTCTCCTCGCGTTATCATCCCACCCTCGCCTTTCGCCAAACCAGCACCACGATCAGCTCGCACACCACGACGACTGCACATTCCCCAGTCACCCTTCTCACCAGCACTCGCATCAGCACAATCAGTACCATCACCGTACAGCAACACACCCATGAGCGCCGCACCATGGAGCGCATCATTCTCCCCTCGCGAGCCTCACACAGATATTGGTGGGCCATCTGGCAAAGTCCACGTCCGCCATGTCGTTACACGCACAGTCACATACTGCCGAACACCACTCGATCCAGCACCGAAGGGCAAGAGAAGAAAGATTGAAGCAGAAGACGATGTCTCATCATCCAAAGCTTCGTCAGAAGAGCCGACTCCCTCAATAAAGCAAGAACGAATCGAGACGATTGACGAAGAGTCGTCTGCGTCAGGCGAAGCATCGGGATCTGCCTCCGAGGCATAGAATGCTATGATATGGCATCGACTGCCACATTCTCGACGCGATCATCATCGCACCACGACGTTCGACTTCGCTTCTTCCCGACCACTACCACTACCTACCACGACTCTAATGACTGTGCAAAATTTCGACATCACCAAAACGACGACAGAGCCAGCTACTGCAGCTGACAAATGCGAAGCCCTTTGTGGCTCGCTGATTTCTATATCTCATTTGACGAATGAACGACGACTTGAGAGAGGGAAACTTTTTACCACTCGATTGTTTTTGCTGTGCTACGCCTTCTGATCAGCCTGGCGCAGGAGAGGCGTACCGTTTGAAAACAATGGAGTTGGGAGTTTCTCATTCGCGGGAATGATTGGCCGCGAGTATACAGAGCCCTAGAGGAGTTTTGCGATGGAATGGGTCTTTGTACTTACTGCTGCTTTTGTTTTTGTTCAGCCATCATCGCTTCGCGAATAGTGATAGCGACAGCCATTTCTTTTATATTTCAATCAAGCGAATTGGAAGAGATGTGGGAGAGATGTGGGAGAGGGAAGGACGCAGAAAGAGGAATAGCACGCATGGTAGCTGACTGTGGAATGCTACCTTCACAATTCGAATCATTCAAAACATGCCAGATCTCTCCTGTTCACATATCTCGCTCAATAGCATGCGTCGGCAAGATGCATCTCTGCGTAACACAAGTCGTGATTGATTGGCCCTCGCATCAATCTGAATCCTGATCCGAATCTGAAACGTCGCATCGCTTAGGTACCTAGGTGGCTTGTTTATAAAGATCTTAGTTGCTCGGATGAAACGTTTCGAAAAGGGAACTGTGTCCGTGCGGTGATGTGGCTGGTTTGGGATGAGGTTCCGAGAGAGTTTGATGACTACATATGCACTGCACTGCGCTGCATGAAGTTGTTGTTTGTGGGCTGTGGGTTGTGATGCACAGATGAGAGGAGAGAAGGAGAGGGTAATATTGTGGTGTTGCTGTGAGGATGTGATGCAGGACGCGTGAGTGGGAAGATTGGGTTGAGAAGTTGAGAGATTATGTACGCACTGCAGAGTGCTGCATTGCATGGAGTTGTTGTTTGTGGGTTGTGGTTTGTATTGGAGAGATGAAAGGATGATGTTGTATCATTGTGGGCTTGTGAGGATGTGATGCAAAGTGTGCGAGTGGGGAGTGAGGAGAGTGGGTTGGGAGGTTGAGGGAACATTGAAATAAAAACGAGGTTGAGAGGTGAGTGTTCTTTTTTGCGATGAACGACGAGAACTATCTGCGAGTGACAGTTTCACTAAAGAGATCGAATCTCCTTGCGAGCTTCAAGCTCTATTCGTAGACCCGACAGGTCTTTTTGCGGGTATGTCATAGAGGATGAGAATTCCCGTATGCGACCGGCCCGCACTCTTTACGAAGCTCCTTCGGCGAGTCGTCTCTTCTTGCGCGTTGTAGCCTGATTGGATCTCCTGTCCACAGCCAAATGCTCTCTCTGTCCTGCCCAACTGAGCGACTACTCATGCCTCGCATTCAGTCTTCTTCCATCACCTCATCTTTCACGACCTTTTCGTTCAGCGTCTTGCACTCCTCTAGCAATGGCAGAACCTCCTTCGTCAATCTCGACTTGGCCAGCAACGTAGCATCGTAGATCGCTTTGGTTGTCGTTGGGTCCATTTTGCTCGTTTCCTCGTGGGTCTCGTACCTGCTGTCGAAGTCCTCTAGCACAGCTGTCTTCAGTGCTTCTAGTCTCTTTCTGACGTTGCGAACCCATTCTTTGCTCGCTTCCTCAAGTCCAGTCTCGGTTCGTATTTGCACTCGCTCGAAAAGCTGGTTCGGTCCCTTGAGGCAGATCTTGTCACGCAATAGATGCATGCGATCTCCATGTGCACTGTTGCCTCTCACAAGCTTGTCTTTCCTGAATTTGGGGTAGTTTCTCTGAGAAAGGGCGGCGGCTTGGAGGTAAGTAGGCTGGAGTTCCTCGTGGACATAAGATTCCTTGTCCTTGAAGGTGGCACGCCTACATACGAAGTCCAAAAATGGCTTCAGCTCTTCCGCAAAGTCTCCGAGATCTGTGTCCAATTCGTCGCTCTGGTCAGTGATCGTTTGTGTTAAGGTGTCGCCTTGCTCTCCCAGGGATGCGATGCTCGCGTCCTCCTTAAGCGGCTTGAGGATGAAGTCTTTGATGTGGTTGTTGAGGGTTTCCATGATGGCCTCGCAACCAGAGTCCATCTGCTCAAAGGCGTAAATTACAGGCGTGGCGAGAAGACTCTGAATTTCATAGTTCCAGGCCTTGATGCCTTTGCTGTCTTTGGGCTTCCAATAGCCTTCTTTCTTGAAATAGGCATGCACAGTAATCGAATGCCACTGCGCCCACTTGTCGAGTTTGGGTCCAGCTTTGGATCTCCACTCGGCCTTATTATCCTCAGTGAATGCCTGTGCGAGATGGGACCCGAAGCGACATTTCAGCTCATCGGCAAGGGCATTGACAACATGCTCGATGCCCGCATCAAACCTGTTTACGATGCTAGCCCGAACATCTCGATGCATCTGTCCTGGCGTCTTTGTGAGAATATTGTTGATTGCTTGGAGCTCCGAAGGCAGACGTTTGGTGCAGGTTCGCCACATGACTTCGAATCTCTCTCGGGCGGGCCTCTCGAGAAGTAGCTGCGCTATTGCTGGAACACCAGTGTCTAGGAGTGCATCTTCGCTCATTTTGGCTCCTCCTTCCTCATTATGGTCATCGAGGCCTTTTGTAGTTGTAAAGAGCACTTTGAGATCGGGGCCATGTCCTGAACGGGTCAATTTTCTGATCTTGTCCTTGAGCTCCAATCCGATCTTTCGTTGCGATATCGCGCGTACGGCACGAGTGACCTCACGAGAAGCCGTTGCTTTCCGTAGCTTAAGCTCTGCTGGATCCTCGTTGAATTTGCTGTGTTGTTCCCATTGCTGAGTATCCAGCAGCTGCTGCTTCTCCTGTCGTAACTTCTCGGATTCCAGCTCGAGCTCCTCCAGCCGCTCTTCAGCGGACTTGATTCTCGCTTCATCCTGCTTCGAAAGTTTCTTCCGCTCAGCTGGCTTCAGGGAAGACTTCGAGAGATCGGTCTTGGTCGCAACCAAATATGCGCCGTTGGCTTTGCCGAGGGAAATGATCGTGGTCAATTGTGAATTGAGTTCTTCCCCATTCGCGATTCGAAGCACTGGTGCAACTACAAGTATTGTGCCGGCCTGTGAGAGATACGCCAAGGTATTGTTAACAACGAACTCGTTCGTGTCAGCAAAGCCTGCAGTGTCTCCAATGCTGACACCCATATCGAGCAGCTCAATGCCCTCGCAGTACAGCACGGCTTTTCTGACAAGCGGCCAAAGGTGCTGGACGTCTGTCTCTGCCGATGCAGGTTTGATCGTTTCATGCATTGCATCCTCCAGATCTTCCAGACTGTGGACGGCGCAAGTCTTTGCGCTTCTCGAAACGCCCTGTGCCCTCATGAAGTCCGCAATGTTGCCATATAGCGCTTTGATCGTGTCGTCGAGTGCCAGAGCTTCAAAGCGAACATTTCCGTCAAGGACGGAGTCCAAGAAGGCTTTGAAGTCGTCCAAATCTGCGACTTCGTGCTCCTCATCCTCGCCATCGATGGTGAGCGTCAGCGTGCTGCTGTACAATGTCGTGTAAAGCATATCGTACACAGTATTGTACTTCTTGCGTTGATCTGCAACCTCTCGATCGTCCACCTCTTCGTCGGCATCCGACTCCTGAATCTTCAGCGCGAGGTATGTATGAATTGTGTGACAGTACTCACGCAGGCGTGCCTTGATCTGTTCCGGCGTATGAAGGAGCACTTCCAGAACGAATCTGTGGCTTTGATTCTCGCGCCTGCCTTGGAACTCGAGAGTCGTATTGGTTCCGCGGCTGGAATCACTGGTGATCGCTGCGCCTGGCAAGCCCAGCAAACCGTTGACAAGCTGGGACTTGCCGACGCCCATGCCTCCGATCAACGCGGCAGGCTTGGGCACAGGATAGAGGAGCTTCAGATTCTTGCTCGAGTTTATAGCTCGACATTTAGCCTTTATCGACTCGCTCGCTCCACTCTCACACTCTTGAACTCGTGTCAAGAGCTGCTCGCAGATGTCGAGGACTGTAGCCTCCACCATGGGCACATTTGGGTGACACCAGGGGAAGTGCCGATGTGTGGATGAGTCAAGAGGGTGGCCGCATCGAAGCCGGCAGGAACCACTATCGTCACTGGCGATGTCGAATTTGGTGCGCTTCGTGTCTGGGACATGTTCCGGTGGTGAAGTATCTGAACTGTCCTCTTCTTTGACAAAAAGCGGCGAGGTGTGACGGCGCTTGCGTTGTTCTCCAAGTGACAGGTCAGGAAATGCGCTGGTGACCTTCTTGCTCGGCGTCGCCGTTGGTTGCGGTTGCGCTTGGGGTCGCGCATTTGCAGTATCGAGTTGTGGCATCTCATCGCCTGAAGGCGTGCGGCCACGTTCGTGTTGGGCCATCATCAAGTGGTGCAACGGACGAGAAGTGTTGTTGTTGTTCTTGGGAGAAAAGATTGATGCGAATCGGAACAGGCGAGCTGTAGGCAGAAGGGGTATTTAGCGTGCATGTGAGAGCTGAAGAATGGAGGCAGGACAAACAACGAGCACTTCACTTGAGAAAGTCTCACTCAGTGTCTGACACAGCATCTTCCAGACTCCCAATACTCTTTCGGATAAGCACTGGATTGAGTGACAGAACATTAGCAGAGTGTCATAGCAACCAACTAGGCAGTTCTGGAGAGCTTGAGAAGTGAAGCAGAGGAAAAGGCTAGAACCCGCGATTCAATGCACCATGTTGGATAGTGCTACAGAATGTCAATAGCCAATAGCCGCTACCCAGCCACCAAACCAAGGTGATGCTGAGCATCAGGCAGCCAATAGCAAAGTGAAAAAGAACGCCAGAATCGCAAATGCAGAGCACCATGTTGAATGGCGCTACAGATCGTTTGCAGCCATACGCCACAGATCAGCTGAGCACCACATCGTGATGCTCAACATACTGCAGTCGACAGCGAGCTCAGCGCGAGAGTCCCTCTCTACCCTTGCAGTAGACGAAGTGAGCGCCATTTCGAGCCCCACATGACGGACACCTGATGAAGGCATCGTCTTTGAAGAGTTTCTCGGTAGAAGACTGAGTGCGGATCGTCATGGTGACTGGTTGTGGTGAGTGGAGTGTTTCGGTATTGGCTTGGAGTTCCGTGTTGAAGACTTGTTCTCGGTTTGCTGGTATCGGAGATGCAGATCTGTGTTCTGGTGTGGGAAGGAAATGGACCGTAGCCAGCGCTCAATATATAACTGCAAGGTCGTCGTCTTCACGCTGTCGAAGCGGTCAATATGTCTTCACGAAACTTACAGACGGGTCGCAACCACTCTGGGTTGTGGTCTCTCAGCGTGGAATACATCTTGCCCGGTGGCAAAGCAATTTCTTCACACTCGGAAGAGGCGGCTTCGAGCGTGAGTAGCTCAGCACATTGTACTACATGGCTCAATGTAAGCCATCCGCCAAAGGCGCTCTTGGTGTATTCACTGTCGCGATAGTGGTAGCGACGTCGAGAAGGATGAAGAGCGACTTCGCCGCCTCAGGCCATACGCCAGCTCGTCCTCGTCCTTGCACCCGCCTGCAACACCGCAACAAATGCTCTCGGGTCTTCGGTTCGAGTTCAATCGCGAATGTACCCAGCTTGCCAGCGTCTTGGGATGCGGGAGTTTGCAGCATGTGAGATGACAACCTCCCTTCGGTGCTGGCTTCGATGGGCAGATCCTGTTCTCTCGACAATGACTTTGGACCATTCCTGCAATAGAGTCCCTGCTCACCGACAATAGCTGCGAGAAGTCCAGCCGCTGAACGGCGGAATACGTGAAGACGCGTAAAGCTTTCGCTCAAGCCTTTATCCGCAGTATAGCCATAGCACTAGCAATCAGACCAGGCGTGTATCGTTTATTAGACCAGTAAGCGCCGCTAATGGCAGGTGCCGCGAGAAGCCATATGATAAATTTTACTTGCAGCATCCAACAATTTGCTGTCCACTGGTGGTGTGCTTCAAAGCGTGTTGTGTCTGCTCCGCGGAGGTGGTCTGCTCTCTTTCTTCTTTTCCCACTCTTCCTGCGTAAGATTTGCAGAGTGTATGCAAGCCCTGGCCTCCGACAACGTCCTGAGTTTCATGCTCGCTGCCGCATATCGGTGTCATGTCCGATGTCTGAGGCCTGAGGTGTTCCAAAGTTGGTATCAAAGCTCTTTCATTTTCGCAAAAGGTTCATGCACGCGCGTTGGCAATGACGCTCACATTGTGCATGGCAAAACTCTATTCTTTCTGTGGCCATCGCGATGGTCGTCGCAGCAAGCAAGGATGGGTTGGAGAGGTGGTTCGGAGTCTATCGTGGGATTCCTGGTATGGACATGTTTGCGAGTTGAGTCTGTTGCAATTGCGCGTCGCGGTTAGAGATATCAGGCGGCCGCGTTCGTGGTCCCGATGATGCTCTGTGCTCGGCGCTGATGGCTTGCGCGGATTGAGACGTAAGATGGCACGCGTCGCGATGGCCAGTCAGCCTTGGATGATGTTCTATTTTCAAAGGTGCCCTAAGTTAGCGATATCAGCAAAAAGGCAGGCAGCTCAGCCTGTGCCCACGTGCTTGTGTCAAGTGAATTTAACGCCTGGACCAGCATCGAGGGGTCTTCGAATCAGTGGTTTCACGGCAATCAGCCAGACAGGGATGTGCCAGCTCGTCCGATGGTCAGCCGGGGGAGCTCACGTCTCGTGGTGAAGTGGTTGTGAAGAGACATCCAGATCGCCGCGCAGTCCGTCCTGCTGTCTGCTGAAATGCTGAGACTTCCGCGGCATCCGCGCCTCGTGTTGGAAGTATGCAACACATCGAGCACTTGTCGCGATGGCGGCCGTGTCACCGCAGGCCCAGCATCCCGGCGATGGAGGAGAGCCAGCAGCCTGTCCCAGGCGCTGCGCATGGGACCACTGTATTCCGGCGGACGGGCGCTGGTCCGATTCTAATAACACCATCGCCTGCTCGAAACGATTACTGCTGACGTCCACGAGGGTGTGCGAGGGAAGCAATTCCTCAACCGTTTGGGCGATACCTGCTCGAGGCTGGCCGGTGGTGGTGAGAGTGTTTGTGTTCCCGCCAGTTGGGGCGCCCCCGTCGGCGATCCATGACTTGCCGAAAATAGGCTAGTTAGTCAGGCACTGTGTGCATATTCAGATTGGGTTGAGGCGCGTACTGCGATGGAGAGCTGCAGGATCAATAAGGAGCTGTCAGAGTGACCGCATACTGCTCCCCAAACACACGTTTCCAGATGCTCACGTCCGAAACAGACGCCGCTGCACCGGCTGCTCGAGTGGCCGTTCGCAGGGAGATTTGCAGCAGCGCGAATCGTCTGGGGGGCGCGCGCGCGCAGTGCCTCGTGTCTGGGAGGCTGCGCACACGGCCATCGAACGAGGGCGGAACCAGGTTGTAAAGTTTACGCCAAGTACGAAAATCCACTCGTCATGGGTCTGCGAGACAAGTATCCTCCCTCCACACATGCTCCCTCTTCCACTTGCCCCCATGACCGCATTGTGAGCTGCTGGTATAGAAGGCACGTCGACTGACAAGGTGCTTTGTTGTTTCACAAGTGCGCTGCGCCACGGAAACATGATACCATAAGGTCAATCGCATCGACTTTTATTTGTTGTTGTTGTTGAGGCAAGCTCCCGCTTCGCTCGCTTCCCACTTTCGCTGCATTGCACCTACTGCAGAACGACCACGAACAAGAAGCCATTGTTGCACGACATCTCTCCCTACCAATGCAAGTGTCGTCCGGGGTGCGACAAAGAGATCGAGCACGCGCTTACATTCCACTCCAGATCCGCTATCAGCAAGCACCTCGCTCTTGCATCACCCCGCATGAAGGGCGCCCAAGCCTCCACGATGGAGAAAGTCCTGGAGACCATTGTGCCCGACACGGGCAAGCCCGTGCTATGGGGCGCGCACAGCAACAAGGCCAAATGGGAGAGCACCGTCGGCGTGTTGACGCTCATAGTAGGCTGTCCCACGTTGTGCATCATGAACTGGGTCGCCCTCGAGCAATTCGGCGGCTCCCTCACCAAAGCCATTGGCGCCGCTCTTGATCATGGCCCGGTTCTGTACCTCTTGCAAAACCTGCCCCGACCTACAAAGGACGCAATCATGGGTTACGCAGCCTGGCTCCTCTTCCAAGCTTTCCTCTACGGCTTCCTCCCCGGCGAAACCTGCTATGGCCAGAAAACACCTGCCGGTTACCAACTGCACTACAGAACAAACGGCCTTCTAGCCTGGACTCTCACCCACGCCCTCTTCATCGGCGGTGCCTGGTACGGCTACATTGACCCCGCCATCATCGCCCGCAACTGGGAAGGTCTCCTCGTAGCCTGCAACATCTACGGCTTCGTCTTGGCAATCCTCGCCCAAGTCAAAGGCCACCTCTTCCCCTCTCACCCCGAAGACCGCAAATTCAGCGGCAGCTGGATCTACGACTTCTGGGCCGGCGTCGAACTCAACCCCCGATTCGGCTCCTACTGGGACTTCAAATTCTTCCACAATGGTCGTCCGGGAATCGTAGCCTGGACTCTCATCAACTTATCCTGGGCCGCCTACCAATACCAAACAGTAGGCTACGTGACCTACTCCATGATCGTCCTCAACATCCTCCAAGCAATCTACGTCGTCGACTTCTTCTGCAATGAAAGCTGGTATACCCGAACGATCGACATCAGCCACGATCACTTTGGTTTCATGCTCGCCTGGGGAGACGCAACTTTCTTGCCAACGTTCTACACCTTGCAAGCGCAGTACATGGCCCGCTACCCAACTCACTTGTCCGAAGGCCAAGCGATTGGAATTCTGGCACTCGGTCTGCTAGGCTATTATATCTTCCGCTCCGCAAACTGGCAACGCGATTACGTCCGATCAAAGAAAGACGAAGCACGAATCTGGGGTCGGCCAGCAGAATTCATTCGCTGCAAATACCACACGAGCGACGGAAAGGAGCACGAGAGTCTGCTTCTGACTTCAGGCTGGTGGGGTGTGGCGAGACATTCCAATTATCTTGCTGATCTGATCGGAGTAAGTCCTGACCCCACCCCAATCGTTCCACGAATGACAATTTACTAACATACATGAATAGTGCTACGCCTACTGCGCAACCTGCGGCTTCGACAACATCCTCCCCTGGTCTTACCTGGTTTTCATGAGCGTCCTCCTCGTTCACCGCGCCAAGCGTGACGAACGCCGCTGCCGAGCCAAGTATGGTGAGAAATGGGACGAATATTGCCGTGCTGTACCCTATACGATGATACCCGGCATCTTCTAAATCCACTCTCTTGAGTAAGTGGAAAAGGAAGATGTCACTGGAGGAACTGAAATGAAATGGAAAGGCAAAGGGCCGAGGCGAGAGATTTTCCTGGTTTACTTCTTTCGACTTTTGACTCGACCTAACAATACAACATTTACATTATAGACATGTGCTCACGCGGGCACTGCATATAGTAGTTGATCACCTAAAAAATTTGTTCTCGTGTTGAGAGTCCGCTTCATTGAGAGCATTGAATCGAGACGGTTGCGATGTAGTTGGTGTCCCTTCTGTTGAGAAACAAGCAAGTGCCTTTCGAGACAGAATAGCACTGACTGCCTGCAAGTGATGAAGTGAAGTTCCCCAAAACGTCGTACACAGGAGGTACCACACTAAGCAAGCATGCATGCATCCCCAGTGTCAGGATTCGTGCATGAGAATTGAGAAAATCAAGGCAAGAAGGCAACACTATATACAGGATCAGATCGGACCATGATCGAGGTTCTAGATCATCCATCCTGCTGGTCGGTTGGAAGCGAGCAAGTCTGTGCATTAGTTGTACAACCTGATGAGCGTCATCAGCCATCAGCCGCGGTAGTACTGCTGGAGAGTGGACAGTTCCGTCGACGGTGCTGCCGGGAGATGGGAGAGTCCTTTCGACACGACACTGATTGTGATGAGATGAGCGTGACATTCGACGATAGGAGTGAGGTCAAGTAGGAGAGTAAGCAAGCAAGCAAGCGAGCTTGGCCTGGAAGTTCCAGCTTTGTGTGGCTCTGGTGGCAACATCCAGGCCCAAGCCACATTGTGCACATTGTGAGTTGAGTGCGCCAAATGCGCGACCATGCCGAAGAGTGAATATGCATTGACGATTGATGACTGGCTGTCGTCGACATGATGCGGAAGTTGCGTTAGTTAAGGATGGGTGTAAGCTGTTTCATGTGATAAATGGTCGCGTACTCTTGACATACGTTTGGTCACGATGTTGGGTCATCGGGTGGCTTTCATCGGGCAGATACTGAAGAAACGGTCCAGACTGAGATCGAGCTGTGGCTTGCAGGTAAAGGAGCATAGTGGGTTGTTCGAGGCGTCAGCAGAGGTGTTCGGTAGAACTTGCTCTACTCTTGAAGTGTCGACTGCTGAGCTTGCAATATGGCTTTGAGGCTTTCAGCCTGGAGCGCTACAGGCCGCAAATTTACCTGCGCTCAAGATGTGCCGTGCTTTTCGGCCACGGCCAGACTGATTATTACCAGATGGCGTCGTGCTGCCTACCGTGTGTGGCCATGACTGTGTACATGCGATTGTACCACGTCAGAGATCTAGCCAGTCAAGCAAGCCTGGGTGGATGTGGGAATTGAGTTTCTCGTGGATGTTCGAGTTCATCGAGGAACGCATAATTCCACGGATTATGCCAGCGGCTTCTGTCGGACTAACATACGCTGGTCGGTGTGTGATGCTGTCGATGTCGGTGGTTGTAGTTGTGGTGGCGGGGATGCGGGAGGGCAGGAAACTGAAGGTGCTCGTCAGTCGACGAAGGAAGAAGACTTGGGGGGTGGTAGTACCTACCTCTCTCACAACGGAAACACCTTTTCGGGCTCAGTTTGATGAACTGGAAGGCACAGTTGTGGGTTCTTACCTCTCTATTAATTTTGCGATGGCATCGGCTGTGGACAAGTCCACAGCCGACGCCATCACAAAATTTACAGAGAGACTCGGAGCTGGAACTGGGGCTGGAAGGTCCGAGAAAGGAGGGCAGGGATGATCGTCATTTCGACATCGGGCCAGCCGCTTCTACGCAGCGCACGTGTTTCGTGTTGAGCAACCCACTTTGTTCACACTCCGAAGCAATGGCCTGGCGTTCTTTCATTGTTCAGCAGCTGTGGGAAGATGACGTCCGTGCCGAATGTGCAGTCTTTGAACAGGAACAACCTGAAACGCAGACTCCAATCAACGATGTTGTCGCGGGATGGCAGAGTGCGTTCGCCATGGCGCAGTGGCGCTTGCGGAATCGCAGCGTTCCAGCCTCCCGCAGAGTCCAGGCCCGCCATGGACGCGCTTCGTTCAGCCACGCCGGCCTGGGATGACGTCTCGCGGCGACGGCGGGGAACGTGGTCCGTCTGCTGTTGGAGCAGGCCCAACTCTGCGCAGCGAAGAAGTGTGGAGAGTTACAGGCCAGAGCGAGGACGAAAGTCAGAATGCGCGACTGTCCGCGGTCGTGCTTGCTGCTGCCACACCGTCAACCTCAAAGATCCGCAGGCTTGGCTCGGCGGGTTCGAACGATGGCGCGAGTGGATCCCCACAAGCCACAACCTGAGGATCCATCGTTCATCGACCGGTCTCGATTTTGCGCCTCGCCCGCCCGGCACCATGTCACCGTAGCTTCCTGCGGAGGGAGGATGAGAAAGCGCTCCGCCGCGCAGCTGCACACTATCACCGTCCTGTGTCAGACATCCACAACAACACCACGCCCTGCCAACGGGTACTGCGAAGACATTGCACACGCTGGACGCTGTCAATCCGTTCGCTTGGCGCTAACAAACGGTGCCGAACTGACTGCCATCCCCGGTGGAAAGAGCGGCCGGCAACACGAGCCTCTGGAGATTTCACCACATCACCGCCTTCCTCTTGCCTATTCCTATCTGAAGCCCTGTCTACGCGGCACAAATACGCCACGGACCACACTCCAGGACATCGTCTTCCGCAGGCCATTCACTGCTCAGCGATTGCGCAATCCTAGCGTTCCAAATGGTTTCGCTAGGCCTCTACGACTTCTAGGAATGGGAAGCGGTAGAGACGACACTGCCATGGAGCGTGAGACGGTATGCTTCCCCAAGCATGGCACGCAAAGCGTTTTGCAGCATGGAGATGCAGGATTCCAGGATGAAACCCTTCGCTGGTACTCCAACGCGGAGAGCACTGCCTTGGAACGTCTAATTGCATTGAAGCGTGAGCTACGAGGGACTCCACGAGACGACTTCTGGTCTGCAGTCACGGAAGGCATGTCACAGCTTTTGGGCGCCGACATCTGTTTCGTGATGAAGAGAGTCTTGGTCGATGAGCAAGAAGTTCCCGTCGAAATGCCACCCATGGGAGAACCCGGTAGGTCAACGAACAATGGGAAGGAAGGTATGCAAATGTTCTTGCTGACGTGTTTCAACGATAGGGAGCTGCATCATGGCTGCCGCTTTACATTACCACGCCACGGATGGCTCCAAGAGTACTGTCAAGTCGACCAAGTTTCACGCATATGGCTGTCCTTGTGCGTACATGCGACATGACAAAGTATTCGTGATCCCAGAGAAACTGGGCGAATTCATCACCAATAATCCTAATGCTCTGCCTACGTCCTGCGAGGCATACATCGCTGTGCCACTGTTCGATGATGGCAAGTGCTTTGGTCACTTTGGAGCGATGTGGTCCGCCGAACGCGCAGCACAGAGGCAACTATCTTGGGCATCGATCGAAATGCTCATGCACTCGCTGGAGGACATGATCAGCGCCAGGTTCTTGGAGGGCGCCAACTTCATCGCGCAAGCCAAACCCACAGCTCCGGAGAAGACCCGAGTTATCCCTCATGATGCAGTGACCGTTGCACAGTCACTACGACCATACGCCGGGAGCTTGTCACACGAGCTGAGGACTCCTATGCAAGGCATCGTGGGTATGCTGGACGTCATGTACACGACCGTGGAGGAATGCGTCGATTCATCCATCGATCCAAAAGTGAAAGCCGTCTTCGAGCAGCTCAAGCAAAATATCGAGATAGTGCAGGACAGCTCACGAAGAGCAGTGGAAGCTGCAGACAACGTCGTGCACGCCTATGACATGGACATGTCGCTGCCTGATGCACCCGCTCCGCTCCTCGATGAGCCGAGCGAATCGTACTCGCCCTTCACGAAAACAACCGACAAGAGGCCTGAGATCATTGTAGCCGGCAGCAACCTACCTCTTCACCGACCCAACAAGCGTCGTCGAGACGAAGCTTTCAACCAAGGCTCGCGCAGTGCCAGCAATGCCAGTGCGTATTCCAAAAAGGTTCCAAAGCTCAATCGAACGCCATCATCATGCGCACGCTGTGCAGGAGACAGCGATGAAGTGAAGACTGGCTTGCAAGAAGCCGATGATGTGCAGAGGCTTTGTGAGTTCGGCGCAAAATCAATGACTGCTGCGACGGTGGAGAGCGCAACCATGGTTACTAGCAGCAACTTCTCTACACGAATCATTGCCCCTGGACTGCGACACACTGGCTTGCGCGAGCTCGTACAATTCGTGATCAATGAAGGCCTGAAGGTTGGTGGGCGGCCAGATTCCACGGTTGCGAATGACACGGAGACCGGCGAAGTAATTGAAGTACGGAATAGAGGATCGGATGGCGAAATCGGTCAGAAGCTGATTGAGTGGAGCATCGACCCGGCTGTGCCAGTCTCAATGTTCATCGACGAGAAAGACCTTAGCAAGCTGATATCGTGCGTTTTCTTGAACGCCTTGAAGTTTACAGACAAGACCGATGGCCGCATCAAGATCATTGCGCGAATGAGCAAGACTAACCGCTTCATCTCGATCAAGATCTCGGACAACGGACCAGGCATTCGCGCAGCGTTCCTTCCTCATTTGTTCAAGCCTTTCTCTCAGCAGAACGGCTCGATCACGAGGTCGAGTGAAGGTCTAGGCCTAGGATTGCTGGTGGCAAAGGGTATTGCGAGGAAACTCGGGGGTGACCTGAACTGCACAAGAGCTGTGACTGATGGTCCTCAACATGGCTCCGAGTTCGAGATCAAAGTGCCTTTGCATGCGGGAGAGACCATCAGCCGACCATCGTCGCCATTTGCATCACCTATGCCACGCAGAGCCGAAGCGAGCAACAGTGTGTCACCTCGATTCCGCGCACTCACTCCCGCGCCAGGCAGCCCGCGCTCATCATCACGCGCGTTGCACGAGGTGGTTGGTGAAGAGGCCCAGACCGACAGCCATGAAGGCTCGGAAACGATGCAGGCGACAACGCCTCCGTCACCGCGCTCGCAGATCGTGCACGTCACTTTACCGGATGCTGCAATTTCATCCGATAGCGATGATCTATCACCGGCTCCAACTCCAGATACGACCCCAAGCCCGACAGGAGAAATCCTCAGGCCAAAGCCTCGCCCACGTACCTCGGATTCTGCAAACACGATCGATCGCGAACTAGCCAAGAAGTACCCTCTCAGGTTCCTCGTGGTAGAAGATAATGCACTCAACCGCAAGATCCTGGTTAGCATGCTCGGCAAAATGGGCTACCAAAACATTCTCGAAGCGCACAATGGAGGCGAAGCAGTACGACAAATGAGCGCATCTATTGAAAGCCAAAACTGTGTCGACGTTGTGCTCATGGATATTTGGATGCCAATCATGGATGGCTTCGAAGCAACGCGGCGCATTCTCACAATGGCTGGTTCGCGGAAAGTTACCGTACTTGCTATCACCGCCGACGTGACTGACGGCGCCATGGAACGAGCTACTGAAGTCGGCATCAAGGGCTTTATGTCTAAGCCCTACAAGATGACTGACTTGCAAAGGTTCATTCTCCAATACATTGTATCGGACGAGGAGGTCGCAGCAAGCCCGACTCCAGCATCAACCGAGATTTCGGTGTCGTGATCATATCCAATGAGCGAAGCATACCTGTGCTTCGGAACTCCCGGCGATACAAATTGACAGAAACCGGCCAAACCCCACGGGTCTGGTCCGAACAACACAACAACGTGGCTCACGCACAATGAGCAGCCATACCACAACACACCAGAAAGAACAGAGAACAATTCTTGTATACACCTTTTTAAATTATTTGAAGACACGCGGAATGATTTGAAGAAGACAAAAGGAAGGAAAGAAATAGATACCCCTTGAGCCGCAGGTTGTGCTCAACAGGATGGGAAATCTCACGAATATGGACGGAAGGAATGGTTTACAAACACTTAATCTTCGGCTATTAGGGTATACAGGAAAGATCTTTCTTGGAAGAAGGCCGGTAGACATGGCCCCAGAGGTGTATAGAGAGCTTTGATAGCTCGGGGTTGGATGAGTAGATATTGTGAATAAGCATAATGTGCCTACTATTGCTGTTCTGTGCAAATTGTTGGTTGGTGGTGGGATGACGATTTACTCTCGAGGCGGTTGCGCTTCGTTCTGGTGTTAATAAAATCTCTCACCATTGCCGAAGGATGCTTATAGGCAAGATTCTCAGCTTCCTGAGCTCGAACGCAAGTCCTGCAGACGGAGGAGGCTGCAGAGTGAAAGTCTCCCGCCAAAAGCGTGAAACAGCCCATGATATTCGCATGCATAATAGCCGCTTCTGCGGCAGCTCTATACATATCTCTGATCGGTATATTCTATCCTGTCGTCTATTCTACACAAAGCCCTCCCCAAACTCCCTCCTCCACTCCTCAATAATCTCCACCGAAATATTCGACCCTCCACAAACTTCAATCACCACAATCTCATCCTTTCTCGGCGGTCTTCCGAAAGCCTTCTCTAATCTCCCACCATAACACAAAGCAGTGTTAATACCACAAGCAGCTTCTACTAAAATCTTCTCGTCATCCCATAATTTCCAACAACCCATTGCGGCTTCTGCATCACTCAACACAACGCTCCGAACTTTTCCTTCTTTCACTCCCTGATTAGCTAACTCAAACGCCCGATCACAAACTCTTGTGGCGCCGAGAGATGTTGCCATAGACGTAATCCCATCCAACGTGACCATCTCCCCCTTCTCCAAACTTTTACTCAACGCATCCGCTCCATGAGTCTCCACAACCAGCACCTTCGTCTTCTCTTTCCAGGCTTCGCCTTGTCTTTGTATACCCTCCATAATCCCCGAAAACAATCCTCCACCTCCTACTGAACAAATAATCCAATCCGGCACCTCCTTTTTCCCTTCTTTCATTTGCAATTGTCTCCCCAATTCCTCAACCAACCCACTATGCCCCTCCCAAACATCCACATCATCAAACGGATGAACACCCACTACTTCCTCCCCTTTCTCTTCCGCACATTTCTTCATCACAATATCTCTCATATAGCTATCTGCTTCTTTCCAACTTTTTCCTTTTTGGATCACTTCTTTGGCTCCTGCTTTTTGAAGTTTTGAGATCATGTGGGGTTTTGTGCTCAATGGTACGACGACTGTGCAGGGTCGAGAGATGAAATTTGAGGCGTGGACGGCTGCGAGGCCGGCGTTTCCGCCTGAGGAGCTGAAGAAGTGGAGGGACGAGGGGTGAGGGGAGTTGAGGTAGGTTTTGAGGATGAAGTGCCCAAGGCCGCGGATTTTGAAGGAGCCGCTTGGTTGGAGGGAGTCGAGCTTTAGGAGGATGCGGCTGTGCGTTTCCCTGAGTTAGTATGGCGAGTATGGGAGAGGGGAGTTGGGGAGGGAGGATTTGACTTACCATCCTGCTGCTTTGGAGAGCTTCTCGCTTTCAATGAGAGGTGTTTCTCGCCATGGTTTGTCGGTTGGTGGGGAGGAGGTGTGGGGTTGGGTGCTTTGGGGGAGGATTGGTGAGACTGTCATAGTGGTGATGGCTCGTAGAGAAGATGAGGCTGAAGGACAAGGGAAGCACAGAGGAGAAGGTGGTATGAAGTGGACCTATCTGTACAGGCGAGCCGAGTCACCGTGTCAAGCGTAGGGCGCTGGATCCTACTGTGAACAGCTGTCGAGTTTGGCTGTGCGAGGTTGCTGGCAACCTGTGTTGAAAGGGTCTTCAGCTGATTTGCGGTGATCTGGTGTTTTGTACAGGCAGAACGTTGCTCCTGCAAGTATGGCGAGATGTTGTTGTCATTCTCACACTTGGCCAATGTTTTGGGTCGGGACTGCACGTCTTGGCAGGTCGACAACTTCTCGCCCTTCCACCACTTCACCATCTCGTTCTCAGTCAGCCCGTGCCCGCTTCTCATCAGTTTCTGGCCTACCCTCGTCACATCAATGCTTCTGAGCAACAGGTGAAGAGCTGCATTGGCGCTCCGTTATGCAACGCCTGGGATGGCGGCTGCGAGCATGGGTATCTTGGGAGCCCGTGAAGCCTCGCTCGGCATCGTCTCCGATCGCCGGTCAACATTTGAGAGACGTGATAACTCGACATGTCCAACGACTGAACTCGAGTAGCAGTCATGGAGACGACTCAAACATATTGGTACAAGACAGCAGACGGAGGGCTTCCGATCTACATCACGAGTTGGAACGTTTCCGGCGAGTCAAAGAAGCCGCCATCCGGAGTGGCACGTCCTTAGAGCAGCGACACAAAATCGCTGCCGAGGCTTATGTATCTCCAATCTCAGAAACCGACCGTCAAGTCGAGAGTGAGCTGAATAATTCATCGAGTCGACCAATCGAAGTTTTGCAGCGATGCATTCAATCTGGTCTGGCTACCCCTCACGTAGTTCATGCATGCCTTGAAGCACAATATCGTGATCAGGCGCGATACCCACGGAGGCAGCGTTCACAAATACACAAGAAACAACGCGAGGAGCAGCTGGCACGTACAGCTCTGATATATATGTTGCAAGATCCTGGCAAGTGGACCTCCATTATGCACAAAAACACGGCTTTCGTAGACAATCTGTGCTACTTTGCCGTGATCGAGGGCTTGCAGGACACTATGATTCGCTTGTTGAAGATTGAGCCTGTACTGGATAATCCTTTCTGGCGCAGCAAAGTGGCCACGGGCCTCATCAAAGCAGAAGACCAGCTCGACACCGACTATTGTGCCGATGCGTGCCTAAATCTCATTTTCGCGCTGTTGGACATACGAGAAACCGAACCCACTCGACTAAAGACCCAGCAACAGCTACATGGGCCCACAAAGGTGCCGGTTCCTAAAACATATCATCTGCTTCGAGGCGCAGAAATCAAATTACGCGTCATGCTCTCGCGCTTTGAAGCACCGTTGGGCTCGTGGAAAACGAATCCGGCCCTCTACGAAAGATTCTTGCAGTACTGTATGCACGACATGCCCAATGAACGGACATTCTCGCCGGAAGAAGTTGAATGGCTTTATTCGGACCTTCAGCTATCTCACCCATCGGGATACAATGAAGGGCCTGCACTCAAAATGCTCGAGAAATATGCCAAACTGGGGCAATATGCCTTCCTACCTGACGAGGCCCGGCATGGTCCCCACATAGCACAATCGATTGCCAAGTTCGTGAGACGAACCGCTGACGTGGCTGAAGCAAACAGCAATATGGCTGCTGCGCGCTGGGTCTTCAACACATTTGAAGCGGAGTACACCAACGCGAAGCCCAAGTCATTGGAGCGACTTGAGGTCCCGGCGAGCAGGTTAGAACGCTCTGCCACGTACGTGCAGCGACGACTGATCAATGCTTCGATGCGCACAGTTGCTGCATCGAAGAAGTTGCTTTCTGATAAGGTGGAAAGAGCGCCTGCTGTGCGAGTAGCATCAGATCCTACGGCGCACGCTGCCAATTTCCAGAACACTTTGGGCACGGCGCTCACAGAAGCGAGAAAACGAGAGCCTCAGAAGCGCGGATTTGGGCTCTGAAGGTGGCACAGCCGAATGGTCGGCCATGCCATCGCATGCTCGCTCTTTGCATTCTTGCAGAAAGAACAGATATTGACATGTGTTTGCGCAACTTAATTTCCTGCTGAATGTGGTATGCTATACTGCCATCAACCAGATCAGACTTGATGGAACCAGCTCGAGCTCAAAGGGCTATGTGCTCCACCACAAGCAAAAGGCAATTGTTCTGGGCGCGGACATGTATTATTGGCTCATATATCTACAGCAAGAGGCTGATCTGCGGATTTGAAAGGACTTCTGAGTGCTTCTGAAGGCAGAGTATCCGCCATAGATTCCCGTTGCCGCCGAGGAAAGGTCTCCAATGAGACTGACTATGCAGCGCAAACGTGATGAACAGTCCCAGTGCTGAGCGCTGAGCAGAATTCTAACGGGGCCCCTGACGATGCTGTATTCGTCGGTTAGGATTCCAAGTTTCACAGGCTCCTGGTCTTCATAACAAAGTATTGCGCACTTGGTGGAACCATCTGCTGACGACCGAGGACGATCAGATGCCTCGGACAAAGCATTTCTCGTTTCAATTCTAACATGCCTCCACATATGTTTTGTGGGTAATGCCTCATTTCAAAGAATCGAAGCTGCCTTCTGCTGACTGAGACAGACCTTGATAAGGATCGTGGTGCAGTTTCGCAATGTTCTCACTCATCACTCTTCCCGTTTTATATCATCTATAGCCTTAGCAATCAGTGTACTGGTTGATTTACAAGACGATTGAGTTGCAGAATGTTGTATTCGCCTCTCGCAATACATTGCGCATCTATTGCTGTCTATCCGAAACATGCACATCTCACACTGCGTCCTCAATCATACCAAATCGCATTCATCCCAAACCCAGGTTCCTTAATATCCAAATGCGCCACCCTTCCCAAGAATTCATCTTTCCATCTATACACTTCCACGAAACCCTTCTCATCATCGCACAAAGCAACCCATTCATCACTCCACGGGAATGGACTCACGGCGTTTGAATGCCCTCCACTCGTCGGTGTAGGATTGAGACAAATTTGTCGTTCTATAGCGCCGTCTTTGCTGAGTTTGAATGCTGCGATGTACCCTGTCAAAGATGGGGAATTCGAGCGTGAAGTGGCAAAGAGGTAGTTTCCGGAATGTGATCGGAAGACCACGTCGCTGCGGTACATTTTTGGGAAAGAGGTGTCCATTCCTGGTGGGATGAGAGGGTAGGATTTCTCGGTGTAGGTTGGAAGGTGTGTGTTGGTGTCAATGGAGTATTGACATAGGCGATTTCCTGCTTCCATAAGAACGTAGAGGTACCCATCATTCGGAGAGATCTCGACCCAGCGAGGATGATCATTTGGAGCTGGAGCTTCAATGCTACCGACTAATTCGAGTGTCCCGTCTGAAGGGTTCTTCTTGTGAGTCCAAATTTTGTTGGACCACATGTCGGCTGAGTAGAGGTATTCTTCTGCAGAGTCGAAGACCATGCCGTGGATTGCGGAGCGTTCATCCAAGGGGACATTTTGAATGTTTTCTGCTAAGGCTCCGGATGCGTCGACAGAGTGGACGTTGAGGAAGCCGGCGTGGTCGTAGAAGGGGTTGCCGTAGACTGCGTAGGGTGGTTTCTGTGCGGCCAGGACGAAGATTGCTCGGGTTTTGGTGTCCGGTGAGTTGGCCAGAGGGTGGCCGCCCATGGGGAGGGATTTGGTATGGGTGATCTCAGCTGGGGAGGTCACTTGGTAAGAGCCCCATTGTTTCATTCCAGCGCCGTAGATGTTTTTGCGAGCATGCTGGTTGTGTTCAGTCAACGTGAACTTTTGCTGGCTTGTTCACTTTTGGGTGACATGTGCTTACATCGAATGTCATCCATGATATCGGTTGGTCCTCTGGGATCTCTGTCCGCTTGACCAATTCCAATGTAAGCTTCTCGTCATCGAATGCAACAGTAAAAATTGCTCCAGGCGGTGTCCTAGCAAGCAGAATCGTGACTCAGTATGCAATTCTTCCATGTTCAAATTCTTCATCCTCCAGTCATAGCAGAAACAAAATCAAAATCGAAGATCTAGAATCCTTTGCCAACGCATGCGGTCTCGAATCATGTCTGCCCCATAAATTCCCATACCGCTGGAATTTCGGAAGCGCCTTCCGCGCCCAATGGTGGACCTTGAGAAAAAGAGAATGTGGATAATTTCTGCTGGTGAGGAACAAGAGCTTTGGCATGGGCAGCCATCGAAGCGTTCTGGATTTGTGAGTGACGAGGGGATGTAAGAAAGTGACACATACCATGTTCCGATCATGAGATGGTGCTTCATGGCGGCGGCTACGCTTGAGTGGAAGGTGCGGTGAGAAGTGAGAGATGGTGATCTCCTGTGTAGATTTCGAAAAGAACGAAACATCAAAGAAGGGAGCGATGTGTACTCTTACCTTTTCAGTGGAAGCTGGTTGTTTAATAGATTGGATAATATCTTAACCGCATTTTGATGCCGAAGCTGGCTCGTTCGTGATGGCGTGGGCAAAGCCTTCGGGACTCACTCCACACTGCTCTGGTGCTCCGTGCGCGCATGCCGCAAATTGAGTTTAGGCTTACATGAGCCCTGCCGCGACTCAAGGAGCTGCTGTGCGGCCTGCGTCTCGAGAGCCCCAACCACCTCGAACATTGAGCGACAGACTCCGTCTTATATCTCCCTCGCTGCTCATCAATAGCCACGAAGGACTTCCCTCTCTCTCGATTCAGCCAAGCCTCGTACCTGATCGACACAGGTCCCAACCAGCCAACCCGGCCTCCGCCTCCGCGCGCAGACGTGTACCGCACCCATTGGACACACCGACCCTTGTCCCTGTCTCTCACGCAACGCACGAACACGCGATACCGGCCAAGATACGCGCACAAAGAACCGAACCATGGGCCTCTTCGACACCAACGGCAAATCCTACTACACCTCCTCCACCGAAGCCTTCCTCAACCCCAACGCAGGCCATGGCTCCTCTCGCCGCGGCGTATCCCCAGCACGCTCAACCCGCAGCGTAAAAACAGCAGGAGGAGGAGGCTACTCCGTGCGACCCAGCGCTTCAAATCCACATTCACACTCCCGTCCAACGTACGCGCGAAGCGCAAGCGGTTCGATTTTTGGGAACTTCGGCGGGAGCGGAAGTAATTACGGTGGGAGCAATTTTGGCGGATCCTCGCGTAGTATTTTCAATTTTGGAGGAGGAAGTGGTGGATCATCGTACTACAAGCGAAGACCACGAGATGGGTATATCAGTTACCTGGTGCATAAATTGCAGAGGATGATCAAGGAATTGTGGGCGTATGCGAGAAGACATCCTGTGAAAGCTTTCTTTGCGGTTGTGGTGCCATTGTTGAGTGCTGGAGGCGCGATCGGTGGCCTATTGAAGCATTTTGGCATCAGGATGCCATTGGGTATGGGTATTGGAGGAGGTTCTTCGAGAGGATCGGGCGGATACTACGGGAGTCGAGGGTATGGTGGCGATGAAGGAGGGTGGATGGATGCTCTTGGTGGAGGAGCTGGATTGATGGGCAATGCGGGGAGTCTGATCTCGGTCGCGAAGATGTTTATGTGAGGAAGCATGATGCCTGCGTGCGTGGAAGGAGTTTGAAGTTATGGGATTACGACAGTGATGAAAAGTACGATTATTGAGATAGGACAGGACAGGCGCAAGCTTGGGCAGGCCATGGTTGCCGGTAATGAGAGGATACCCAAAAGGAAGTATGAGATTAAATAGTATGATAAAAACTCTTTCCAGAATTTACTTCAGTAACAACCTATTCTCATGCTCTGGCAACATCGACAAGAACTGGAGTCCGTCCTCCCACAACAAGCTTGATGCAGCCAATAAATGCTTCCTTATTCATACCACAAGTTGCCATCTGGACGGCCCACTAAGCATATTGATGCCAGGGCCCGGTTGTTGCGCTCGTCTCCAGGGCTCGCAAGCTGTAATCGACGCAACACGTGAATGGCGCTGCATTCACTCGGACCGTGCTTCAAGTTTGCGGGTATTGCTGGCGCCTCCACTGGGCCTACATCAGCCACTGCATATCGCGGTATCGCAAATCCTCCACGGTCTCGTAGATGAACATCGCAAACTCATCCTCGAATCGGCCTAGAAACGGAGTATGTCCAGCATCGGCTGCAAACTGATGAGCTGCTGATCGAAGGGCCATCCTACTGCTCCTCTACTTACGCATCTCGTGCACCTTCAGGATTGCTCCGATACTTTGTGAGTTCTCAATCACTGCGTCTTGCCATCCATGTGGGAAGGCCCGATCCTCGCCGCACTTCACGTAAACCGACGGAATGAGCTCGTAGGCGGCATGATCGGTTTGCTCGCAGTAAGCCATCCAAGATTGACCGAGCAGATTGCTAGCCCATAGGTGAGCTTCGTCATCTGGCAGGTCATTGAATAAACATTTGGCGGCCCCAGGAGGATTCTTCATGAAAATGAAAGTGCCGTGCTCCTATGGCAACGATTAGATGCTATGCCTGACTTAGATGAGCTCGCCAAGGAGTGATCGTATTCCCGGAAGAGCGAGTGGTTGTAGACTTTGTTGCTTGGCTTGAAATTCATTGTCGTCGGAGCGCCCCCTTGACCCGCCGCTTCTACTCACCTCAAAGACATGGCAATCAAGAGCAATACCGCCGAACTGCTGCAACACGGTCAAGCCTGTCATCAAAGGCATGGCAGCGATAAATATGAGTCCCCTGACACACGTGCTCGCGCCTGCGGCTGTGCGAGATCGAATGTCGAGGCCTTGAAGCGCATTGTTGGTCGGACAGCCAGCATAGCCGTGAGCAATGATAATTACATCTGTGCCTGCCTGCAGGGCTCGAAGAGTCGCGGCATGAATCTGACTAGTGTCGTCTCTGAGGTTTTTGCGGCCAGACGGGTCCTCCGGGACCTGAGTGCTCCCTAGCTCGAGAAATTCACAAAGGTAAAGCTTGAGGTGGATGAGCTTCGCATGCAGACGACTCCAGTGTGAGGGCGCGTAGAAAGAGTCACAGATGAAGATGAGCTTCACGTCTCGAGCGGGCGGTATCGCTGTATCGGGTCTCTGTGCTGGGGCGACCACTGGTGGTGTTGGCATGGACAGCCGTCTCTCCTCGATCTGGTCCGCCAATATTGGCGTTGTCAGTTCTGGGAATAACTGAAGTAGTGGTATTCGTGCGTTTCCCTCCATCTTGTTGAAGCGACCTCTGGGGTTTCTTTTCCGATGTCGATGGTGCGGTACAATCCTCCTTCGAGGATGGAAAGCAATAGTTGCCCGGCACAGAAGGTACGGCGTGGAAGCAGCAGTTCGAGCCTCGTTCCTCCCTCCAGCTTTCTCCCGAATGATTTATCTGGAGCACTTTCGTGCCGAGGGCGGGTGAGGAAGGCGAGTTCGCCATGTGAGGAAGCCGTGGAACTGCACCGTTGGAGTTGCGGTTCAAATGTGTTGGAAATCTTCGTCGCAAGCGTTCGTGAGAGGAGGACGAAGCTAATGCGAAGAAACCGTCAGTAGCATATGGAACCTGTGCGAATTGTCAAAGTCGAGTGCCTCCGTGCCTTCCTCTGTGTGACATTTTCCGCCAGCAGCTACCGAAACAAAGAAACCACCACCAGCAGCCAACTCCTTTAACACAAGACCAAGACATTGATTAACAGAAGTACAAAATACGAAATAGTATCGACAGCGTCGCATCGCATCAGACCGTTTCGCCATAGGTATCGTATTCTTGCATTAGCCAGCGAGCCAGCTTGCCAGCGAGTCTTTGCAATCATAAACCAAACAGTGAGGAGAGAAAATGAGCCAAAACACATTACATAAACAGCACAATCTCTCCTCTCGAATTCCTCCTCAATCGTAGAGATTTCCACAGTTCCTTATCCTCCTCTTCTTTCTCATCACTCCGCAAGGTGTCCCTTTCGCGATGGTATCGCTTCAAGACTTTGTTCATCGACAAACCGTGTTGCGACTCGGGACCCTTATTGATGAACGACATGAATAGCTCCGCTCGCTCGTTGTATGTGACCAGGGCATTGTTCGCAGTGGGCTGCACGGAACCAGGCCGATCTGGGTAATCGATAGCTTTTTGTCTGCGACTGCTGACGTGCGAGCGGTCGACAGAGGACAGGGATTCCTCGCGGTGGTTGCGACGAAGCTTATCGTGTCTGTCTGAGTGTCTGTCAGAACGTCTCGAGACTTCCGGGCTCCGCGAACGATGTTTCTTCTCGTCTTTGCTTGAGGCGGGCTTTGTTGTGGTGCTGTACGAGACATACGAAGACTTGCGCCTGTCGTCCTTCGTACTCTTCCGGTCGTCGTGGTGATCTTTCTCGCGTTTGCTTCGCTTGATAGGACTGATCGGTGTTGGGCCAGCATCGATGCGATCGTTTTCGAAGAAATCGGGATCTGTGACGAGGCGTTGCAGACCTCCAGTCAATCCAGAATGTAGGTTCCTCCCCGCTGTGGATGACGGCGCATCGAGCATAGAATGGTCTCCTCGAGAGACTGGTCTCTTCGCACTTGACAGATCCAGCTCTTCCACGTTGCGCTTCCGCTTCTTATCACTCTTCTCGACGGTTCCCTTCTCTTTCCTGTGCTTCCTCTGATCCTTGTTCGCCGGCGTCACAAACGACTGCTGAGATTCGGTAAGGTTGTTGTACGAGTCGAAACGTTCCATGCCAGCAGGAAGCGGGGCGTTTCCATAGGAGTAGCCGTACTTTTGGTACTGTGAGCCATCACCGTTCGAGTACTGCGAGTATTGCGAAAACTGTGATTCGCCGTTTGCGTAAGGCGTCGCTTGTTCGAGCATCCTGCGCTCGTCCGGCGCGCCTAGTTGCGTGTGCTTGGGTGTCGCATCGCTGACCAGAAAGTCGAAGACGTTGACGCCTTCGAGCTCTGCAGGCGGATCGGCTGCAGGCGGTGGTGTTGGAGCGCGAGGAGGCACATCGATCACAGCCACGGCATTCGAATCGTCCCCTTCTGTTGCATCTTCAACGTATGCTCCTCTCGGTACCATCGCTTGACTGTTGCCGTTCATCGATTTGCGCTTATCGGCCTTGTTGCCCTTCTTTTCCTTTTCTCTGTATAGATGCCCTTGGTACTTTTGCGCTTCGCTCATGCACGAGGTATGGCTTTGGAATGCTCCGTTCGGAAAGGTCGTCATGCAGTCCAGGCACGTCACAGGCGCCCAGCACTGGTTGTAGTGTCCAGACAGCTTCTTCTTCGTCAGGACATCGCCGCAGCCCTATACCATTACATTAGTTTGCGAAATCCTCTGCGGCGGGGTCGTTTCGTCGGGGCGGGCATACCTCACACGAGAAGGACACCATGATGCACTTCAATGGCTCAGGAGAGCCAAGGGCGGTAAATAACCTGGCGCGACAGCGTCAGGAGGAAGCAGCACGCGATGAGACGTCTCGGTTGTTGGAGCGCGTTCAGCGTTCAGGGTCTCGCAGAAAAAGCTTCCCGCGCCGCACTCGTGTGTTGCGCCGGCCAACCAGATTGTGCAACCACGATCGTAGACTTCTCCTTCCTCGCCGACATTAATACATTCACCTCAACTACTCATATATGTATACTCGCAGCAGCAATCGTCATTACTTTCACCGACTTCTGGTGCATTGCAAGGCACCAACGACAATAGCATCCTTCGTGCAGGCAGCCAGGCCCGCCACATGTTGGCGTTGGGTGAACTGAAACGGGGGTCTTTTGACCAATGACGCGTTCTCTGCACGACATGCATGCGATACCTCGTGTCGTGCCGTTGTAACGCGCGCGTGGTGTCTTCTTCTCAGACATCGTCGCAGATGTGCCTGTCACGCTGATTTCTGAACCGCATTTTGGTGTGTTCAGCTATTACCGGTTTTGGCACGCGAAGAGTGATCCCGCTACGAACTACTGACTTCCGTGGCAAGCAATTTCACGGACAGATAACCGTGAAGATCTCTGAATGCAACGACCTCTGTGTGCAAGCGCCTAACTGAATTAACCCTCGAACCATGGAAAGCTCTGCTGATTGGCTTAGCGACCTGCGGTTGCACTCAGAGGTAGTTGCATTCAGAGATGGCCACGGTCATGAAGCGCGTGGAGGACTTCGCCTGACAGCTGGCTCTCGCCTCGAACAATACTGCCACGACGTAGGGGCACACGTCGAGTGGTCCGCCGAACAACTCACTATTCTTGCAAGCAATTCCCCTTGCAGCTATAACGCGCGTCGCAAGACCGATATTATGACTATACAATATAACACTGTATCTATGTGACCAAGGTACCGGTATCAGATGGACCTGGGAAGACTTTCAACAACCCAAACCAACTCGAACAGCAGCGGATGGCTTCCAGAACTTCGGGAAGAGTATAAAGGCTCTCGCAGCCAGCTGTCGGCGATCCGAATTTTCGCATGAACTCCATTGCATTAATTCGTGCAGATGAAGTGCCAGGAGCCCATTGGTATGATTGTGGATGGGAACGAGGAACCAGCATGTAGGCAGCTTGGTGGTGATGCCGATTGTCAATGATGGCCATCTTGAGGTCAGGCCTGTAATGGTTTTCGATGATGGCGTGAGTGTCGATGTATTCGACGGTTCCAGATTGTTGGATGGCACGGGCTACTTTCGATGCAGCCGGTCCTGTCTCGAGCGTAAACACAACACACCACACATTTCCACTCTCGCAGAGCTCATGGTATCTCTGCAGCAGATGTTGGAGTTCCTGTGCAGAGTTGGCGAGAAGATTATTATAAAACGCTGGGAAGTTCGGACTAACTGCAGTCGTCGACAGCACCAGTGGAAGTTTATCGTAGAAGAATGCATGCGAGTCGAGCGCTCCATATAGTGCTGAGGCGACTGCTAGCGAAGGACTGTCTGCTGCTGCCTTCCGTACCTGCATGGAATCTCTCTTATACTGTCCGTCCGTGAGCGTGCTTTGGCTTGAATACGTGCCTTTGCACGCAATCCGAGCCGTCTGCGGGTCCCCATGGGGTGCAATAATGTGAGGGGCGTTTAGGCGAAGCTCGATTCGCTGGCCTTTCTGCAGATATGCTACTCCACCCTGCTCACTCAGGGCGACGAGAGGATCAGCGAACTCCTCCTTGAAGCGTCGGCGGAGCTGCAAGGAGTCACAAGCGTCGACTGGCCATGGGCCGTACGTGTCAGTGAAGGACCTGAAGGTGTCGTCCTGCCCAGGCTGCCCAGCGTCTGGAGCTGCCGGTGAAGGTGCAGCAAGGCGTGGGCGATTGAAAATGTCTAGAAGGTCATGCTTGTGTTGCGGGAGGCGTTCGATGATAGAGAAGAAGTCGTCGCTGCGCCGAGGGCTGACTGTGGACAATGCAGAGGGCGAACTTGTCTGTTCGCTCGCATTGTAAAGCCATCCTACCTCTCGGAGCTGTGGATCGAGAAGGGATTGGTCCAGCGGCAGTGATGACTGCGACTGCAACTGCTCAAGGACTGCTTGCTGTGCGAGAGCCAGCACTCGTGAAACTTCGTCGGCGACCTCCTGCGGTCGCGCAAGGTTTTGAAAAGTCCTGTCGTTCAGGATGTGTTGCTGTCTCGATGAGCATATGCAAGCGAGCGATGCTTTTTTTTTGCGGACAATCTACGATTGCCAGCAGATTTTCCATCGTGCTGTTAGGCTTCGTTGTTTGTGCATGATGTGAGAGTGTGTGGTAGAAGTAATGTACGTGTGAGCTCCTTCTGAAATGTTGTACTCTTTGCCCAATGTTGGACTAGGCAGTAGAAGGACTGATGGGAAGAAGGGGCAGGAACGAGCAACCGACCCATTTCGACTTAGCTGCCTGTACGAAGGATGCCATTGTCGCTGATACCTTGCAACCGTCCCCTTGGCTGTTTGCAGCAATTACGGCGCACAAGATGTCCGTAGTACACCTACACCATCGCTAACGCCGTGCTCTACACCTTATTCTCGCCAGACGTGTCAGCAGGACGTGGCTGCTGGTCAGCTCACCAGCAGCTGCAGAGGTGCTGACTGCGTACATAGACGACACTGTACACCCAAGCTCGGCTTCAGTACACGAATCAGTTCTTGCGATACGCAATGCCCAAAGGGGGAGGATCGCCCGGGCGGGTTCTTGTACCGGTCGTTTCCTCGTATCGTCGGGCTTGAGGCCACGCGTGTGGTGGGTGCACTGGTGTCGTCGAAGAGATGGAAGAAGTGCAGTATGTGGCCTTTGCGAACCAAGCAAGAGGATACGGTTTCCTGTGATGCCGGCGTCCGATGAGAAGGAAGAAGGCGCACGAGCTTGGCAGAGTCATGGCCACATTTTGAGAGGTCTAAGCCTGAGCAGAGACGTGCTGAGCTGATGACCCCGTTGCTCTTGCGATTAGTGAGCAGCGCAAGACCATTCAATTCTATGATGCTATATGATGACAGTTTCCCCGTGTACACTTTTCAGATTGCCTCTGGGCTGTGAGATCGTTGGAGTGATGTAGTGCTGCCGTCGGCGAGTCCTAGCGCAACAGCGCGATCTGCTGGGCTGCACAGCGTCGATCGCACGTGTTGCAATGTCGTCCGGCGTCTGTGGGACGAGTGAAAACTTGGTTCAGTTTGCAGCAGGTGCGAAGGATGGTAGTAGTCTGAAGGTTAACTTCCACCAGCGCGTGTACTTTAGACCACGCGACTCTAGCATGGCGTACACTGGCCGCTAATCCGAGTCATGCGGTCCAATGCGAGAGCTTTTGCTACAAAAGTTCTTTGCAATTGTATGCTGCTACCCGCCAGGTTGCATTTTTTGCCCGTTGGGTAGCCGCTTAGGGTTATAAACGCCTGGCAAATGTAAGAGCGATCAGAGTTCAAGCGCTTGCCGACACAACCTTCTAGTGCGGCGGGCGCTTGATAAGCAGAAATGCCATTGCTGTACCTTGTTTTACTGCTCATCAGGAGAATAATGGTCAGCCTCCCAGCCGCCAGAACCACGGCGGCATGGTGTCTCAATCTGGTTCTTACAGAATCCCAAAGGGTGTTCCAACAGGCTTTGCCGACCTTGCCTAGCCTGTTCCGAGCCAAGAATACAACCTCCGCGCCCCATACACACAGGCCACGAGCCCTAGAACGGCCCACAAGACGATGCTGAGCACGATGCGGTTCTTCATTTCCAGCGCCTCATCAATTCGCATCTTCGCATTCTTTCGCTTTCTCCAACTCCACCGGGGGTGCCACGCCGAGCGAGTAACTTCCTGATTTGGAACTGACTTGCTCGACTTGGCACCATAGTGGCGCTCCGCCATGAACAGTAATGAGAGAATGAAGCTGACCACATTGAGTGGGGTGAGCACAAGCTGCACGACCGTTGGTTAGCACACGTCCCAGACAAGTTCACGGCTCAGCGAGGTTTTACATCCGTGAAGAGCGAGTGCCGTTGATGCTGCTCGCTCGGAGATGGCGGTGATGGCGTCGTCGTTCGCTTGATCGCGTCGTCATATGGCATGTCCATAAATAAGTCCCGTGTCGTGTTTTTGTGCGACTTCACACGCTCTCGAGCTCCGCCTGTCCGTGCCGCCATGGCGGTGGTCTTTCTCGAGATCCGTTCCTGTTGTGGATGGGCGGAGGATGCTGTGTCACGGGGCTAAGTTGAAAGAGTTTACGTTGACGAAGAAATGTGATGATTTGTATTTGCCTTGATGTTGCGATAGCTGCGTCTATAGTGATCCCCGCGGTGGCCGCAGGCAGATGCCGGAATCCTGCGGGTGTGGGACAGAATCAAGGCCCTTGTCTCATCAATTGTGGGCTCATGGCATCGCAAGCGAACGCTCTGTCATCATGTATTGCGCTCGATGGCTTGATTGTTGCAATGCAGAGTGCAGGTGGTGGGTGATGCACCGCGATGGCAGTTGGCAGCAGGGATCGCGGTGATGTGCAGAAGTGACGACGACGTCGGCGCCGATCGCGCTCAAGTCCGACAACCCACGAGACACGGCACCAGTGCGAAAATAACGGAAGCCTTGTCGTCCACCACCCGCGCGCTGGGCTGCCTGTCTTCCCGCCGCGGCGGCATGTCGCATACACATGCCGATGCATCCAACGACCTGTGGTGCGCTATCCCATCCTGCGGCACACGTGCACTGCACCGACAGCCTCGAAGCCTCGAGCAATGGCCGGACGTCGCGATCGTGCAGGGCGACCGGATAGCCGGGCCATAGAATATCTCAGCACGCTCAGCACTGCCCTGTTGCCGATCAGGTCTGCAGTACCGAGCCGCTCATCAGCGCCATGTCCTCGTCGGCGGGTCTGTGACTCCACTGGCCATGTCAAGCTCATCTCACACACAGCTCATGGAGAGCTGCCAAAATAAGGCGCTGCAGCCAATGACCAATCCGAAGAGCAGCAGTGTCTGATGCGTAGTGGCCGTCTGAGCGTTTTGCACCACCTCCCCGCTGCGGAAGCGGGTGCGTCGAAGCTTTTGATCCAGCTCACTTGCCACGGTGGAGTGGCGATTTCTACTCTTTTAGGGAATTGTGTTCTTGCCTCTCTCGTTGCTCCCTTTGCTCCCTAATTGGTTTTTGCTAACAGGGACACGGACCACGCGCCATATCCCATGCATCTTCTGAACGCGCCTAAGGCCAATGAACATGCAGCCCGGACTTGTTGCGCAATGGTCTCACGAATCGTTCACTTTGACCGCCATCAGAGAGCCACAGAACCCACAGCCGAACGGTGCAGTGCGTCGATCCTAGTCTGGAAACTCTTGTAGACCAAGATGCCTTATGGGCCAGCATTGGCACCAAACGGCCGCCACCATTGCCCCAATTGCATTGCTTGCACGAATGTATTGGAGCCCTGCTTCCCGATCAGCTTCATTCGTGATGCTGTGAGAGCACAACGAGAACAACCCCTGGGGAGACGGATCATATATTACTTGCATGATTAACTTTCCACAACAGCACTTCTCTCAAAGCCATTGCCGCTTCTCACAGTCCATTCACAAGCACTCACCATGGTCAATTCACGTACTGCCGAGCTCACCAAAGGTCAGGCTGCGGCAAGTGGGCCAACATCTTCGGCATCTAGCCGTTCCGACAGTATGTTCCTTCTGCTCAACCACACTCTGCCTTCCTTAAGGCAGCCATGTCTGCAGATTCTGACACTCCTTCAGGCAGCAAAAGCCCTACCTCCCCGGATGGCATCGACTTTCGATTCTTGAACTTCTCACACCCCAAGGATGCGAAAAATGCCCAGACACGGAGGAACGTCCGCAGCCATGTAACGTCGAAGCAACACGAAAAACACCGCCAAAGGGTCGCAGAGCAAGCACGCCAATCTCAACAGAATAGCCAACAGCCCTCGCCGACCTCCAGTGTGCGATTGAGCCGCGCCAGCGCAGAGACGTCGCCCACGCACTCGAATTCCGAGCCAGAGGCCAGCAGCCCCGAAGCGTCAGCACCAACCTCACCCAGCGTCCCAACACATCGTATCAATCCCCTTGAGATCTATCCCGAATCATGGCACAGTTCTCTTCGACCTGTCATGGTATGTGTTGGCGTGCGCTCGATGTGGAACAATGGCAGACTAATCTCAGTTCAGGACCATTACTGCAACTCTATGGCTGTCGACCTGCCCGAAACCGACGCTTCAACGAGACAGGGAATTCGAACACAGCTAGTTGGCCTTATCCTCACCGATCCAGCTTCCCTGCACGCGCTCATGCTCGTGGCCACAGCTCATCTCGCCAAGTTACATGGAGACAATTCACACAACATCGATGTATTACAGCTGCGAGGCATGGCCATTCAAGAAGTGAACCGAGCCATGACTGACCATGGAGCGCAAGGCCGCGCAACAAGCGATAGCATGATCGTGGCTGTCGGAAAAATGGCTACATTTGAATTACTATTCGGCCACCGAGAGATCTTCCACACCCACATGACAGGACTCCAGCGCATGGTCAGTCTTCGTGGAGGCTTACCAGCGCTGGGACTTGGTGGTGTACTCGAGCGGTCGCTTCTCTGGATCGACGCCAACGCTGCAGAAATTACTGGAGGCGCTCTCTACTTCCCCCCGGCAGTCTTCGCGTCTTCATCAAGTCACCCTCGTGCAGACCGCAGATTGTTCCTCATGGGCCTCCAGACTCAAGCGTGATGACACCGGCGACCGCGGAGTCGGTAAAGGAACACCCGCGCCGTCTGTGCAGCTGGCTGGCCAGCTGTCAACAGTTCTGTGCAGAATTTCTCGATGCCACGATCTTGACCGACAATGTATTCTGGACCCAATGAGCTGCGCTGTCGTGGTGCCCACCGTGCCTCAGCGCTTCTGCGCGTACATTAGCATTGCGGTCGTGCATCCTGCCGAGGTCCGTCTTTTGCGCAAATGCCGGAACAGGCATGTACAGGTTGCGATTGTTCGCCTGTCTTTACCACGACGAGCAGACTGCATTCGGATTGTTGGAGCGAGACTACGTGGCGCCATCCTTTCGGCTCTTTGCACCGAGGGCTAGACCAGCCGGCAAGCCGAGGGTCATCTAAGAACGAGCTTGGAACAACGATCATGAACTTGTCGCGACAACGAGTGCACTTGCCGGGCAACTGAATTCCATATTCCGTGTTCCTTCAGAATCAGCCGTCGCGGGTGTCGCTTAGGGCATTGGAAGCAAGAAGCCGAGACCCTAGGTCTAGTCCATCTGGAACCTCGCAAAGGCTCGGGTATCTGGAACGTCGACACTTCCGGGCCTATCATCACTCCAAGACTCCATGAGCGATCTTACATTATACCTTCATAATGGGGAGAAGTGGCTGCGAGCATCGACAGAAACTCGATCTAATTCTTCCACTAGCATAGCACGCGGCGGCAGCGGCAGGAGCCAAATGGCATGGCCCTTTATTTCCGGCGGCGCAAAAAGCAGACTAATGTATTATACACTCTGAGCTGAAGAATCCTCAGCTTTCTTCATCACAATTCTGCTCAGCGTTCAGCGACATCGGCATTTAGGGAGGGACGCGAAAGAAGCATACTGTAGCAAGAAATGAGAAAAATTTTCAACCAAGCACAATCCATCACTTTCCCACGGCCGTGTCCGACGCATAAGCGCCATCCCACATTGATGCCCAGTACGTGCGACGTCTGGGTAGCAACGCTAGACTTAATTGGGAAAATACAGGTCACGTGCTACAGAGTGAAGGCACCCCACTGCTAAGAGATCGAAGGCATGGCAGTGGATGCTAATTCAGTAGCAAAGGTACAATCGAAGCTGAATCATGACGACGACAACTATCAGAGGAGACGCAGCGTAAAGAAGCTTTTTCTACTTTCGTTCGATGATGTTGCAACTAGATCGTGGTTGAAGTCATGCATTTCGGACGCCCCGACACCGAAAATGGTGAAAGATCTGCGAAAGAGACGGGAAAACCTGAGAAATAGAATTGATTGATGTTTGCATTGCTGCTTTGGGATTGGATAGTTGGTTGTGTAGGGCTGAGTTTACCAGTAGTGCATTCTGTTAGAAGGATTCTGTAGTTCGTGTAGAAAAGTGTACTAGCTAATGGTAGTGCCGATTGGTTTTCAGCTCTACAGGGCTGTGATTCCTTCGCTTTCTTCCCTCTCGTGGAACTAACGTGTTGACCATACATGTGGCGCCAGCGGGATTCTGGTGCTGAGACTACTGCACAGTCGTGAACCATGCAGTTGAAGATTTGAGATGGGATTGGGTCCGGGCCAGTCATGGGTGGTTGTTTCTGTGCTGGGGCTTGGCTTTGCCCTAGAGGAATGAATACGCGATCGCGCTTTGATGGCTCGTGATGTGTTGTCGCCTTTTTAGGGTATTCCAGACTGACTGACTCGTGAATTGATCTTGACAACGCATTGTTTGAGAGCGAATGGTGAGTGATCCTTTGCTATTTCATCCAACGCTAGCAAGTCTGGTTGCCGTAACTTAGCGATGAACTAGCGCCGTGCACGCATTATGCATGCGCGTATGCACATGCACACATGTACCGCAAAGCATTTTTGTACTGTAATGTATGCTCGCTCGCTCCGTGCCGATTGTGGGTCTCTTGGTATGCAGAATTGCGCAGGAATCGGATATGGTCGGTCTTTGCTGCATGCATCGATATGTCGTCGCTAATGCTTCATACCATGTAGACTCGATCTCTTCGGAGACTCCTAGCGCTGCAGCGCTAGATTATCGTCTTTGCCGATGCAAAGACTCCCTCATTTTGCATGATCGACATGGGAGATGACAGATTTCGTCAGCTTCGACGAGAAGATGAGAGCCTGGAGCTGGGAATGATTGGACATGGAGAGCAAGCACATGAAATGATTTCATGATCGTCCATGCCGGGCGAGATGACTGCAGGTCTCGTCAAGCTGAGCCTCGTTCAACAGGGATTCAGAGCAGGCGCTCTGTGAGAGGCGGGAGGCCTTCTGGTCCATGTTGGGTGCGTACGCGGCCTGCAAGATCTGGTCCACCGCATCGAAGATTGAAGCGCCAGGAGGTCGAGAGCCATTCGCAATGAACATCGAGATCCCGAAACCCGCTGCACTCTGCAGCTCAAGCCCCTGCACCAGCTCGTCTGTCGAATGGTAGCGCCGAGCTCTCACGGCCACGGGACGAGAAGGATATGCTCAGGGGAATTGAAAGGTCACGCGAGAGCTTGAGACTTCGAGACCGCCTCTCTCCCAATTTCCGCATGGTCTAGGCTGTTCATACGAACAGCGAGACGCCGTGTGCATCTTTGCGATCCCGGAAAGAGACTCCAGGCATAGGATTGGCTCAATCCTCGACAGTGAACATAACCTTGAGCCAAAGACTGCATCCTTTGCAGCCAGTGATGAGCTCCCCAAATTCGACGTTCTTCTCAAGCTCGGCTTCCGTTACAACAAACGCTGGCTCGCTGCCACACCGGCAGGGGCGCCTCCACACAGCACCATCTTCGTCTGGGTCGAGTTCGTCGAGGTCAACAATTTCCATGCCAGTATGTCGAGTGTTGACTCCAGGAGCGTCGTCAAGACCTGCTTTCGCTAAGTTTTGATCGTATTGTGCCCTGAGCGTGGCATCGCCAAGAACTTTGTAGGCTTCAGCGATTTCGTCGACAGTCACTGTCGTTTCTCCTGAGCGACGACCATCGGAATTGTGCTTGTCTGGATGGTAGGAGAGTAGCGCTCGCTTGTATGCTTGTCTGAGCTCGTCAGTCGAGATGCGTGATCCATCGCGCTTTTCTGAAAGCCCGAGGAGCTGATAATGATCCAGATTGGTGACCATCTCTGGTTCTACCTGCTGTGGGGTCTGCGATATTCGAACGCAGACTACTGTGCGAATATCATCACATATGTGGCATCTGGTCAAGTCCAACACCGCCGCGGTGTCCGATCTGGGAGAACGCAGGAGCAAAGCAGTCGTGACTTTTGGCGGAGAAAGTTTGTGCCAAGATTTGGAAATCTGCCTGAGGCTGCATTCAAGGCCGCCATTTTGGAAGCAAGGCCTACCTATCTGCCTCCTACTTCTTCACATCCTTCCCGATACGACACTTTTCAATTCAAATGGTGTTGCCACCCTCTCTTTCGCTGCCTTGCGAGAGGAAGAGTTCAAAACCGAGGCACCGATGATGAACCCTAACAACAACCGACCAAGTCACGCCCTTGGCTGGGAGGTAGCAGATCACTCATCATCAGACCAGGAGTCGACGACTACATCTCTTGGGAGCTGAGCTTGCGAGCTCAGCGATATACTCCATGAAGCGTTCAACGAAACGTCACGCTGGTGGACCATAGTCAGGCGACTATCCCACTTCGTACGAGCAGATGCCTGTTCAGCACCGCGGTACCTGACAGGAGCTCAAGGCTTCCATGCACTCTATCGACAAGATCTGAGATGTATCGCTCCGATACAGCCAGTCCTGGCGTGGAGAAGCCTTGGGTACCTGATCTTTGCTACCTCATGGCTCAACGTCAGCTCCTTCGACGGCTGAACAGGTTCGGTCTCAGCAACAGAATTTACTCCTTGTCTGGCTATAGACCGACGGAGACTTCAACTCTGAGCGTACGCGAGGTCAGTCGAAACATCGCTGGTGCAACATCTTTCTCACCACCCAACTCTGCTCACCACGCCGCGCTGCCTCGATCGCCAGAGCAAGCGAGTGTGCTGAGATGTTCTGAAGCAATCACAGGTGTCGGTGTCAACGTTCGTCTTGTGCAGCATCCTACACAGTCACCGGATATACGCCCCGACATCATGCTTCTGGAGAGTCAGCCGGCTCCTTTGTGCTCGAACGAGTCGTGAATTTGCAACTGCCAGCGTTGAATCCGCTTGCGTCGGCTATCTTGGCGTTCATTCCCCAACATTGCCGTAGACTGCTTGCAAAAGTTTTACACCATCACCATCTGCGAGCGGTTGCGTACGCTCGATCTTGAGCTATGCTGGAATGTTTCATGCTGTGATAGCTGCACACGAACAAACGTTGACAGGATCAAGGCAGCGAAACACGAAGCTCTGTCGCGTGAGTTTGGCGCAACCGGAAGCGCCGCCAACAAACGCCACTCCGCAGCGGCAGCCGCCACCCGTACTCAACCAACGTCATGCGCCAACTCTTGGCTCACACAGCAGTTCAGAGATTGAGAAACCATCAGCAGCAGCAGGATGCTCACGTGTGATACCATTGAAGATGAATACGAAGAGGATATGATGGCCAGACGACAGGCCCGCGCGACGAGCAGATCCGAAGTCCTGACGTCCCCCGGGGCCCCGAAGCGAGCTCTCACTGGTCATCGTGTTTCAAGTCTGCATGCGCCTAGACTCGTACGCATGCCGAGCCGTTCACCATGCATCACTGGATCACCAGGCTATTTTCGGTACTGTACCTGAAAACCCGTCTGATCCAGCATGGATGCGACTTCGAGCTCGCCAATGTCCAATTGATTCGCAGCGAATGTGAGAAGCATGCGTGGCATATCCGCAAACAGTACCCAGTTGTTTGGCTTCACATACAACGGAAACTTTAATCGCTGTCTTGCGTATTCGTTGGCCCAAACGGCGGCTGAACGGGAACTGGTACTCTTCTGGTAGCCTTCCAAGCGATCGCGGCATCGCCCCTTGTGCCAATGCTTTGGTCATCATCCTTTACGAGGCGCTATATGTTCCATTGTTCGCCGCGCGTTCACTTTCCTTGTTCTTACGCCTCACACTCTACCATCTCGTATCCATCTCTCACAGTCTCTCTTTTCATACCTCATAACCATAATGCTATCATCAACACTCTCGCTACTAGCCCTCGCGGGCAGCGCGGCCGCTCAGGTTCGCGGCTTCAACTATGGCGCTCTTTACGCAGACAACCGAGCTCGTCAGCTCGCGGACTGGGAAGCCGATTTCAGGGCTGCACAGGACCTTCCAGGCGTCGGTGGTTTCAACTCGGCTCGTCTCTTCACCATGATTCAGGGATACTCGCAGACCGACATCATTTCCGCTCTTCCAGCTGCTGTCTCTACCAACACATCATTGCTCTTGGGCCTGTGGTGCAGTGGCGGCGATGAAGCTTTCAACAACGAGCTTACCGCATTGAGAAACGCCATTGAGCAGTACGGCGATCAACTGAGGGACTCCATCATTGGTATCTCGATCGGATCTGAGGATCTCTACCGTATCTCGCCAACTGGTATCGAGAACGAGAGCGGCCCAGGAGCTCAGCCTGACCAGCTCGTCGGCTACATCCAGCGCGCTCGTGATGTGCTCCAAGGCACTGCCTGGGCTGATGTTCAGATTGGCCACGTCGATACCTGGACTGCCTACGTCAACGGCTCCAACAACGCTGTGATCGAGGCCCTCGACTGGGTCGGTGTTGATGCCTACCCATACTTCCAGACTGTCAACGAGAACAGCATTCAGAACGCCCAGCAACTCTTCTTCGACGCTCTTCAGGCTACTGAGGGTGCCGCTCAAGGCAAGCCTGTCTGGGTCACCGAGACCGGCTGGCCTGTCACTGGACCTCAATCTGGCCTCGCCAGCTCCGGAACTGAGAACGCTGAGCAATACTGGAAGGCCGTTGCCTGCCGTCTTCTTGGCAACGTCAACACCTGGTGGTACCAGCTGAACGACGGCGCTGACCAGGAGGTGTCCTTCAAGGTCATCAACCCAGACCGTGGTGCTCCTCTCTACGACCTGTCCTGCCCAGCCAACAGCGATGATGATGAGGAGTCGACCTCTTCCGTCACTGCAGTCTCTGGGTCTGGATCCCTGATCCCAGTCCCTACCGGTACTCCTTCTCCACGCCCAGCTGGTGGCAACAACGCCACATCGACTGCCACTGGCAGCACTGGCTCGCCAAACGACAACAACCAGAACGCTGGCCCAGTTGCTGGCGGCTCTGGCTCCGGAAGCGGCAACGGCACTGCCCCAACAGGCTCTTCTCCTTCGGCCTCCTCAAGTGGCAACACCGCCTCTTACACCGGTGCTGCCGTCGCCAACGCACCAGCTGCTGGTCTCCTCCTCGTGGGAGCCATCATGGCTGCTCTATAAATGTTCTAAACGAAGAACGTTGTATAATTTTGGGATGACAATAAAATACAGGCATTTAATGGGAATCAGGACAGGACACAAAAATGCATATTCTGATGATGGGGGATAACCTACTTGTAACGGCTGTAGATTTTAGCGATCTGGACTAGAAACGTCGAGACTTGTGCACAGCGGAGGATGATGCTGCTGTGTACTTTGCTAGAGCGGACTAGTGTGTCGCATGTACAGGATATGAAAGACAATTCAAAAGAATTAAATTTTGAACATTATCGCTGCTTCTCAAAATGTGTGATCATTTTTTGTTTTGGTGTGCTTTGCGCGTTGTCTCTGTCTCCTTGGATGAGCGACATTTGCACACCGCGGAGTAGGTACTGACGTTGGCATTTACTTCAGGGAACAACTGTCGCATACCTGGCACTGCGTGTGACATTGTTGTATGTTTTTCTCTGCACATGGGCTTCCAGCTCCTGGAGATTTTGGAATATCCATGGATCGTACCTCCTATGAGTCGATGAACACTCGCGTGCGACCGACGGCCCAGCATGTAACACTAGGACGTAGACGGTTGAAGTGCGTCGTAGTCGAAACATGACGGTAGATACAGATTGTCGAGCTCATCTTCATCCCTCGTCTGGTCAACGAGCCAGTAAATCCAGTCGTGTTCTTGAAGCCTCGTCACATAACTAATGTTGAATATGGGCGATGCTGTTGTTTCTCGTGCGCACTCGCTTGTCCGAATGATATCTGGCATTAGTTGGGACGATGACTTGTCAAGTCCTTCAAATCTTTATCATGCCTCCACCACACTTACCGTGCCATTGCACTTTGTGCGCGGCCCTTCATGTGCCGACAAGTAGCTCAAGTTGTGGTGCTCGTCTGCGCTCGCAATGCCGCAAGCGTCTACTGTGGTTATTGAGACTACCAGAAAGGTACATGCCATCATCCTAGGCCCATTCGAGCGATACCAGAAGCGATATGCGATGGGTCCAGATGACGCTGTCGACACAATGACCGCAGCTTGGTCTGAAGTTGCGATCTGCTCTGCACATCAAATGTCGAAACCATTGTTATATTCGGAGTTACACAGCGTTGCCCTATATCAGGAACAGGCAACAGGGAGTGAGCGAGGCAGGAGCAGAGCCGCACGCTCGCAGCAGCAGTGGCAGTCGCAGCCCAACAAATTGCCGTCGATGACATCTGGTGGCCCGTGCGAAACGACGAGCCTTCGCCCTTCACCACACACAAAACCAAGTTGCGTCTTTTTTGGCGACACCGCTTCTCCTACGAACCACACCTTCACCTCGCCAGCCGATCACAATTGGCAACCTGACCAAATCTGCCTTACTGCCAACTCTTCTGAGAAACCGGTACGTGTACTCCGGCGAGGTACTTGTCACTTGCGCGATTTCTCACGGGCGCATCGGCCGCCCACAGCAATTCGCCCCTCTTCTGCCTTCAAACCACCACTGCCACCGCCCTCACGCAAGTGACTGACCCGCGCGCGACTTTAGATAGCCGGTGGTAAAACTGGCTCCCAACCGTCACCACGGCTTCGCCGACAGCCTTTAACAATTCCATCCCACACCGAGATAGGCACATCCAAAACACCATCCCTCCACCACCACCCTCGGCCTGAGTACGACCCAGCCATCCCAAGTCTTGTTTTTGAGTTGTTGCAACAACAACCTCACCCATCGGACGACACCACTCAGCTGCCGCATAAGAGCCACTTTGAAGCTCTTTCCCGCCCGGGGGAAGAGTCTGGCAAGCGCCATCTAGGAACAGTCCGCCTCGACTTCGCACCTTTCAAACCTCCTTAACACCTCTTCGGAGACTCGGGCAAACAACTTTCACCAACAATCAACATCTCCCAGCCTTCGTCAGCAGGGGTATGGCACCTAGCGCCATTGACATTCTACCAAACACCTTCGATTCTCTGTCGTTGAAAAAGACGACAGACTACATCGATATCAATTCCGTCTCCGACTACGATAGCGGAGCGGGCTTTCAAGGTGGCGCGAAGAATGCAAGAGGAATGATTGGCGCTGCGCTGCAGCAGCACATTGACAAAATCGACACGGATGACTGCGATGCGGGCGCCGAAGATGCCTTCTTCGTCGCGGACCTAGGAGAGGTCTACCGCCAGCACGTCCGATGGCAGAAGCGTCTGCCACGTGTCACACCACACTACGCTGTGAAGTGCAACCCAGACACTTCGGTCTTGCGCCTGTTGGCCAAGATGGGAGCTGGCTTCGACTGTGCCAGCAAGGCCGAGATTGAGCAGGTCCTCGCTATTGGAGTAGCTCCATATCGCATCATCTACGCTCAGCCATGCAAGACCAAGAGCTACCTCAAGTACACTGCCAAGACAGGTGTCCGGCAGATGACTTTTGACAACACCGATGAGCTGTACAAGATCAAGCAGATTTACCCATCTGCTGAGCTTTTCCTGCGCATCTCGACCGACGACTCGGCGAGCTTGTGCCGACTGAGCCAGAAGTTCGGTGCTGCCATGGATGTCGTTCCAGATTTGCTGTCACTGGCAAAGGAACTCGAGCTGAATGTGGTCGGCGTAGCTTTCCACGTTGGCTCTGGAGCATCTGATCCACTGGCATTCCGTCAAGCCGTCAACGATGCGCGTTCTGTCTTCGATCAAGGCGCCGCCCTTGGCTTCGACATGCACACGCTCGACTGTGGTGGCGGCTTCGTCCCAGAGACGTTCGATGAGATGGCTCCGGTCCTTGCTTCCGCCGTCGACGATCTCTTCCCACCTCATGTTCGCATCATCGCTGAGCCAGGCCGGTACTACACAAGCACTGCCTTCACTCTTGCATGCAACGTCATTGCTCGTCGCACAGTCGAGGACAAGCTTCTTGGCGGAGACACAAGCTACATGCTGTACATGAATGACGGTGTGTACGGCAACTTCTCGAGCATCATCTTCGATCACCAGCATCCAGTTCCGCAAGTCTTGCGCAACAGTGATCGCCCAGACTGCTACAACTATGCTTTCAGTGGCGATTCGATGGTCGACTCCGGTTATGCGTCGGGCGAAGAGGACACCACTCTTTATCGAAAGCCAATCACCTACTCCGTCTGGGGCCCCACTTGCGATGGCATCGACTGCATTTCTGAGAAATGGACCTCCAAGCACCTGGTCAACACCGGTGACTGGTTGTACTTTGAGGAGATGGGTGCCTATACCAAGTGCTCTGCCACTCGCTTCAATGGCTTCACTGACAAGCACGAGACCATCTATGTTTGCAGCGAGCCGGACGCTGTTGAGCTTCTGGATTTGTGATCCACCATGGGTCATGGGTTATGCTGTTCACATCCGCTCAATGAGGAACTGGGCTGCAAAGTACGCTTACTGCGATAGACTGGCGTTTGGACGAGAGCATGCTCTCAAAAGTACTTCATCATTTTGTGCATAGTGTCTAGTCTTCATATCTTTCATGCACCGCTGTGTTCAATATCTCTCTGCACGGAAGACGCATCGTCAAGAACTTTGGGCCTGGCTGACAAGGATAGGCAATAAAGCTTCCGGCTTTTGCAGAATTCAGTCAGAGTCTATCACAACGTTGCGGGAATACTGCGAACAGAACCTCTTGCATTCGCTTCGAGTTGAAGGCTGGCTCACAGGTTGATTGCTCCTTCTACTTCTTCTTTTCTCATTGTACCACTCTGATTGATAGCAGACCCGATCTCAAGAATCAATATCGATTTGCCTGATGCGTATAGCTCATCAAAAGTCATTCGACCAAGGTGCAAAATTATTCTCCGAACGCACTGTTCACACGTGCGAGCTTAATGAATCCAAGCTGGATCCCTGGTGCTTTACGGAAGCTGGTGCCGAGCATTACTGTATGCTTGTTGCTTGCTTGTTTTCTACCACTTGGGATCATGCAATCTCACACGAGGAGGGACATTGAGTTCTCGTTGAGCATGCGTACGGAAGTATTTCATCAGTTTCACTCATGAGCTGATCCTCTGCTCTACCTCGAGAGAGTAGTTCCTCGATCGCATCACGCTCGTTGCTGCTCTGCTGACCATTCTCTCATTCATCACGCTCCTTTCAAAATCAAGCAGCAAGCAGCTGGCAGCATCAGCGAAAATGAAGTCCTCTCGCCGAACTCTCACTTTTGTGGCGACCGCCCTCTCCCAACTAGCTTTCGCTCAAGACAAAGATTTCAACAACAACGCCAAAATCCCAACCACATGCTCCAATGGCTTCGAATCCCGCTCCGACACCGTCTTCCTCACCCTCCCATACTCCTACGACTCCGTCGCACCCCTCGTCAGCGACTTCAGCAACCTCAGCTGGGCCAACATTTCCCCCGTAACCCTCAACGGAACAAACAATACCCCCGGCACAGCACGAGCGTTTTCCTTCGGAGGAGCGGATTTTGTACAGACATTGTTGTCGTATGATAAACCGCCTTCGCTGGGACCTTTTGTAGAGGTTCATAATTCCGCTCCTGTGACTTTGTAGATTCCAAAGGAGAGTGTAGAAGAGGACGGGAAAACGAATTTTACGCTTTGGTTGGAAAGTTTGAGGTTTGAGGTTGAGGGCGTTTGTGGAGGGAGGGCTAGTCAGGTTAATTGGACGGTTAGTCTTTGTTCGGATGTGCCGGATGTTGCGAAGGGGATGTTGCATATGGTTCATACGGGGTTTGTGGAGAATGTTGGGAAATTGTTGGGAGGGGGGACGTTTGAGAGTTGTGAGGGGTTGGAGGGTGGAGAGGGTGGGAAGGAGGGTGGTGGAGAGAGTGGGAAGAAGGAGGCAGAGGAGGGTAAGGAAGAGAAAGATGAGGATAAGGACGAGAAGGAAGGAGAGAAGGATAAGGATGAGGATGAGGACGAGGATGAGGAAGAGGAGGACGAGGATGAGGAAGAGGAGGACGAGGACGAAAAGGAGGACGAGAAGGACGAAAAGGACGAGGACGGAAAGGAAGACGAGGAGGAGGGAGGAGAAGAAGAAGAGGATGAGGAGGAAGATAAGAAGGAGGACGGAAAGAAGGGTGGGAAAGATGAGAAGGACGGAGAGAAGGAGAAGGCAGGCAAAAAGAAGAAGCCCTCACAGAGCTACGGAGAGCCATCTCACTATCGACGATGGGTTGCCTGAGCTGAAGGTCTGCTTCGTGTCATCTAGAAGCTCTCGCGAAGTTGGAACCATTTCGATAGCTTCGCAACGTGGAGGACATCGGTTCTGTTCAAGACATTCAGCTGAATGCCGAACGTGGAGGAAATCGGTCCTGGAAAACTCTCAAGTCCAATTGGTAGAATCATATTTATTATGACATTCATCATTATCGAAAGCATTTGTATGTAATGCTGATACTGCAGTCGTTAGTCGTCAATGCTTGGCAAGACACCTGGCGGTGAAGCAACGACCACCTATGCAGGGGCAATTGTCGTCCGAGCAGAAGTAGCGCTGGCTAAGGTTTGTTTGCAGCTGCCATCCCGTTTTTCCAAACTCTTTCTCTGCTTCTTCTCTTTCGCCGTGTCTTGCTGTTACTCCATAAGGATGTGTTTCCACCCAAGCCGTACGCCAAAATCAGATAACCTCCTGCCGTTGCCAGCGATGTCCTGTCCCGATGGCCGCCAAATGATGTCCAAAGCAACCTCCAAACGCCAACGGCACGCCTGCGTCGTGCCCAAGTCCAAATCTTCATGGCTGCTTGTTGCAGCTCAGCCGTCACTTTCGCTACAACTTCCCTCCGCGCTGCGAAGTCTCTTTCCCAGATCCCAGCTCTGCGTTCGCAGGGCGCCGTCCTCGCCTCTTTCTGGCGCGACTTCGCTATCCATCAGGTGTCGACGCTCAACCGTGCAGCCTGGTGCTCCGTACTCTCTTTCACAACACGCCCAAACCTTGCCGTGGAACTTGGTCGAACTCGAATCCGCTTCATCACAATCTTCGCTGTCACTGCTGTCTGGACATGGGAGGTACCTGTCGGTCGTCATCCCTTGCCACTCCATCAGCTGGGTGCATTGCAAGTGTCATTTGGAGCAAACTTACCCGGATGGAAGCTACAGCATGTTTGGAACAGCTCGGCCTTCGTCAAACTGTACTTGCAGTTCGAACACTCGACCAGTTCTGCCGCCGTGGCGCGAGCGAGAGGGAAAGGAGTCGCAATACGCTCCGGGACCTCGAACAGCTCAATGTTGTCTGTGCCCTCTGGATGTATGACCAGAAGGAACTGCCGGGATTCGTCAATGACCTCCTCACAGTCCCCAAGAGCAAAGCAATTGTCGGGTATGTCTCCCAACAGGCTGTAATCGGGCAACTTGAGGAACTTGTGATCCATCGGCTTGACGAGAGATGACGCATCTGGCCGCGTCGTCCGCCTTCTCCATTCCTGTCCATCCTGCACTTGGACGACTTCGAAGTTGTTGCCTGCGTATTGCTTGAAACGGTCTGTGCGAAGTATGTTCTCAAGTAGCGTCGCGCTGTCCCGAGGGGCTTGTGACGCGTATCGGCGGCGTTTGAGGGTCAGGCAGAGCACCATCTGCAGCCGACGCAGCAAGTCGATAAGATTGAGCACGTGGAAAGCAGGCGCGAGGTCGTCGGTCGTTGCGGAAGCGATGAGTCTTACTCGACCTGCCACGGTGGGCGACAGAGTCTCAGCTTCAGCTCGTAAGGATCTTGCCATCTCGTGGTGACGCAACTGGGATAGGACAGAAGGAAAGAGGCTCATCTTCGACCATCAGGTCCAACGACCTTTTCAATGAAGACGAGCATTGGTAACACAACAGAAACAAGTCCTCCAGATGACCCTGCATCACACGGCGTCGAGTCCACCGCCATGATGTCTGGGTCTTGTTGATGCTCCTTTGCTCTCTTTTGGCGGTCCACTGCTGGAGGGGTTGCACCGTTGCAGCCAGAGTTTTGTGGTGGATCCATCCTACATGTAACAATACCTGTCTCCGCAGCCGCACTAGTACGGGCCGTGGCAGGGCGGCATCTGCAGTCAGGGGGACCACATTTCAGCGCGAATTGCATCCAGCAACTTGGATCGAGACACCCCACGCTAGCAGGTAGCTGCCATTGCGATGATCCGGTGAGGTTGCTTCTGATGGCGACCGTCCCTTCATCATTGTATTGCCGACATCTATCACATCTAACTGGTCCCGCTCGCTTTTGGGCAGCACTGGATCGAATACACCAAGCGGAACTAGCGGCCCTGCGGCATAGCAGCCGGGTTACCATGTATAACTATGCGGAGTCTCATCGGCAGCTGTTGAAGAATGCTCCGCTCGTTCTGGAATATATTGTGTCCCGTACTGAAGTGAGGGCGCCGGCCAAGACTCTCCATTCTGCAGCAGATTCTCACCTGTGTAGCAGCTCAGGCTACTAGCTATCGAAGGTACAGCGGCTCTTGTGCATGGGAAACCTGTCGGCTGCTGGAGGCACACGCACACGCACACGCATGCACTCGAAGCGCAACTGACCAAACCGAAATGTTTATTCCCCAATGGGCAGCAAAGCTGTCGGCACGATACGGGCTGATTCACTGAAGTCGATAAAGACTGCACTAGCCATGCAGCGGACTCTGATGGTTGCATTCTACTGCTATCGCTGCAGCATCTGTGTCGATCCGCAGTATATGGATCCTAGAAGTCCCGGGCATTTGGGTACAGGAGCATGCGCCGAACGAAATTCCTCTATTGGCTCCGCGACAGGGGATCTCGCGCCTAACGCGTCTTCTGATCCCTGCACGGTGCCTGCATCGGATTACACGCTGTGCACGAACGCATATGTTACACAGCATACGGACTGCGCGTCTGGAGCATCGCCATCGCCGCTTATTGGAGAACAGGCGCGTCGGAACCTTCAGGCTTTTCAAATGCTTCTATTCGAGTGCATGATCTGGCTGCTCGTGTCCGGTTGTGGCCTGGGAGAGTATGGTTGAGCATGCAGTCCGCAGTCGCTAAGCACTGCATCATGCTCCTGATTGCTGTCCAGGCCCCTACTTACTCTCCACACCGTTGTCTCAGCGGGACTGAAGCCGGACTTGCATAAAGTCATGGGGTCGCGGGTGTAACCTTTGGATTGCTGTTCTCTCGACCGCCTTTTCGCCATCAACCCTGGTCCACAATGTGCGTCGCGGCAGTGCACCTAGGTCGTCCGCTTGGGAGCGCGCTTGCTGCACGGGCCGATGCATGAACAGGTTGGTGGCACTGTGGCAGGACCATCGTCCTGGTTGTCCAAACTCGGTTGTTGGTAAAGGCAGGTGGTAGCACTGGATAGTCGTGGTGTAATCCCAGCTCTTCACCGCATTCATCACGACGACGCCACTGCAGACCTTGGACCGTCACCGCCACATTCTCGACTCTTCCGCAATGCCTCCGCCTGACACGATGGCACCGTGTCATCGTCGCCATGGTGTTGCAATGCTTGCAGTTCCTGCCAGGTTCGTCGAGTCTCACAAAACCCTATGGCCACTCACGGGAAGTGACATGAACGATGGATCGTGGGCGTCATGTGAACCAGATTGTCGAGATCTCACTCAAGGTTCCCAAGGTCTTTGACTGCGGCCACTTGCAGCGGATAGATGCCTTCCCCACACGCAGCCGACAGCAGTGCCGATCTGGTTGCAGCATGTCCATTGGAACATGCCGTCTCCGTTCTGAGCGTATGCGAAACCGTATGGGATCATTACTTTGTCGCCTGCGAGGGAATCAAGGTCAGTGAGACTGCCGCATAAATTCAAGTATGATGCACTGACCTGGGTGGTAGCTGCATCTCTCCTCACGATTATTTCCGGGTTCGAAGTCCATTCTACAGTGCTGGCACGTCTCATACATCTTCCTCTTCCGAGAGGACTTTCCAGATAACGGAGCCATTCCCGAATGCGTGAGCACTGGAGCAGGCATCAAGTATGCCGTTGCCAAATCCATGGAACTCTGTTGCGAATGCACCATCATCCTCAATAACTTCCTCAAAGCCCTCGGTGGAGCCATTTCAATCGCCTCATTGATGTCATTTGGCTGTCGTTGTTGCATTCCTGCCCCCGAGGCTAGCATCTCGCAGTCGACGCCGTGTCGATGTCGTTGGCGTGGTGTCATGACGGTTTTGGGAGAGACTGCTGCACTCCGGTTGTTCGCTTCGTACTCCATGTCCATCGCGTAGTCGTCGACATACATTGTTGCGGTTTCTGCTTGCTCTTTCTGGTGCTGGTCTACACGTCGGAGCCAGCGAGAGGCCGGAGAGGAAGGGGCATCGCCTGTCGTGTTTCGGTAGCCCATGGTCGCGGTCCAATGGCTCGATGAAGCTGAATCGCGATTGTGTTTCAGAAGCTCAACCCAAGAGCTTGTTGGGTGTCGACGATATGGTAAGAATGGCTAATGCGATGCTACTTGTAGCAATGATATGTAATTGTTAACAACAAGAGTGAGCACGCAAAGTTGCTTGCTTATCTTAGGTGTGATAGTGAAGGTCAAGGAACTGGCAACCTTGAACTCCGCGGTGGTCGCGAAGGCAACGCGTCTCTCGGGTTGCGAAGCGCGGTTTACCGTTGCGGTTGGCGGAACTCTCGCGTAAATTGAGCTGGAGCTGAGCAGAAAGGCGAATATTTGCCGAAGCCAAACCTTATTTAACTGACCTTCACTTCGTATTCGGGCTGATTGAATTAGGGCTCGTAGCAATGCCTTGACGTTCGGAATGATTGACGAACGCTGCTTGTTTGAGCTTGATTGCATGTTTGCTGAGAGAATGAATCTAGTCTGCTATATTGGTCAGACGGAAAGCGGTTAAATGTCGATGAAGTGACGTCTGGTGGCTCTTCAGACTTGTAGGGATGCAATGGGTCTTGTGGGTCTTGGTATACATCAGATACGATATATTCAATGAGTGTTGATGTCAAGAGCTTTTCGAGAGGGCGCGTTAAGCGCGGTATCTTTTTTGTAGGCGTGGGATGTATAAGCTCATCGTCCCGCGATCACTTAGCGCTGCCATTGAACAACCAGGGGTTGGACGGCCGATGGGGCTTGCAGGCTGATTCCGCTGACAGAGTTTTTCAGATGTTGTCTTCTTAGCTGTTTCGACGAGGTTGACCAGAACTTCGGCGTTCGGTCCAGCTTTTTTGAGGTCAACTCATCAGCGTCATTATCGCCCAGCTTTTCGTGATCGACTTGGATTTTCGGAAGTCGCTTGAGCTCTCTCCTGATGACACCTCAGCGTTGTTCGAAGCTTGATGGCCCACTATTACTCCTCTGTCCTCGTCCGATGCTCACATCAGCACACATCCAACTCCATACATGGCTCTCTCAACATCTCCCTTCACCATATACCAATCAGCTCTCCTCTCAGCGAACTCATACACCTCTTCCGCTGGGAAAATGCCTCGAAACCTCTGAGTATCCGCAATAATCGCAGCCAACTCCTTCGCTTGCGCTTGCGTTTTTGTAGTTTTGCTCCCTCCGCCGAGAATACTAGCCCTCTTTCCCTGCGCGTTTGCTGCGAAATAACTCGCCGGTGGGTCGATGTGCACGAGGAAGATCCCGCTCAGCTCGCGTAGGGCTTCGTAGTAAGGTATAAGAGGCTTTTGGCGAAGTGTGGAGATGAAGGAAGCGTAGTGGTTGATGTCGGAAATGAGTCTAATGGCGCCGTCAACCGAGATGCGTTGGCGCTTGAAGTGTTTGCAGAGTGCGGTGAAGAGTCGGAGCCCGACCTCTTGGTTGAAGACGTCGAGCATATTCTTGTCGGTGCTGCCGACCAGCATACCGGTATGGCCGGAGACCATGTCAACTACTTGCTTGGCTGTCGTGGAGGGCCCGATGTCGACGACAGGTGAGTCGACTGTAGGGTTGAAATCGGTAGGAGTCTGTGTCGTGGCGCAGATGTATTCGACTTCATCCATGAGGACATCTATGCCTTTGTTGAGTCCTGCAGCAACGCGTTCATCGAGCATCTGCTCAAACTTTTTCTTGTCTTTCACAGCGGGATCGAGGAAGTCATCGCGGTCGATGAGCTTTGTGGCGATCAGCTCTTGCGAGTAGAAGACATCGATCATTTGCTGTATGAGATCACCAACGTTGACGAGCTCGAGGAACGTCACCAGAGGCTCGACGCCGACATGAGCAGTTGATCCCGCGGATACGCCGTCGCTCGACTTTGATTCTTCTTTGAACTTGCGCACTTCACGAGGGTTGTACTGTCCGAGATGGCCGACAGCCTTGTCAAAGCCGTTCCTAACGTGCCTTGTTCCAAGGATATCCAGCAGAGTGACGAACATTGTACCACATTGCTTCTTGGCCTCTTCTCCTCGCTCGCCGCCAACCTGAACCATAAGTGCTGTACGTTCAATTGACGCTTTCGCAATATGCGTCAAATTCAGCGCGACCTCAATGCTGAACAGCGACTTGATTCCCTCTAATCGCGAGTTGAGGATTGCAGTCTTGGCGGCGAGTTCTGTTGTGGGCGGCTCTTGTGCCGGCGTGCCTGGCCGAAGTGGAGAGGCACCCAGAGCAGGAGAAGCAGGCCTGCCTCCAGTATATGAGGTGTCGACTGAGTTCAGGTCAATTGCAGCAGATGACCTACTTGCGGCATTGGTAGGCTTCGGAGTGGAAGTACCCGGAAACATATTGACTGGCATCATTACCACTTTCCTGAAAGAGGACAGGAAATCTCGCTTGGCTGCTTGTCGGTTGACGTTGGACATGAAGAACGCTTCAGTGGATGCTTCGTGCTCCGACAGCTCCTTCTCCCATCGGCTGACCTCTGCTTCTGCCTTGGAGCGGAAGACTTCAAACTCTTCACCGAGATACCGATTCATGTCCTTCTCAAAGCACTTGACTAAGATCCGCTTAGAAGCTTCTGCAAAGTCTGCTGGTGAAGCTTTGGTCGGCTTGAGGGCTGCCACGAGGCCGAGTGCTTGTCCGAAGGCGCCTGCGACAGCCTTGACATATACCTCATTGCCACGATTCAGTGCCTCTCTGAAAAGTGTTGCGACGTACTCCAAAATCAATTCTTCGCAGAGCCGACGCCAGAAAGGAGTCAACACATCAACCTCAGGTGGAAATGTCGCATCAATGACACTCGCTTGCTGAACCATGGCCGCAGCCAAGCTATCAAAGAATCGCTGCGATGGGCTGAGATCCACATGGCCAGGCGCACAGCCTTCCAAGCAGTCCAGTGGCTGTCCTAAGCGCCTGGTGCGTGCCATGATATCGTGATTTGAAATGAACGAGTCTATCGCAGCACTCCCGCCGTTTAGGGTCACAAGCACATGTGCATAGCGATGCATTCGTCCAGTCACGTCGTCGGCGTGGTAGCCTTGCTCGAATTCCTTCAGAACGGCATTTTCGAACACGCCAATCATAGAGTCAATTTGCTGTTGGCGCTGTTCCCACCCACTGGCAAGGTCGCATTGAGCAAAGCGTTTGAGATTTCTGAGTATCTGAGCTTGCTGTTCGGGGTCTCGATAGAGGCGGAAGATATTTGCATCTGAATGGCCCTTTGAGCATGCGAGGTCCAAGTACAATGGACCTAGAGCACCATACACCTTACCAAACTCATGCCGCGCGTAGCCACGTATTGATCGCACTCGCTCGAATATACGCAGTGCGGCTTGCGGATCTGCTTGTGGAATGGTCTGAGAAGGGGCAGCAGCAGCAGATCCATTCAATGTCAACTCATCGAAGCCATCCGCAAGCGTCCCTCGCTTCTTCGGTGGTGACTTGGGCGGAGGCTCAATCGACTTTCTGTACCGCTGCTCCTCGACTCCCGCATCGAACATGGTCGTGCGTCGGCCATCACCTGTTGTGCCATTTATGCTGCCTGTTCGCCGCGTCTCGGCACTCTGCCTCGCCGTCTGCGCCTCCGTCTGCCTCTTCATGGCTTCTTCCGCGCGCTGCCTGGCCTCCAGCTCGTTCCACGCGCCCATGGCGTGCAGCTTCGATATCCATCGTGTATCATCGTACACCATTTCCCGCAGTCTGCGAGAGACGCGCGCGAAGCGACATAGATCTGGCACGGGCAGATAGTCGAGGATCGTCGCTATGAGCTCTGCTGGCAACAGCGGCTTTGACTCCACCAGCTGCGTGGAACGCAGCGAATTGAGCACATGGCCGCTGGACCGCGCGTGTGTGCCATCGATCTGGACCTTCTTCAGGGCATCGAAAGTCGAGGGGTTGCGCGAGTGCCGCTTCGAGGCTGTCGTCGTGGGCGTCGAGCGGCCGCTCATACCGGCGACGTGTGCTGCTGCTGTCCTTCTCGCCCGCAAGAATAGACTTTGGCAGTCTTTCGCCGCGCAATAGACTTTCCCACACGTGTTGTCGTGGCAGGCATCGATGCTGATCCAAGTGACGTCGGTCCCTATTTTTCTGGCCTGGGTCTGGGTCTGCACTCTGCAGTGGGCAAGGAAGTGGGAAGCCGACTGTCGCCGACGGCATCGCAACACAGCGTCCGATCTGCATGCTTCACCCACGCAGCACGCTTTGCTTGATCTGCCCTCCGCGCCGCGATCTGCCTGCGCTCCGCATGCCGCCAGACCAAGGAACAGCGCACGACCGCATCGTCGCTTGCATTCTGTCTTGGGCAGGCCGTTGGGCGACGACGAGTCGGACTGCTACCCAACGCTGCCGGCACTAGACTGCCTCTCCCACCTCGACATCCGTCACAGAAAAGCCTGCGCTCCGCGCGCGAGACCAGCTATCCATGTGCTACACAATGGAGCATCACGAGGCCCAGTCGCACCATTGCAGTGCACGCCAATGCACACTTAACATGCTCATCGCGCCGTGTGCCCGGTAGGTGTTGTTCTCGCCCTTTTCCTTCGCTGGTTGTTGCCACTACTCTCGTGCTACACTCAGTCGTGCATTGTTACCATTGGCACATTGCTTAATCAGTAATATCCCCACTCTATCCTGTACAGTCCGGAGACAGTGATATCAATAAACAAGAGCTTCGGGATGTGCTGGCCAACGAAAGTCGACGAATACCGTCCTCCTGCCCCACGCTATGTGAGGACGACGAGGAGATACAGCAGGACGTACTCACCATCTCCTCCACCGGTGCGCCGCATAGAGCGAACATATATACGAAGAGCGCCTGAGCCACTACCTCCTCCGCCTCCGCCGATGAGCCAGCTCCCTCCGCCACCACCTCCACCTCCCATGTCGGTCTATCCTCCTTCTACCAAGGCTCCTTCAGTTCCTCCGCCACCTCCAGCCCCGTCCTCAAAGCCACCATCTAAGGCCCCTTCTGCAGCCCCGCCCGCTGAAGATCCGCCAAAGGAGCCATCTCAGGCGCCCTCCAAAGCTCCTTCGAAAGCGCCATCGAAGGCTCCCTCCAAACCTCCCACCGAAGCTCCTTCAAAGGCGCCTTCCAAGCCTCCCACCGAAGCTCCTTCGAAAGCGCCATCTAAGCCACCTACCGAAGCACCCTCCAAGGCCCCGTCCAAACCTCCAACCGAAGCACCTTCTAAGGCTCCTTCAAAGGCACCATCCAAGGCCCCGTCTAAGGCGCCCAGCGCTGCACCGTCGCAAGCAAAGAGCAAGGCGCCTTCTGCTGCACCGAGTGGAACAAAGGGTAAGACATCGGCGAGTGAAGCTGGGTCAAGAAGGTCCATATCTAACTACATTGAAGTCGAGAGCGAGTCCGGCAGCAGCAGAGCAAGCTCTAGCAGCGGATCCAAGTCTGGACCCAAGTCCCATTACTCTATGCATGAGAAAGAAACCGAAGTACGGCGATACATGCGACCACGAGATGACTGGGAGACATATCGTTACGTCGATGCTCCTCCACCTCCACCTGCTGTCCGAGAATACAGTAGAAACAGGAGCGTAAGTGGCAGACGAGACTATGGAGGCCCACGGAGCAGCTTTGATCGGGAACTGAAGATCTCGATCAAGCGATGATAAATCTCGCCGGCATGTGTTGATGACAGAGGAGCGTGCCTGCTTCTATTTCTCTTCTCTTCTGAAGTTTGTGTTTGCTTTATAAGTGCACGCCTACTTCTTGACGCATGTTTCGTATAGCGAAGCGTTGTTACGACAGCGACTCATGTGTGGTTCTAACGGCCGATTTTAATGAGTATATACTATAAAGCACTGTACTTCTCAATGTATACTGTGTCTCTTGCGCGCGTGCACCAGTGGTCGCACCGGTACCATACGCAGATAACTCATCAGCAGCAAGTCTCACATGCCTACCCGACATGTGCGACGATCACTCGAAATGATGACCTTGAAGTTGCATGTGATGATGGAGAGGCGATGGCTGACAACGCCACGTGGCTGAGCCTTCCCTCGTCGAAACCTCATCGTCACAGCTTCCGTGCCTCGACTCGCGACCAAAATCAGAACTTGCGACACCCGGACACATCCATCAACACGCGACACCTCTGGCAACACAAATTAGTCCTATCACGCGATCACCTCGGAATGCAGCAATAAACGAAACCTCGCAAGGAAGCAATGTGCCTGCACGAGAATGGCAATTCGCGTCTTCCTCCGCGATGGACCGCAAAGGGCCATCGCCTTGGCCACCGATTCTCACGTCTTGATCTTCCGACATAGTCCTTCAACTTCTGGGCAGCAGACCAAGTATGGTTCTTCGACATCCATTTCTGAGTCCGGAACCCCGCGATGCATTGTCGAATTCTCTCCGTGGGGAGAGCAAGACATGAACGGGTACAGAACCCTGTCTTCGCTGTCAATTCAAGGAACACTCGGCTTGGTCACTATCAACGGCGATGTTTTTCTTTGTGTTGTGAACGGCAGCTCGAAAGTTGCGGAAGTGAGGCCTGGAGAACGAGTCAACCGTATCCTGAGCGTGGAATTTCACTGCCTGAATTCGAGTCAATACGATCACTTGCTGCACGATCAAGTGAATCCTTTCCCTACCGATCATCTCGACGCGGATGGCTTTGATCATGGAGGTCATCGTGAACCACTTCTCGAGCATCCGTGCATGGCGCTGAAGAAGCTGCTCTCTGGAGGGACATTCTACTACTCTGCAGATTTTGACCTGACAAAGAGGATACAGGATCGACCTGCTGAAGCAAGCACGATTTCAATTGACAGTTTGGATGCCGGCTTTCTTTGGAATACGTACATGATTCAACCACTTGTCGACTTTCGGAGTAGGCTGAGCAGGAGAGAAAAGGAAGCGCTGGACGCGAGTAGGATTTTGACGTCTGCGATCAGAGGGTTCGCCGGAACTGTCCCTGTGCCACCTTCAAGCTCACCTGCGAGGAAAGAGAACAGAGGGCTACCTAGCAACATGACATTGATTTCGAGACTTTCGTGTCGCAGAGCTGGCACGAGGTTCAATGCACGAGGTATTGATGACGACGGCAACGTGGCGAACTTCTCTGAGACCGAGACGATCTTCACGACGGATCATCTCTGTTTCTCTTACGTCCAATGCAGAGGTAGCGTGCCTCTTTTCTGGGAACAGGCCTCTGGTCTGCCGGGACAGCAGAAAATCACAGTGACAAGATCCTCAGAGGCAACACAGCCAGCCTTTGACAAGCACATGCAGCGATTGTCGGAGACGTACGGCGATATTGTGGTCGTAAATCTGCTCAGCGAGGAGAAGCCCCAGGAGCTGCAGTTGACGAGACAGTACATGCATCACATTGACAGTTCTACTTTGAATCACCATACCAAGGGAGCCGAGTCAGAACATCGACATATTATTCCGGTCAACTACGACTTCCATGCGGAGACGAGGGGACCTAATGGGTACGAGGCCGCAAGCGGGATCAGGAGGTGGATTGAGACTGCTGCTCGCGCGTTCGAGTACTACCTGTCTCAAGACAGTGCAGAGCTCATCACCGAGAACGGAAAGCAACAATCGGTACTTGGACAGAACGAGATCTTGAAGCAGGCTGGGGTCTTCAGAACGAATTGCTTGGACTGTCTCGATCGCACGAATCTAGTGCAGACCATCATCTCGCAGATTGCTTTTGAGATCTTCTTGGAGCAACAAGGCGAGCACAGACCGACTTCGGATTTCTGGGCGAGGCACGGCATGCTGTGGGCTGACAATGGCGATGCACTGTCTAAGATATATGCCGGAACAGGAGCGCTCAAGTCTTCGTTCACCAGATCCGGCAAGATGTCGTTGGCAGGTACTCTGGCTGATATCAGGAAGTCAGCTCAGAGATTCTATATCAACAACGTGGAAGACAAAGGTCGACAGACGACGATGGATATGCTGCTCGGTCGCCTGGTGGGCCAGACTTCTGTACATCTGTTCGACCCAATCAATGATTGGGTGATGGGAGAGCTGAATCGCAGAGCGCCAGAGTTCACTCACTCAGAGAAGATCAACATCTGGGTAGGAACTTTCAATCTGAATGGAAAGACACACGGCATCGACGAAGATCTCAGCCCATGGCTGTGCCCCAACGTCGAAGACGAGTTCAAGGCTCCGGAAATTGTAGCCGTAGCTTTCCAGGAAATCGTTAATCTCGATGTCAATCAAATCCTCTCCACGGATCCGGTTCGACGCTCCATGTGGGAACAGGCTGTTCGCGAGACACTGAACTACAAAGCCAAGAAACGCGGTCACGAAGAATATGTGATGCTGAGAGGCGGGCAACTGGTTGGAGCCTCACTCTCTGTCTTTGTCAAAGCCAGCGTTCTGCCAAAGATTCGGAACGTTGAAGGTGCTGTGAAGAAGACCGGCCTCAGTGGCATGGCTGGCAACAAAGGCGCTGTGGCCATCCGCATGGAGTTCGCAGACACTTCGATCTGCTTGGTTACTGCCCACTTGGCTGCTGGTTTCGGGAATTACGACGAACGGAATCAGGACTATCGCACAATCGCATCTGGCCTGCGATTTCAGCATAATAGAGCCATTGACGATCACAAGACAGTCATCTGGTTCGGTGACTTCAACTACCGCATTGGCCTGGAGAACGAGCGAGCCAGGGCGCTAATCAAGAAACGAGACTTGGGCCAGCTGTACGAGAACGACCAACTCAATTTGCAAATGGTGCATGGGAAAGCATTCCCACATTACTCGGAGCAGACGCCGCAATTCCTACCTACGTACAAGTTTAATATCGGTACGGACGAGTACGACACTTCTGACAAGGCCCGGATTCCAGCCTGGTGCGATCGTGTCTTGACCAAAGGCGATAACATCAGACAGCTTTACTACGACTCGGCACCTCTGCGATTTTCCGATCACAGGCCTGTCTGGGCTCTATTCTCCTGCACTGTTAGTGTCGTGGAACAAGCGAAGAGAGATCAAATCAGCAATCAACTGTACGCCAAGCGTCGGGCGGTTGTTGGCAATCATACCGCAGGAGCGACAGCAGATAGCGACGATGAGTCTCTTTATGGGTATGAATCGATCGAAGCTGGGCTGCCACCTGCAAGCTCCGATAAGAGGAAATGGTGGCTGGACAATGGCATGCCAGCAAGATCGACAGTGCAGCCTCCCGGCGCTGGCCACATCCCGAATCCTGCCAGACCTTCAAATCCTTTCTCCGCATCGAGTGAACCAGACTGGGTCAAAGTCGAGAAGCCTGGATCAACACCACCTTCGCGGCCTGCGAGCCTGTATAGCAATGCGAGCAGTACCGTGCAGGGCGGTTCACTTGCTGGTCAATCTCAAGGCGAGATCGTGCCTAGGAAGCTCCCTCCGCCATTGAAGCCCACGCCACCGCCACAGCAGGTGAACAAGCCAGCCAACATCGATGGCACAACAGATGCCCTGGCTCGCAGTCAGTCACTGCAGTTCCCACGCAAACCTGCTCCGCCTCCAAAACCATCCAAACCTAATCTTCTGCGAACAACGTCCAACACTTCTTCTACAGCAGCCTCGGTGAAGTCTGTCCCTCCGCCGCCCGAACCCAGACGGGCGAACAATACCCCTACCAACACTACCAGAAATGTGTTCCCTCCGCCACCGATTAGAGCTAATGGCGATACAGAGAAACGTAGTACAGCCCCTGTACCTCCGCCACCTAGGAAGCCGGTGAAGACGACTTCGTGGGGAAGTGACGTGTCTACAACGAGGAAGCCAGTTGGATTACCTGAGAGCCATGAAAAGCCGCCTGCGCTGCCTATGAGGAGACCGACAGCGCCGATTATGGATGATGATGAGGAGACCGGCGGGCTAAAAGGTTGGGAGCCGTTGAAGCCGAGTTGATGATCGATGGGTTGGCATAGAGAGCAGAGGATATGATGTATGAGAAATGAATGAAAGCCCTAGTGAGCGATCTCGTGTCGAATATTGGTGATCCTCCGTCGTCTTTCACAATCGAAGTCCTGCCTGGGACAGCTCGCCTAAGAATAACTCGGCACGACCTCTGGCCTCTGCCGAATCAAATTCACCAACGGCGTAAACAATTTCTTCCTTTTTGCCACATCTCCCTCCGCTGCACCATCTTCCCACCCCCTCTTCATCTCCTCCCAACTAACCCATTCCCACCCCTCGCACTTCTCCACCTCCAAATTCTCTGCTTCTTGCTCCTCATCCTCTCGTTCACAACACATGAATATCGTAACATAATGTTTATTTTCCGTCTCCATTATATCATTTGTTGCTGTTAGGAATTCCGGTTCTTTGATGCGTAGGCCTGTTTCTTCGAGGACTTCGCGGATTGCGCAGGAAGAGAAGGTTTCGTTGAATTCTAGGTGACCGCCTGGGAGGGCGTAGGTTCCGGAGCCGTGGGAGCCTTTGCGGAGGCCGAGGAGGAAGGTGGGGTTTGAGGGGTGTTTTGTGTGGGAGGGGGAGAGGATGAAGACGCCTACGCCGACGCGGACTGTGGGGGGAGCGGATTGGGTGGAGGACATCTTGTTGAATACTTTGGGTTCCGGGCTGAGGTGGATTTTCGCGCGTTGAATGGCTTGAGGATTTCGGGCTTGAGAGAGTGAAGGTTTTGATATTTCCGAAAGTTCTTGAGTATTCGATGTATTGCTCCTTATGTGTCAATGGTTTGATCGAGGATTCGAATGCTGATTTGTAGAGTGGATGAGGTTTTGGCCTTGTGTTGATCGAGTCATAGAGCCCATGTCTACTCGTAGAAGGCGTTCACGGTAGAAAGATCTTCCGGGGATCTTCCTTGGCAATACAGGTGAGGAGAGTACTTGCCCGCAATGAGAAATCAGTGTGCGAAGTGAAGGTGCCCGATTCAAACAGGCATCGTCAACAGCAGTAGCGAAGTTCGTGTAAGTTTCCAAATTCACAGGACATTGTATCTTGACTTCTCACACGTCACGGCCGTGTATTAATGCATCAGCAAATTCGTTCATTCTCACTCGTCGTCAACCTCTCCCACACCTCTCCTCCTTCAAACCTGCTCCTCTCCCTTAGGCTCACCAGGAATATGCACAGCAGTAAGCACATCCTCATCCTGCTGCCTCTTCCTGAAGATCATTCTAGCACTCAATCCATTCGCACAGACACTGTTGTTAATACAGATACTATACCCGCAGCAACTCCTCGCATCAAGACAAATTTGTCCCGTCTTACAGTCCGAGTTTCTGCTGCAAGTTTGGGAGCTACATGAAGCATCTTGGAAACATGCCGTCTGAGTCTGGGTGACGTCGTAGCCGCAGTAGCAGTTTTGGGAAGGATTGCATTGGCGGTAGGAGCCGCAAGTGCCTGGGTTGCTGCAGCCAGTGATTTGGGCTTGTTTGATGCAAGGGAGGCCGTTGTTGGCTGTGTTGGTGAAGGAGTAGGAGTATGAGATGTCGTATTCGGATCCTTGGTAGGCAGTTTTGCTTAGGGTCGCGTGGCTGTCTTCCTGTGGGAGGAAGTATGGTTAGAATCTTGTCCGAGGAAGTACGGAAGCGAGGCGGAGGGAAAGGACTTACCCAAGTCTGTTTGTACATGGCGCAGTATTGACCTTGTGGCTGTCGGTTCTTGCTGATCACGTAGGTGTTGAAGAAGCGGCATGGAGCGGATGGGTTGGCATTGGTTTGTGCTGTGCATGCTCTGCAAATGGAACAGTCAGCAAGGTATTCGGAAGTTCTATCATAGAGAGAAAGAACACTTACGCGCCGCAACGTCTGGCATCGAATGGTTTGCCATCATTCCAGTACTGGAAGCCAACGAAAGTGCTCTTGTCGTTGCAGTCACTGGGTGCAGAGATTGCACGACTGCCGAGAAAGTTGGGTCCAGTGTAGCCTTGGACGGTGTCCACAGTTTGGTTGACGTAACCGTTGCTACCAGCAATGACAACACGGAAATCTGTACGCCATTGACCATCGTTGACTGCATTCCTAGCAGTGACGGGGCCTCCCCAGTAGACACACTTGATGAGGGTAGTGGACGGACTAGACTATAATCAGTACTGTGCTCAAGTCGTTGCTCTGGTATGACATACGGGTTGTCACATGCACCACCTTTTGGAGATGGGTCAATCGAAGGATGACGCTCGAATGCAATGCTAAAGACAAATTAGCCCACGAGCGAACTGAGTTGCCGCCGAATCGTGCACTCACTTGAAAGCTGCACAGCCATCACGGACATCGCACTTCTTCGAGCACTCCACAGCATCATATTTGTCGAGCAAGTCGTAGCCCATATAGCCAAGAGCATTGTTCATGGCTTTCAAGTTCTTGAAGGTGTTAGTGTAACCGGCTGGGGTTGGCGCCGCAAGAGCAGCGTTGCTGAGATCAGCAAAGTCGAGGAATGCTTCGGAAGTATCTGGGTTTGGGATGGGTCCCTTTCCAGCCCACAGCGGATCGCATGCGGCACGCTTGAATTTGGTCGCTGGCGTTGCCGGATCAGCCTTCTGTTCCGCTGCAGCTTGTTGTTGGATAGCAGCGGCATCGTAGTGAATAGTCTGAGATGGTGCCTATTAGACGACATTGGTCAGTTCTTCGGGTCTGCGATGTGCCGCTCACTGATCCAGAGATAAACTTGTGACTACATGAGCCTAGTTCAGACTGGTATTCTTACATCTTGCGCAATCGACGGAGTAGGCGGAGCTCCTGCTGCAGCTACAACAGCAATATCGAGCTGCAGGTCTGCGGCCAAGACTGTGACGGAAGCTGCAAGAGCAGCTGCCAGATACTTGAAAGACATGTCGCTGTCTGGAGAAAGATGGACGAGAGAATGATGTAGATCTCTTCCAGACTAGTCGAAGGTTCGAACAACGTGGTTTTATACTCCCCAGGCTTCGGTATCGACGACTCTGGAGCACTATCCCTTTAACACGTGGGGTCCATGTGCATGCTCAGCATGGCTACTTTGGAAATTGTCGGCGCTCAGAAGAGTGATTGTGGCTGCTGCTGGACGGCATCTTTTGGCTGGCTCTATTAGTAGCTCACTGTAGTGTGTACATTGATGCAGCCACTGGCAAGCATCCTTACTGCTGTGAGCCTCTAGGCACAGCCACTGGCGGCAGACGAGGAGTGCTATGTCCGATGGAGCCATGCATCTTGATCTGATGGGGCTCCAGTGGCGTCCAGCACTCCGAGGTGTAGGTTTCCAATGTGGTAATGTGGCCTGGTGAGGTCATGAGGAGGGTAACAGAGCTTCATTTCGTGATAGCATGTTTCCTGGCAACATGAGGTGAGGTCTGTGAAGCATCAGAGCTTGTAGGCCTATCGCTTGACGAAGAGATCGCTGTTGTCAGTACAGTGAACAATTTCGAAGATGCTCAACTGTGACATCTCAAGCTCGTGCCCGGCCTTGAGCTAGAGAAGCATCGTGCAGATGTTTACACTTTGTCATCAATGCCGCTTGGGAGTGGGTCCGCAAGCAGCCCGGCTGCGATTCATCAAAAAGACTGCTAGCATGTCCACTACCAATCCGCAGTGGGCAATCTGACAAGGACATGTTCAGAAGCAAAGTCGTTTCAACAGCTCCATATCGTACCAGTGATTGCACACTTCGGCACTTCCATGCCTTTGGACGTCCTGACTAGAGGCGTCAGAACGTCATCGAAGGCTTTCGCAGGACCCAACTTGGTGTTTGATGGCGTTCTTCGCGGCACATGCCAGCTCGAAGTGGAAGCATAGCTCGAGGCTATATGTGCATCTGGGGAAGAGTAGGCTTGGCAAAGCGCTACTGTGAGCTGTAGTGCATAGTGGGATAGCCGGATCGAGCCACTGATGAGCAAGCCGAGCACACGTGTGTGCTTATTCGGGGGCCCACGAGGCTTGCGCCCACTGTGCCAGAGGCTTATGCACGAAATATTGTGTTTCAAAGTCGACGGCTCTGCTTGTTTGCCATATGAAACTTTCCGTCCTGCAAAGTCGTGCAGTGCAGTGCTGTAAGATAACAGCGGTCTGTGATCGAAGTCGTCCGAGGCCCGAGACTACGCCACGTGCGCGCATAGCTACAGGCTTCGTCGTAAGTTCAGTGTGAACATGGCCTACCAGAGACAGTTGCTCGTATCGCAGGCGTGTGAAAACTTGTCGCTAGGTCTGGATTTGAAAGTCTGCGGAATGGTGAGAGGGAAAGGTACGGCAGAACAAGCCACTCAGCAGCATCCGAGCGGATGCCATGTGCTCCATCAATAGTTGAGATATATCTGGAAGCCTTTGAGTCAGTGTATCCAGGACCAGTAGTCGTCCTTGCTGTGTGCATTGCAGTCGTCTCCTTGGCGGAACGGTGTTCAAATCATGGCAATGGGATTGTCGCTCGCAGCGCTGTGTTCGTCGCTTGATTTGAGAAGGCCGTGGAGGGCACAACACGAGATTGACTCATGGCAGTCACGGCGATGCGCGAATGCACGCGGAAGTCAGTGGTTTTGGACGTGTCGAGAGGGCGGCAGGATCGCAGGCTCCGTGAAAGCTCAATCTTCGCCATATGGGTACTGTCGAGAACGCATTCACGCGTGATACTATGATCATTAGCATGGTAGTTGTCGATGGTCTTGTACGCGACCAAGATTGGATGTCGCGGCGCGTGATGAGGCCTCAGGCACAATTGAAGCACGGTTCCGCGTCAAGGCTTAGAATAGTCACCAATGACGATGGACGACTTCCAGACCCCGTCGCTCTCCAACACCGACACTTCTCCGCCCTCCATTCGAAGATACCGTCCCGCCCGCAATGCTGCCATTGAGACCTGCCTTCGTATCAACATCACACCGCATCGCCTTTACCAACCACGGACAAGGCAAGCGATATCTCTGCTAGTGATTCGACTTCCCTCTTGTGGCCGTCCAATCGATACCACTTGATTGGTGCTTTGCTGCACCCTGACCCCGGCTCGAGGGAAGCCTTTCTGCAATTGGGCATGGAAACCAGCTCCAGCATTGCCCCACATTCACGTTGACGCGGAGGGCGCGTCGAGCTTCTGAGTGAAGGTTGAAATATATGCCGGAGGCCTGTCGCGAACATGGTCGCGTGTGCATTTCCGCTATCTTTCTTTCAGAAATTTGAGAGTCTTCACAATGGCGTCGGGTGACACTTCATATCTCATCGTCGGAGCTGGCGTCTTTGGAATTTCCACGGCGTATCATTTGATCAAGAAGTATCCAAATGCTTCAATCACTGTCGTGGATCGCGATGCATGGGATGCGGACAGCAGAGTAGCAGCTTCGTGGGACTGGAATAAGGTCGTACGAGCAGACTACGACGACATTCTCTACTGCAGACTGGCACTTGAGGCACAAGACATTTTCAACTCAGAGGAACTCTTCAAACCATTCTTTCACCAAACTGGAATCTGGTGGGCATGCAGAAGCGACTACGCCCAGGACGTGCTCAACAACTACAAGAAGCTAGGTCGAAAGGCCGATCTCAAGGCCATCACCATCTCAGAGGCAAAGGAGCTGTTTGGTGGTCTGTTCAATGAGGCAGACTACGATGGCGTGAAGGAGGTCCTTCTCAACAAGACAAGTGGATGGGCAGAAGCTGGCGACTGTCTCCAAGCAGTCACAAAGAAGTCCATCGAGCTTGGCGTCAAGTATGTTGTGGGAGAAGTGCAGACTCTGCAATTCGGCAACAATGGACAGTGCACAGGCGTGAGGTTATCGAACGGCAAGTCTCTGACTGCTACGCACACAATTCTCAGTACCGGAGCATTTACATCGAAACTTCTCGAATGGAGTGCTGAAAGCAGTGGCAACAAGGAACTGCGTGCTGGCGATAGAATTCTTGCAGCTGGTATCACTACTGGCATGACCACACTCAACGACAAGGACTATGAGAGCTTCAGAGACATGCCAGTGGGTGTTCAAGGATACACCGCAGCAACGGGACCTTTCATTGGCAGTCTCCCGCCAACCAAGGACCGAGAACTCAAGTGGTGGGGTCAGACAATCTTCAGCAACAACACTGAAGTCTTGCCTGGACGCTTCATATCTGCCCCTCCCGCGAAGTCAGACTATGCTCAATGGGACACTTCGAAACGCATGAAGCAGGACATTGACTACGCCAACAACGTCTTCTATGGAAAGAAGGGTGCCAACTGGAAGTTTGACAAGTACCGTGTGTGCTGGTATGTGCTTCCCGAGACACTTCCTGACTTGACTACAACTTGCTAACTTAAACCCCCTACAGGGACGCATTCACCACCTCCGCCGACTTCATCATATCCCCTCACAGCGGTGCCAAAGGCCTCTATGTCGCCACATGCGGTAACTTCCATGGCTGGAAGTTCTTCCCTGTTCTGGGCAAATACATTGTGCAGATGCTCGAAGGACAATTGGAGCCTGAGTTGAAGGAGAAGTGGGCATGGGATCGCGAACGACCAGATCCTTCATTGAACCCAGACTGGCCACGCGCCGAGTACAAGACGCTGTTGGATCCTGTGAGGACATCGAAGCTATAGATCATGACTTCTTGCTATTGAGCGTTTGGGAACCAGATGGGCACATGTGAGCTCGGCAATATTATGGCCAAGGAGTTGACGGAATTCATCATGAATAATGTGTTGATGACTAGCATAGAATAGGAGCGGCATAGTCGTCTTTTGTATTGCAATGCTTAAAGATCGCCAAGTGACCCTCCAAAGATACATCAATGCCCGGGAGATAGTTTTAGTACCTTTACGCCGATATCGGTATCTTGGCGGCTACGAACACGGCGCGTCTCCAATCATTGACGCGTTACCCGTGATTCGACCATGATCTCTGCCAAACGTAACTCTGCCCAAGCATTTTGTTTCTTGTCGTCCTGATGGTGTTGTGTCCGATCTGTAGCAAGCCGGTTAAGGAATTCGACATCAACAGACACCTTGATTCAAACTGCACCTCATTCCTCGAAGGCGAATCCCCACCAGCGACACAGGCGCCTTCGGCAACGCAGGCCAATGGAGCAAAAGGGAAGAGTGGTAAGGCAGCGGCCTTCTTCACACCCGCCGCGAAGAAGAGTGCGACTCTGCGAACAGATGAGGTAGCATCCTCGTCGCCAGCTGTACCAACACCGATCTCGAAACCTTCTATACTACCGTCGAGTACAGTTCCAGTCAAACGGCCGCGCGAAGAGGATGAAGAAGTGCCAGCGGGATTGCAGAACAAGGCAGAGGGAGTTGCACCTCCTGCAAAGAAGGCGAAAGACGCACACAAACCACTGGCAGAGCGCATGCGACCGCAGAGTCTGGACGAAGTGGCAGGACAAGAGCTAGTGGGGCCACACGGAGTACTGCGCAATCTGATAGTATCGGATCGCGTACCGTCCATGATATTATGGGGAGGGCCGGGCACAGGAAAGACAACAATCGCAAGGCTCATAGCACAAACAGCAGGGACGAGATTCGTGGAGATCAACAGCACATCGAGCGGCGTAGCAGAATGCAAAAAGCTATTTGCAGAAGCAAAGAATGAGATGGGGCTCACGGGTCGGAAGACTATCATATTCTGTGATGAGATACATCGCTTCAGTAAGAGTCAACAAGATGTCTTTTTGGGGCCGGTCGAAGCGGGCCAGGTCACATTGATTGGAGCGACGACGGAGAACCCGAGTTTCAAGGTCGTCAATGCGCTGTTGAGCAGGTGTCGGACTTTCACACTATCGAAACTATCGGATGAGGATATTTTCGGCATTCTGAAGCGGGCTTTGTTGCGGGAAGTACCTGGACTGCCAACTCCGTCTCCGAGTCCGTCTGCGGAGGAAGATTCGGAGTTGGCAAACACCGCACCCAACAGTTTCCAACTACTCTCGGAAGATGACTATGCTCTCGTACGATACCTTGCGGCGTTTGCGGACGGAGACGCACGAACGGGCCTGAACCTCTTGGAACTGGCGCTGGATCTCTGTCAGAAGCCTGGCACAACTACCGATGATATCAAGAAAAGTCTCACACAAACACTAGTCTATGACCGCGCAGGAGATCAACACTATGATACAATATCAGCCTTCCACAAGTCCGTTCGCGGAAGCAACGCCGATGCGACACTCTACTATCTCGCCCGCATGCTACAGTCCGGAGAAGACCCCCTGTACATCGCTCGACGAATGGTAGTCATCGCGAGCGAGGACGTCGGACTTGCAGACAACACTATGCTCTCGCTCGCAACAGCAACGTACTCCGCAGCCGAAAAGATCGGAATGCCCGAATGTCGCATCAACCTTGCCCACTGCGCGGTAGCATTAGCGCAATCACCAAAGTCTACTCGAGCATACCGGGGCTTGAATGCCGCGTACAAGGCATTGAACGAGCCCGGTATTGCGGGATTGCCTGTTCCGATACATTTGCGGAATGCTCCGACTAAGTTGATGAAGGAGCTGGGCTATGGCAAAGAGTATAAGTATAATCCGGACTATGTGGATGGGAGAGTTGTGCAGGACTACTTGCCGGAAAAGCTGGAAGGGAGGACGTTCCTTCAGTCGAGGGATCTTGGGGAGAAGATTGATCCGGAGGTTGTGGAGATGGATGAGCAGATGAGGTTGGCGGAGGAGCATGGGCATGAGGGTGTAGAGGAGATTTTGTTGGGGCCTGATGGGGATTGAGAGATGCCAGGGGTTGCGAAAAGAGGATCCATTGCCGAGACACATACCCGGACCCCAGATGTTGTGAGGGAACCCCAGACGGAGATTAATGCCGCTACACCGTCATTCAAAGGAGTCCTTCGAGCGGAGCGTCGACCTGTGTTGGACGAAGCTCACCGGGAAAGTCATGTCGTCCCTCCCAGGAAATTCTGTATACTTGGAAGATCAAGGACATGCCTAAAGGCGTGGCATGCTTCTGATTATGAGCGAGGACTAAGGGGAACCGCTCTCATGCCAAAGCTGGATGTCACGCTTGGAATCAACGCCAAGCTGAAAGTGAAAGCATTGGATGATCTTTGAAAAGTGGACTTGCTACATATCATACGCACTATCAAGTCGTCCAACCCGACCATCTTGCTCAAGGCAGACCAGGCAGCAGACTCTTAGAATCTTTGTCACTTCTCAGAACTCTGCCCGAGGTCGCCCGCTTCGGCGAAGTCTGCTCCTTATACGGCTGCTTCTTCACCTTTGGCTTCGTCACCTTACTAGGCGCCCTCTTAACCGGTCCCTCACTCCCCTCCCTCTTCTGCCTCTCCTGCTTAGCTTTCTCCCTCTTCTTCGCAGCCTTCTTCCTCTCCTCCGCAGCCTTTATTTTCGCTCTGTAGATCTTGCCGACACCGCATTTGTCGACCATGCGCGCGTGCGTTCCTTTGGGGATTGGCTGATTTGTTTTCTCTATCTCTCGGTCGGGTTTCATGAACCGGGGACCGCTGCGAATGTCGGGTTTGGTCATTGTGGGGTTAGGAAAGGACTTTTGTTTGGTTGAGGTGTGATGGGCGCGGAATTGGCGTTGGATTTGACAATGATTGAGACAATTGTCAGTCGGGCTACATTCCAGCCCGCACTTATGGAGCCTTCAGAGCTGTGAGCTTTCTTTTGTTCGAGTCTGCATGCGGACTGGGGTTGAATGGGATGGGGGCATATCTCTTTGTCCATTCTTGATCGACAGTTTTCGCTGCTTGGGAATTGAAGAGGAACAGAGCGGTGGACTTTGGATTGGATTGATCAATGGTCGAGAGGACTCTATTGCTATGGAACAATAAGCTGGAAGAACACTTGGTCCATGAAGTTGACACGCCATTAACTCGTGCATCTTCATAGATGTTATCTGACATGATGCTCCCTTTGTCTCTGCTTTTGGCTTGAGCTTTAGGAAGTTGTGTGGCAGGATGCTGCGTGAAGAATATCTGATGATGAGTTTCTGATCATCAAAGTGCTCGTGACATGCCTTACAACGATTTTGGTAGAGGGATCTGGCTCACGTCACTTCAAGTGTGAATACCTCACCGCAAGATCAATCTCAGCGTCACCGCATGTCTTACGCTGATCATGCTCAGAACCACGCAATCTCAGGTCTCAGGATGTTGGATTGCTGATGATGCTGAAAGTGCGTTTGCTCGATTCGGTCGGTGACTATCGCTCAGTGATGTTGATCTTGTGCGATTTCAGGGCATGCGATGTAAGCAGCATGAGGGATAGATCCCTTCGTTTTGTCTATGTTTGTTCACGATGTCTTATTAATGTGAGGATGATTGAAAAGCAGACCCCGATGTGCAATGATGATCTTGCAGGTACAAAGTACGCATCCTCTGACCTGGTCTGTGCTCCGTCATCGTGGCTGCATTTGGTCACGACAGCGCTGTCTTCGACTCACGGAGCCATTTTCGCAACTGCTCACCTTTAACAGCAAAGCTTCGATGGAGCACGAGCGGTGTATTGTTGGTCCCAGCCATCGATCGGAGATGCAGCTGTCATTTCATCGCATGAACAAACTCCGTTGAGACGCGGAGTTCCTCAAAATCACGGCAGGTGACATCGGCTGACCATTGGTCAGCTAGCGCGCCCTAGCGTGTCAGTGTACGGTTGCCGCAACCGCTTTTCACGCCCTTCTGTCAAACTTTGTTCTGACGGTATACCTGTACGTTTAGTCAAAGCGAGCCACACTCTGTTGAACACGCCTTGCGAAGTAAATGTTGCTTTGCAATGCGCGGGACTCACCACAAGCGAGGAGTAGAGTCATACTGGCATTGCGTAGGTCTGTGGTATAAAATGGTCGTCTCTCAACCTGTTTCTGTCGTATCATCAGCATCAGAATCAACTCAATACTCTCAGATCTCACATTGAGAACAGATCTTGCGCGAAAACAGAGCAAGCAAACAGCTCAGCCATCCTCCCACCTCAACCAAAACAACCAAACAACATCACAATGGCAGCAGCAACAAGCTTCTTCCTCACCTCTGAGACCAGCCCAGGCAGCCGCAAATACATGAGCTCATCCAACAGCACATCGCGATCATCTTCCTACAACGCATCCATCCAAGAAGAGTCTGCTGCTCCTCGCAAGAACCAGACCTTGGACAGCATCTCAGAAACCGGCTCCTTCATCTCCATGGACAAGTTCATGAACGAACAAGCCAAGTCTGGCAGCTCCTCGAGGCGACAAGCAGTGTCGAACAAGCTCCGAGAATGGCGATCTGAGTCCCATGCCACTTGGAAGAAGGTCCAGCCATACTATGAGGACTTCAAGTACTGGGTCATGATGGGGCCACACTAGAGGATGGATCTTGTTGAAGTGTTTATTGGAGGTCGATGACTGTTTTCGGGTTCGATTGGTAAATCCAGGATTGACGGGCGCTGGAGTTCGGGCATGCACTAGAGTTTTTCTTGCAAGGTGTTGTATGCGGCTTTTGAGATACCAGTAGATGAGTAATGAGATAATTTTGACCTTTCTTTGGTGTCTGTGATTCGATTTCACATCTTGCGGGGATTTGTTGTGGACATCATTTCGCACACGTCAAAGCCGCAACGCGACGAGTCTGTTAGATGCCTTAGGCACTCACCCAATCCTGGTTTCCTCTCGACACCCTGTGCGACTGCACTTCTCCCCATACCATACTCACATTCGTCAACTTGGAACACTCAGCTTTCCTTCTCCATCAAGAGTAACACAATACCAAGCGGTCTAGGCTGTAACCCTTGTCACATGCGGTCTGGCGATGCATTCCGCAGGTGCCTACGACCACGATCACAGGCACAGCCATCGCAAACTGTCATGACTTTGCCATCAGCGGGTCCGATCGAGCAGGCAGGCCACTTCTCATGACCATGGCAGCTTCGGTCACTGACATCGACTACTCGTGATATTTTCGCCAAGCAGTATGGACTCATTCGATAGCCAAGCGGTCTCTGACATGTGTCTCTCGAAGCACGTGGAACTAGTGCTCTACCACACGAGCTACACTGTTCTCCTAGCTTCGTCTGGAGTAGCGCGAAGTCTGGACCTCAATATGGACAGAATCAGGATTAATGTATGGTGAAGAAGTCAATGGGAGTTCTCTTTATGCAATCGTGGAGCCTTTCAAGGAGGATCTCAGAGCTACGTTGGTTGCGTGACTATGCTCAAAGTGGTGAGGCAAACAGCTAATGACATGGGAGCTTCAAGATTGACCTGCCCGTATGATATCTGGCTGTGATCAAACTCGTAGGGCTGCTGACTTTGCATTGTTTGTCTCATGGTACGGTCAACCAGTATATCTTCCTGCTCCCTGCTGCTGTTTTTCTAATTTAATTCCCACACGTTCAGCAGCATCGAACAGCACAAGCCCCTTTGGACAAGCACATTGATCAAGCCTACTTTGGCATCTACCGTTGCTACTTGCAATCAAAAGTCTCTTTGGACAAGCATATCAGTCAAGCTGATCTCGGACTTTACCACTGCTGCTTGCACCTTCAATCTCCTTTGGACAAGTTTTTGAATCAGCCTACTTTGAACTCTCATATCGCCGTCTGCATCAACGACCTCGTCTCTTCATCAACACCCGTTATTGTTGAGTGGACATGCGTTCGACGCTTCTGTTGGTTCTCTACGCCGGCGCTGTGGTGTGCTTGCCGCATGCCGCAACTTCGCCCGATGATGCAGTGAAAAGCAACACAACTCACAAGATATTGCTACGCTCCCCGATGAATCCGGTAGGCGGGAGTGGAAGTGGGAGTGGCAGTGGAAGTGGGCAAGGCACAGGAACGGGCAAGCATCCCGCTAGCCCAGGTGAATGTCAGGGCAGTCCGAAGCGAGTCAAACCAGATGTTGACACTCACAATGAGAATTGCTTCCGAGGTGCTGAGATCGAAGATCTCTTGTGGTACACGACAGAAAAGATTACGGAGACATACGGTCATGACTACTCCAGGGGCTTGGACTCGCGTCAGCTGCGTAAGAAAGGATGGGAGCTCACTAATACGGCGCAAGATATGAACAGCCTTTGTCCCGAGCTGGAAGGACTTGAGCCAGACTGGGACACTCTGCGAGGCAGAGCCGGCGATTTCAATAGGTATTTCCCGAAACTGCAAGTCAAGGCGGGCTTTGGCGAGTGGGAGACGCATTCCAGCCAAAATGAGCTTCGCACCTCTTACGTCAACTCTTACAGTCGCAATTATAAAGCTTTTGGTAAGCGTGTACTCCTAAGCCGCCGACTAGATTGCGTATACTGATGACAGCCAGTGATCTCTTCGGCAGACGACCAGGTCTGGAAACATGGCATACCATCGGGCCATGTCCCAGTTCAAGCCCAAGCCGAGGAAAGTATTCGCTGGGCAGACATAGCTTACTACGACTGGGCTATATCTAAAAATCATGCGGGAACTGGATTTAAGACCAAGCCGCACCCAGACTCCACTCACAAGATATCCCCCACACCGAATTGGTTTCTGATCCAATCAGCTGCCGTATCGCCGGACACAAAGACCGTCACCAAGTATTGTCTGAGTCTTTTCGGCATTGATGCGTTGCCCGTCTGGCCCAAAATCATCACTTTCCCGACTGGCTCATACTGCCACAGATTGGTCCTGGGTACAGCAAGTTCTGCGGAGGTTGCTCAATTCCTGATTACAAAACGTTGGGTGCTGGGCCACAAAGTGTTCTCGTCTGTCACGATATATGCCACAAGTGAAGACAAGAAGCAAGAAGCACCAAATTTGTTGTGGCAGACTGCGGAGTTCCATGACAAACTCGATGTTATGAGACAGTCGAATAACGAGGCTGCTTTCCCAGGGACACCTGACGGATATCCACACATGTTCAAGCCAATTCCCGGAGGGCAGAAGGCATAGAGAGCTACTGGATGGGCATGTTCAATTGCAATTGCCAACGATGAAAATCGGAGCGATTTGGAACAAGACATCTGATACAAATGTTGAGGAATTCAATCATGTGAGATACTAACACTTACCCTGTGGATGTACATTGCTGACTGCGTATTCAGAACTCAACCGGAATACGATACGGTGTTTCTGCGACAGAGGTTATTTGTCAAGCAGACCAATCTGGTGATTGCAATATCATGCGGATATAGTTTATTCTGGAGATTGTTGGAGCGGCTGAACAAGTTCTATATCTGCGATATAAGTGAAGCACAGTAACCCATGGTCTTACCATCTCCAAATGTCAACTCTGTGATCTTGGTGCACACGAGGTATTTTCAAATAGCTCTGGATGACCCGGGGCCATCGAAGGTGCAGCATGTGACGACGGCGGACAAAGCCGTTTGAGGAAGATCTCAGAGGTTGACAGTCGCTTGCGGTGGCGTGAAGCAACCAAACGATACTGATAAGATGCAAAGTCATGTTTCTGTTCCATCGAGGCTCAGTCCAGCCGCCAAAGGTGACGAAGATGGCACTGTGTAGTAGGCAGATTAGCAGAGCGAGGGCCGCTATAGCTCGGTGTAGTAAGTGTGAGATCCAGTGTACTCTCATCACTGCGTTCGTGTTGAGTCCAATAACTGTGAGGCGATGACGTTCATTGGCGAATTATAACTTTGTTAAACGACAAGCCATGTAGCTCTTATTTGACGTTTAGATATTGGTCGCTACGGTGGCACGGCTAGGCTATGCCCTCGTACCTGCAGAACTTCCGGTCGACAAACCTCGTCCTATCATCTCATGTTTTCCGATGACAATCGATGACGGTAAAGCAGAACGGCAGACGAAGAATGTCGTACTGTTTGTCAGCAGTTCCACAACCTTTTGAGACAGACGAGCGATAGGGCTAGAGAGAAGCACAACTAGTGCATGATCGTGGAGGAGCAGCCTCGCACAAGAGGATGATCTTTGCTTGTAGTACAGCTGACGCGAATGGTAGCACGAATACATCGCATTGTGTGCCAACAATACCTTGGATGTGCGGAAATAATCAGTGGGATGGCCAGAGGAAAAGCAGCTAGAGAATTTTCGCGGGAGGGGTGCTCAATATGTAGTCGGTGACTTTTGATGGTATAAGCCATCGCCCGACTATTCCGTGATCTGTTTTTCGTTACTGCCATCGTCCTCGTTGCCCCTGCGGATATGAATCAAATTGATGGTAATGAACAGTCAACTGGACAAGTGGTGCCATGAGGGGTCCAGCTTCTGCGCATCGATTTGGTCGATTATTGTCCCGTCAGGAGCCTTCGAAAATAGAGCATGTCTTCAATGTATCTGAGACCTGTTGATCAGTATGGGGCGAATGAGGAGGGGCCAGTAGAAAACGGTTATGAGGCGTGGAAGCCAGGAACGGCAGAATTGACACAATTCCGAACAAACTTTCGTTCTGGCGACGTGAGATTGACTGCTGACGTACAAGCATGCCACGACGCGGTAGCGATAGCTCTATCCACGAGTGGCTCATCAGGTGTCTCGGAGCAAATACAGCGAGAGTCCAGCACGTGGGCTGGATGTGTGCGGAAAAGGCATGCTGTCAGCCCATGTGCCAGGCACTCCAGGCCAACAATGCGTACTTGAAAGACCTTCTGCGACTGTAGGTCTCAGAGTCTCGTAGCAACAGCACTTTCATTACGACAATCTCAGGAAATGCTCTGGCAAGTCGCAATCAGTCTCTTCTTTCTGCCAGTCGGCCAAGGCGCACCAACAGACTCGAAGAGATCCAATACTGGAGGGTCATCGCAAGGTGGACAACAGCCAAATGTGGCGCCGGTAGGGAACACAGACACGCACAACCCTTTCGCGCTCATGGACCACTACAGGCTGCAAGGAGTAAGCCTGTTGAACGTAATGGGACAAGAAGATGCTCGTCAGCTTGATTTATACCGCAGTCCTTTCAAAGCCGAGGACTTCTGCGATCCAGATCATGGGATTTGGCAGTCTCTGAACCGTGATCCAGACACGCTCTTGGGGTTACAAAAAGCGATCCCTGAGCTCGAAGGTTTGGTTGGTGTTAAGGGCTTCGACTCGCCGGAGTCCGCGGTGAGGTGGTCTGATGAGGAGCTCTGGATTGACGAAGCAAGGGTCTTGAATCCATCTCCCGATGAACTTGAGTACCGAAATCTACTAAGTGGACCAAACAAAATGATTAGTGAGCTTGAATCCAGTGAAGTAGCGCCCCAGATGACGCTGACTATTTCTAGTTTCACTGCTACGCGAAAGTTCCGTCATTGCAGACGCAGACCGAGATGCCCAGTATGAGACCAAACTCGGGCGATGGTCCGACGTGACGTTCCTGTCGTATGGTCTCCTGGTGACCGCTGGCGAGGGCGGCGAGGTGAACAAAGATTTCCTGAACGAGGCACCTGAAGGCTACATCCCAGTTCACAAGAGATTGGCCCCGACTTGGTTTTTACAGCACGATATCGAGGTACTCGACGAGCTCACCGATGTCGTCCAATTCTGCCTGGGAACTTATCACACTTGGACACTCGCCAGCTGGCCAGGGGTCACGTTTCCCATTGGCTCGTTCTGCTATCTGGCACTTCTTGGAACCGAAACCGGAACGGAGCTCGCCATGTTCTTCGTCAGACACCGTATGGCAATTGGTCGTGCGATTTTCGGCTCAGTGACTGTCTTCAAGGACAAATCTGGCAAAACAAATTTGTTGTGGTGGGCAGCTTATGACGATGCCATTGTTGAGAGGCTTGGGCTGGAGATGAATGTGAAGAATTCGAAGGCCAATGACGCTGCCAGGAGACTTGATACCTCCGATAATGCATTCCCTTATCCGCTGGCACCTGTGCGTGCTCCGGGCAACCATTTATGAAGTGCAAAGAAGGTCGATATTAAGGTGATGGGTCCGGGAGAATTGTGCTGGGAGTGTTTCAATATTCTGCAGCTCTGGTTCGGTTTTTCCTTCAAGCTTCGAAAGGTCGCCGTGGGTTTCGGCTTTTTCGCCAGTGAAACTTCTCGATAGGCCTTTCCAAGCGAGCCAGTGGTTGTCAACGACACAGCTTCATTTTGCGCCCTCAAAAGGAAGAACTGCTTCGTGAGTTTCATGCTATGCTGAGATCAGCTCAAGCGACAGCTTCTCCTTGTCTTCAAATAGATAAAGACATGTACGACCGATCTCCCAACTCGATTGATCACCCAAACCATCCTTTCCCTTCTTTTCGTTTCTGTTCTGCGCGCTCTTCCATCTATCATATCATGATCAGTATCCACGACAGGCATTAGTACCGTGTTCGCTGTCACTTACCCACTGCTTCTTACACTGCTTGTACGCACTACAACATGCATCAGCATCCAATGCGGGAGCAGTATCTGGTCATACTTACTCAAAATAATCCTGACACATCGCTCGGTCACCTCCATTCCTTCGTAAGCACTTCAGACTTCGATTTGCAGCATCCTGGCATGGATCAAAATATTCGCTGTAGCGCTTGCTGTACAGATGTTAGTCCGAAAATGACATTGTGGCGGAATTTGGTGGCGACTAGGAGGCGCACCTTTCGAAACGGGAAGAGCTTTGGGTCCACTCGGTCTTCTCAGCTTCCTCGACTGTAGTGTTTTCCGGTGTCACATCCTTCGACATGATGTCTTTGATGAAGGATTGATGAATTGCATGAACATCAAGAAACTAAAGTGAAGTCGCATATGCACAAGGATTCCCGCACGGACGTGGCTAGCATCGGCTGCAGCCGAGAGGCCGTTTTCACAGTGGCAGCTGCAACACACACCAGGAACCGACGAAGGGGTTCAGGAACATGTTCTTGGAAGCGGCTCTCGCGCCTAAAGCGAGGTACTGCAGCAGCTGTACGAAAATCGGCCTCGTGACTGAGTCGAATATATACTCATATGCGATCCATTGCCCGATTTGGGCCGAAATTCCGACAATTGGTATGCGTCTAGCCTTTTGGATCCTCACACCATCAGAAAGGTGGTATTGCACCATAGTATCATATAGACCTGTAGTTTCAGCTCCGCCCCCTCGCTTTTCTCAAGACCCTTCTTCACGAATTCAAGCCTCAGAAAGACCGCAAGCAATACGGCACAGTAGGGAGGGAAGTAAACATGCCGGCCGTTGCTCAGAGTCTGCTTGATCAACTACATCTATGCTTGGAGACGATACGGAAGGGAATGGGCTCCTACCTGGACTATCTTGAAGATGGTGGGTAACGCAGAAAGCTGTCGGCTTCAGACATCACGCTGACAGACATGAAGCCGAATTCTGATGGCAGAGCCAGCCGAGAAGGGCAGAGATCGTAGCCCAGAAGTCGATCACACATATGCAGTCCTCCGAAAGAGAGTCGGTCTGAAAGACCTCAACTTGAGAGGAAGGCCAAACGAAGGATGAATTGGCTGAAAAAAATGGTGGCGTTCGGATTTAATTTTGATGCATGGAGCGTTTTAGCGAGCGAGCAGTGGACTTTGAAGAGCTTTGAGGAAGAGCTTCCTTCAGCGATGCTGATATTTGAGCTCATGGTCGAGGAAAAAGATCGTTTTTGGGACTGTAGGTAGTGGAGACGCTGAGGGGATGGCCGGCAATCGTCTCACTCCTCGTCCGAATCAATTTCGTGTCGTCGTAGCCATCAATTTTGTGACAAGTCTGACCTGCATTTTCTGATCGTGATGCGATGCGCAGCAAAATGTTCGTACAACCAAGGAGGTGGAGAGGAAGACTTGAAGCATTGAAAGGCAGGGAAGAAACGGGGCGTGATGATTGATCGGCGGGGAATACCGCGCTAGCGTAGTTCGGATGATCCGTGCCGCACGCGACTACGTAGGGCTGGATCTGATTCACTTTCAAATGTTTGACGCGACGAACTCCAGAAAGCCGTTGATGCCATCTTCACATTCTGCAGCTACTCAGCCCGCCTGAGCTTCACTTATTACAACGTGTATTTGGATCATCACGTGTCTGCGGCTCCACACTCGCGGTGGAAGCTGCTCCAGACGAGAGCTCATCTTAGGAATCCCACATCCGCCACGACCCTTGCCCCTCGACGACACGTCCAACACAATACAAACGACACGTCCCCATGACACCAACAACGACCTGAACGACGCGACGCATCTCGCAACAACACCATCTGTCATGGACGAATACCACGAATCCGAAGGCGGCGCACGCAAACGAATCAAGATCTCGAAGACCTCCAGCCGGCCGGTGGGAAACGGCCCAACCAGTCCCGCCATCGTCGCCTCCAATACCCAGATCAAGCAAGAAGCAGGACCAAGCGAGGGCGTGCTATTGCCAAAGACAGAGACACAACAAGATGCCGGCCACAGTCACGACGGAAGCTGTCATCATGAGCAGTCGCTGCGGGCGTTGCACACAGACATGGAGGCCATGAGACAGCTCATCACGTGCAAGATGTGCTATAGGTTCTTGTACGAGCCGTATGGGCTGACTTGCGGACACACATACTGCTACAGCTGCCTCTCTCAGTGGATGGCGACGGCAAGAACATGCCCAGACTGCAGAGCCCGGGTGAAAGAGGAGCCAAGGCCGACTTGGGTCATCCGCGAAATGGTCCGCGTTTTCGTGGGGAAGAGTGAATTGCTGCCAGATGGAGAAACCACCGAGGAGCACGAGAAGATGGCGAGGGAGGAGGCAGAGATCGTGGCTAAGGACAAAGCCAACACCAACGTAGAGACCGGAGGTCTTTTCCGTGGACACTTCGGAAGGGGCACGAGACTGAACCCACTTACGGCCGTGCGAGACTATGCCGACAATGTGTGGAGATGTCCAGATTGCCATTCCGAGGTGGAAGGACGCAGATGCACTGGATGCAGAGCTCCGGTTCGTATCGATGCTGATTCAGATGAAGATTCCACAATGACGGACGACGACGAGCTCGATGGTTCACTCGCAGATATGGATCACGACGCCGATGTGGATCTTGGCCTAGACGGTCACGTCTTCTTCGGCTCTGAGGGCTTCGGCGAAGGCAGTAGTGACATTCACGATGGACTGGACCACTACGACGAGGCGCGACTCCACTACATTACTGATCTCCAAGACCATCCGCATGTACATCGGCTCCTAGACTCGGAGGATTCTGAGGACTCGGAAGGAGGCAGCGACATGGACGGCTTCATTGATGATGATGTGCATTTCGAAGAGGACGCCACTGTCGATGAAACAGAGGATGAGGCTGAAAGCACTCCTGCACGTCCGAATGCTTCGCAGCAGCGCCGCAGACCCATTCTTTCCGATTCTGATGATGATGACGTCGAGGAAACCACAGGGCCTCGGCGTGTGGTGCCCAACATTCAACGTCTCGCTGTGCCTGATTCAGCAGATGAAGATGATAGTGACGATGGACCGATCGCCAGCCAGAACGGTCGGCGACGCGGCGCTCGTCCACAAATTGACAGCGATGGGGAAGAAGATGAAGATAGCGATGGGCCACCAGAGGAGACAATGGTGGACTTCTCGAATCTAGGAGCCTTTTCTCCCGCCACAGAGCACAGCGATGACAGTAACGGAGAAGAAGATGAAGATGCAATCGAGCAGCCACGCGGAATGTACGACACTGATGAAAACGATGGCGAAGATGAAGACGAGAGCGACGAAGATGCATTTCCGGTCGTGCAGCAGCGCGATACACGTGGAGCAGGCAGTCGTACTCAGCCATATGCCTTTGACGATAACGAGGACGAAGACGAAGATGGCAACGAAAGTGATGATTCTGATGAGAGGGGTATGCAAAACGGGTGGGCCCCCAGCGCTGCACGTGTGACCTCGCCCCAGATCTCAAAGCTAATCTATATTTCAGATTCTACGTCTGAGCCGGATCTTGGATCATACAGTCATCGCCTACATACCCGCGGCCCTCGCCGAAACCGCCATCGCAGTCCACCGCCTTCTTACTCGTCCCTCTATCCACAGGGCAACCCGCGCGCACAGCCGACATATCGCGCGAGTCGAATCCCAGCAGAGGTCATCTCGAGAGCCGCTCGTGTCGCTCAAACTCGTGGTGCAAACGCGGGGCAACCTCGCCATCCCTTCCAGCTGTCAAACACGTTGGCGCGCCTGAACGCCGCCCGCCAGCAGGATCAAAATGATCACTTCCCTGCTCCTGGCCAACCACATCACTTCGGTATCGTCGTGGATTCGGAGGACGAAGCCGAGATCGCAGAATATGCCTCAGGTTCGAGTGGCAGTAGCAGGACTTTGCAAGGCGATCCTGCACCTCCTGCCAGCATCACGGTCACGGTCGCTCGACGTCGTGGGAGACGAAACCGCTTCCGTAATGCAGTGCCTCAATCGGATGAGGAGTGAGATGCTGCGAGCGTTCAGGGTGTCACTGGCATGTTGTAAGAACTCGGGCGTGAGCGGCTATGGTATGGAATTCAAAACTTCAGCACGAACTTTTCTACATAGCTTAAACGGCTGTATTGATCCCGAGGATCGTCTTGAAGCCGAGAAAGTACAAGCGTTTTAATGAGCATTCGTGGCACTTTGTCACGGGTTTTGGATGCATTTAATCTGATTTTCATTCGTTTTTGGACCTCGCTGCATGCATGACTTATGTCTGTGCACTTGCGATTTCAGAAGCTCTTCGCGCGTCGCGCTGCGTTTGAGCCTGGTCGTCGTCGTCTACCAATCTCCTTCCAAGCAAGACGTGGCCAACAAGTAATTGCCAAGTGCTGTCCAATTTCCTTTCAATGCCAACGGTCCTGTCCTGCTGGTCACAATTTCATTTTCGTGCTTTTTGTGTCGTTCTGTGAGTCGCCTTGGGGGTATCATATGCTTCATGTCGTCTTCGCGCCGTTCAGGGGAGGTGTGGGGTTGTGCTTTTTGTGGCCCATCACTGCTAAGCAGCACGCGCAACGCGTTTCTTGCTGTTGTGCATTGAATGCTCCTGCTCAACTCACGGCCACCACGGAGTATACACTGGCCATTGACCATCACCGTCACCCTGACCATCAACAGGTATCATATCGCCCAACTCCGCAAGGTCATACTGAGCCGGCATGTGTCCATCCAAACCTCCGAGACCATATGGGACAGGTATGAACTCATCCAGAACCCCAAGGTGAGTCTCAACGGACATGTATCCAAGCGGGCCCTGGTGAACAGGCTTGACGGGCATGGAGTCACCTAACCCCTTGATGTCACCCTGAATAGGGACGATTCCCCCCAGACCCATTGGACCGCCCTGAACAGGTACGTTCGTGCCCAGACCCATAGAGCCACCCTGAACAGGTAGGATGCTGCCCAGACCCATAGAGCCACCCTGAACAGGGACGATCTCGCCCGGACCCATAGTGCCACCCTGAACAGGTAGGATTCCGTTCAGACCCCTAGGAGCACCCTGAACAGATACAGTTCCGCCCAGACCCATGGGGCCACCCTGAACAGGGACGATTCCGCTCAGCCACTCATTGTCACCCTGAACAGCTGCGATTCCGCCCAGACCCATAGAGCCACCCTGAACAGGTACGAGCTCGTCCAGACCCCAAGGATCACCCTCAAGAGACATGGGTACGGCCAAACGCCTAGGACCACCCTCAGCAGACACAAGCCCACTCGCAAATCCGCTCTGAAGAGACATTCCTGGCTCCACGACCTGTGATTCAGCTGAAGCGATTGCTTTGCGCTTGCGGGGAGCCTTTTCCTTCTCCTCAGTTGGAGCGATGGCTTTGCGCTTGCGGGGAGCCCTCAACTTCTTGTTCGCCTTCTCCTTCTCCGCCTTCTCCTTTGCCTTTGCCTTCGCCTTCGCCTCCTCCTTCAGCTTCTCGAGAGCCTCCTGAATGGTTGGGCAGTTGCCGTGGAGCCGGATGTCTATGAGGCTAGGGATCGAACGCAAGGCAGTGAAGCCCGATATTCTGAATCCAGGGAGGCCAGCTGTAGAAACCTGTACGCTCTTGAAGTGTTCTTCATCAATCCAGATATCGAGTTCCTTGAGGTAAGGCAGTGCAGCGACCATTTTGGCGACTTTGGAAAGCTCGGCTTTGAATCCTACTTCGATTGAAAATGCGAGGTAACGGATGTGCATTCGACGGGCTTCTGGCGTTCTCTTGAGGAAATCACGCAGGCGTCCGATGTTCTCAGATACGAACAGGTTATCTCCGTAGAACACTGGCATGGCCTCTTGGTAGATCTGCTTGCTGACTTGGAGCAATGCCAAGTGGAGCGCTGGAGGTGAACATCGAATAGAGACTCGTGGCAACTGCCACACCGTGATGCGACCAGGCCATCTGGAAAGACCCGGAAAGGGCTTCTCATAGTCCTTGGAGAAAGTAGAGAATGTCGGCTCCACGTAAGGCCCCGTGTTGACATTGACGCCAGATCTGGGCAGGAGCAGTGCCATTTCGTAAATACGCAATCGCAGCTCGGTCGGCAGGTCCATAAGACGGAAGTGTTGGCTAGAAGATGCGCGAAGGAAGCGATGCAGGTAGCCACGCGCCGCACTGAGCGAGTTCAATGCCCACTTGCTACCATCGGACGTCGGGAACTTGACAGGGTCGCCCTCAGGAAGCTTCTTGCCATCTATCTTGCGATGAATCGGCAGATCAAGTTCGGAGAAGATCTTCTCAAACTCGACAGAGATCTCCTCTGTTGGTCCCCAGCCGACAGATGCCCCACCGAGTTTGGTGTGGAACGCCAGGGCTTTTTGCGCATAGTAGCGAAACTTGGTCACCATCCAGAAGTGGATGGCTTCCTTGCTCAGCTCTCCCATGATGACGAGGCATATGACGACGATCTCAGCTAGCGAAAAAGGCGGCTTCTTGTCGGGCTTTCTGAACGGTTCGATCACAGAACGAACCTCAGCCTGTAGATCAACGAGCTTTTGCGCCTCTGAAGAGAGATTAGACTGGCTTGACGGAAGAGTGGCGATTTGTTGGGGATCAGAGCTACCGGCGGTTGAATCAGACTCGCCATTGAATACGCCGTCCTCAAACTTGGTTGGAGGATCTTGCTCTAGACCGTCGTCGTCGTTCGTGGTCATGGTGTGCGGCAGTGGTACTCGACAAAATGGAGTACTGCCAGCATCGACACAGTGATATTGTGTGACGACAACTTCGGAACACAGCGGTTTGAAGAGGCGCGACCTGTGCTTCTTGATTTGCTTGCGTTGCTGTTGTGGTTGGAAAATGTCGATGCGAAAGGTCAGAGTGTTGCCGGTATGTCTGGCCGCCTATGGAATAAATACTTGGCACGAGGGACACACTCAAGCCATAAGCCTCACCCCGTGCCGGGGTAGCCCCTTACGTGCTGGCATTCACTCACACCCTGCAGTGAACGCTATGCTAGGTCTCATAATCTTGAGCTGAGCCCGTGGCTTGCTGTCTGGGGCAAATGGGAGCTGCGCTTGCACCAGCGTTCTTGCGACAGGACACGTGGACTGCGCGGGTCGATGAGCAGTGACAGGCATGACTCTACTCTACCAATTTCGTGTTCTGGTAAGTTGGTGAGTAAAGAAGCGGAAAGGGAGAGAAGGTTGTCGGTGTCCCGAAGAAGCTTCCATACCAAGCTTGTCCGCCCTTGGTCAGCCGCTATGACCGCATCTCGACCACCTTTCGCACGCCAACGCCATTTCTGTTTCCTCGCCAAAATTGCCCGGCCTCTAAGCAGCGAAGCACTCTACATACCAGTGGAAACGAGCGCGAGAAAGCAGGAATCCTCCAACAGACCATCAAAGTCCGCTAAATTTGCACCAACAAGGATCAACCCGCCGCACGACTCAGACGATGGCAGAAACTACACCAGCAGCACCTGCGGCCAATGGCGCCAACGATCAGAACACAGGAGGACGCGGAGGCCGAGGCAGGGGCGGTCAGAGAGGCGGTGCGTCGCGTGGAGGCTCGTCGAACAGCTTCAATGGCGCTCCCAACGAACGAGGGACCGATAGAGCCGGACCCGAAAGCAGAGGAAATCGAGGGCGGGGCAGAGGCAGAGGGCGGGGTGGAAGAGGTGGTCGTGGCGACGCAAACCACAACAACCGCGACAGAGCATTCAGCAACAGCCAGCAGGACTCATCAGCAGTACAACCGCCTCCGCAGCCTGGTGGGCCGGGCGTCTTTGGTGCTCGCCTGACCAAAGACGCCGCGGAGAAAACCCAAGGCGAGGGCGCAGGGGCGGAGGTTGAGGGCGGCGACGACGTCGAGGCGGAAGTGTGCTTCATTTGCGCATCTCCCGTTTCGCACAACAGCGTTGCGCCCTGCAATCACCGCACCTGCCACATTTGCGCCCTACGACTGCGTGCGCTGTACAAGACCAAGGCTTGTGCGCATTGTAGAACGGAGGCCGCAAATGTGATATTTACGGATGATGCTGAGAAGAGATATGAGGATTACAAGGGAGGAGACTACTTCAAAGAGGACAAGAACTTAGGCATTAGCTACGAAAAAGCCGAGATCTTCGAGGATACCGTCTTGCTGTTGCGGTACAACTGTCCAGACGAGGACTGCGATGTTGCTTGTCTTGGCTGGCCAGATTTACATCGACATGTGAAGAGCGTGCACCAGAAGGTCATGTGTGATCTCTGCACAAGGAACAAGAAGGTCTTCACTCACGAGCATGAACTCTTCACCCACGCGGAGCTGAAACGACACGAGAAGTTTGGAGACGACAACCCGGGAGCTGTTGATCAGAGCGGTTTCAAGGGCCACCCAGAGTGTGGGTTCTGCAGAAGACGCTTCTATGGCGATGACGAACTTTTCTCGCACTGCCGTGAGCGTCACGAGAGGTGCCACTTATGCGACAGAAGAAACGGAGGAAACAGTCCTCAATACTTTCTGAACTATGATGCTCTGGAGAAGCATTTCAACAAGGACCATTTCCCATGCCCTGACAGAGAGTGTCAGGAGAAGAAATTTGTCGTCTTCGATTCAGAGATGGATCTGAAGGCACATCAAATTGAACAACATCCCAATGGACTCACAAAGGATGCCCGAAGAGTGGACCTCTCTTCCTTCGACTATCGGCCTCAGTACCAAGAACCTACACGTGGCAGGGGAGGTAGGCGAGGAGGCCGCGGACGTGATCCGAATGCAGAGCCTATGCCAGCGGCCTCAGCCGGTAACTTGAGCCGAGCGGAACTGGCTCACCAGCGGGAGCGCGAGATTCATAGTGCACAGTCTGTGACAGCTCGCTCATTCGGAGGTCAATTGACAGCAGCAACTCCTGCTCAAGCCTCATCACGACCAGCACCTGCTCCAGCTCAGCAAGCTCCGACTGCCGCCGCTCCACCTTCACCTCGACCAGCTGCAGCGCTTACGCCGCAAGATCAAGCACGTCAGCTGAGACATGCCGCTGTAAATGAGCGCGCTTCGAACTTGGCGCGCAATGAAAATGTCAAGATGGACGAGTTCCGTGAGCGTGTCTCAGCATATACGAGGGGCGGGATTTCAGCTGGCGATCTCATCGACGCATTTTTTGCTATTTTCGACACATCATCAAATGAGATCGGTAAGCTCATTAACGAACTGTCAGACATCTTCGAGGTTCCCGGCAAGCGCGAAGGACTGCTCAAAGCATGGGCGGACTGGAAAGCGGTAAATGAAGATTATCCTACTCTGCCAGGACCTGCTGGTGCAAACACAACTGCAGCTGGTGTACTCGGCAAAGGTGTCGGCGCGTCGCGTGTGTTGAAGCTCAAGAGCTCTACAGCCAAAAGTTCACAGTCGGCTGTCTCTCGACAGGCATCATGGGCTTCGGCAGGTAGCTCTTCTGCGGCATCTTCCAGCAATCCATTCCCATCACTCCCTCCTCGCAATGGCGGACCGTCAGTAGCGGGTCGGGGCAATGCAGCGCCTGCTCCTACGCCCAGCTGGCTCGCTGTCCGACCGGCAGCAGGCTCTAGTGGCCAGTCGCCTGCATTAACGCCTTCGAGCTCCGCCCGCGCGTCGCCTGCTATTGGCGCCCGGCAAGCACCAGCAAACGTCAGAAGCTCGGAACTGTTTCCTGCTCTTCCGGCAGCAAAGAAGCCTACCAGCACTGTCTTCTCACCCGGCTACACTGGACGAGGAATTATTAGAAATAATTCCGGGACACCCAATGTCAGCGCGTGGGGAGGAGGCAGCGGTACCAGTACTCCGGCCGCAGAGACTCCGGCGCAAACGGATGAAACTGTTGCGAGGAAAGGTAAGAAGGGGAAACAAATCATGTTCAAATGGGGTTAGGGTACTCGAGTGTTACTTCTCACCAGGATTGTATCTCGATCTGACGCCTCAGCAATGCCATTGCTCGTTGCTTCGTGATTTGATATTGCAGCAACAAATGATTGCACTCGGCAACGCAACAGGATAGACTCTTTGCTAATGAGACGTGACCTACAACAAGCAATGAATGATGACCACAGACTTTCTTTCCTGGTCTCAACATTTTCCGCAAGCACTTTGCGTTTGATTTCTGCTTGCTATACGCGTCGCCAACCTTCAATTGTAGCAAACCTGGAGCGATATAACATGTGGCAGACTCTCGCCTTTCAGCATTTATCCTCGCACAGATCGGAACATCAACTGCAACGAAAAGTTCAGAACCAACAACAATACCACCCACGAGATCAACTTCATCATCAAACATGCCTGCAAGCGAAGCTACATATGCTTTTCGCAAGCACACGCCGCGCACTGTCGTCGACATACCTACGTTCAAGGATTATCTGATTCAAGAACGCAAGGACATCGTCAACCCGCTTCGAGACGGTAAAAACGATTCTGGTTCCAGTGAAGATTCAGACGAGTTCGAGAAGGCCAAAACTGCGCAATGCAATCGCCTCGAAGCTCTTCTGGAAATGCTCAAGTACTCGCAAGTGAACAAAGATTTACTCGAGAAGGAAGCGGCGCTTGCAGATACTCTCGACATCATCTGCACTGCTCCAGCTTTCAGCAGCTACCAGAAGGCTGCCCAAGAGCTGAAGACCCGCTTTGCGAAGTCAAACCACGGCGCCGGGGAGCCTGTCTCTATCATTCCCCACTCTGGGAAGGAGAAGCCATTAAAATATGGCCACAATGGCTTCACGCCTGGTGATACTTGGAGCCTCCAGCCAGATGTCGTCAAGGCCGGCGTACACGGTGCACAGGTCGGCATCTACGGGCATCCGCTATCTGGAGTCAGGTCTCTCTCACTCAGAAATGGCGAGAACACCGGAACCAGTCTGAACAAGGACGAAGGTATCAAGGTCCTGTACGGAACTCGCGGAGGTGCCGACGAAGAAGAAAAGGACACTTTGCCTGCCCCAAATCGTGAGACTTTCTCACTGTACGCTTCAATTCGTACCAGAATTCCTGTCCGCGTGTTACGCTTTGCTCCCTCGCTCGGTCCTGGACAGAAAGCACCGCCAGCCGGTCTTGGTCCGGAAGTAGGTTGGCGATATGATGGGCTGTACAGGGTCACTAGAGTTCAGGAGGCCACGAACGAGAAGAGGGGAAAGTTCGAGAAATTCACCCTTGAGCGATCGCCACTCGACGATAATAAGGGCGTGTCATTTGCCGATTGTCGTGGCGTCGAGAGCTCCGATGGAGAGAAAGTCGAGTCTGACAAAGAGGTTGCTGACGCCAAGGCTGAGCGCGCGCCGCATGGATGCGACTACTAGCAGGATGACGGTGGATATGGCAATGCTCAGGGCAAGATCGGTCAGGTTTGTGGTGACGCGATGGAGCACATGGCAGATCAGGAGGTTGAGAAGAATCTCAAAGAGGCTGACAGGTCAGATCATTCTGAGCGTGATGGAATATCACATTGCTGAGAGCACTTCTCCAATGGTTGAAGCATGCTCATGAGAGCGCAAATAGCTCATCAAGGCGGAAAAGGCATCAAATTTCACTTCAAGCTCATCTTTCACTTTCCACATCCCAATGTTGACAACCATATCTCACACCTTACTCTTGCTGTGCCCATTCATTACATTTCACCATATGCTCTGCGCTCTCTAATATGTCTCTACTTCACTTCGACGAGCATCGCGGGCTCCCAAGCACAATCTCCACTCTGAACTTCGACGGATTCATTCCTCAGGGACGAACAAGATTCCAATAATACTAGCATTTATCGATGATCCATTCTCTCGTCTGGTCTCTCTCTCAAATTGTGAGGCTCACGCCAAACCCACAACTTTACCAAGAAAACAACGCCTTGATCGTCATGTACAACTTAGTACAATCGCTGTACTACAACACCAGCGTACCATGAAGTCGATCATGACCCAAGACACCCAAGAGTATCCATAATCAAATGCTCCCGAATGCCCAGCGTCAAACGTTGCACCACATCCCCACAATCGTCACATCTATACACGAGGGCTTTGTCATACCAAGCACAAGAATCTTGTCACATTATGGCTGTCCCAAAAGACTCGCAACATTTGACAAATCTGACTGTCGTGAAACTCGTGCCTTGCAGGTAGAACGTATCTCGTGTACTTCCGCCATCAACACCGCAGACCGAACGTACTCCGTCCATCCCATCAGACATCAACAATGCCCCGAAGATAGAACGTCCATTCAGTCCCACGTGTCCGCGTTCTCCCTCCAAGATCAACCCGCTATCCCGCCGTCCGACTATTGTCAAACTCCGCCACCCTCCAACCCCAGCCTCTAGCCAAGCGTCCCCAAAATCGAGCATCGAAATCGGCACGACTCCAGCTTTCCCCTTCCCCAACATGTCTCAGAAACCATTATCCGCCGAGCGAAGTCCTGCCCTCCAGGCTGCTTCCCTTGCACAGATCAGATCAGCTGACGCAATCTGAAGAACGAGAAGCGCGGCCCATCGATCAGCCGCGCTTAGATATCGGCACGTAGTTCTTGCTAACAAGAAGTGCCGTACCGTGACCTACTCGGCTTCAGTACGGAGCGTACGGAGCGGGAATTACAATAGCGTACGATCTCAGTGAAGACAAGAGTGTCATCTGCATTAGTCTTCGAGGGTCAATAGATCAAGAAAGAGGTAGCGTTGACAATTTGGCACCTGATCAAGAAGAAGCTGAAGCTGCGCGGCTAGCAAGAGCAGCTTGTTGGGAGATCCTGGTCATCGAGCTTCATCAAGCAGGGGTGCTCTTTCGTGGGAAATTTTTGATGTGATATGATATGGTATGGCGTGGATGAGGTGCTCGTTGCTCACCACTCTTGCAGCAGTAACGCGGATTCTATTATCTGTCTCGTGATACTGTATGCTCAGGTGCAATCTGATAAGGCCATGCATACGGCCGATGCCGAGTTCGCGCTATGTTGTTCACGCGGTTATGCCATGAAACCGGCGGAATCTGACCTGCGGCGTAGGACTTCAGCATGAGCTGACGAAGGCCACCACTGTGATGACCGTCACAGTCATCGTTCGCTGTTCTCCGATGCTCTCGCTCTCCGTGTTCGTGCATCTCACTCATGTGCTCTCCATCACATGCGTTCTGCAGGAGGATGGTCCATCGGCCGTCGTAAGCCCGCCTCATCGCTTGAAATAGCAGTCCAGCGCAAGTTCCTGCATAAGCCTCATCGCTCATGGTGTCTCTGTACCTACAGTAGCCGCACAGTAGCACCTACATCTCAACTCTCGGCAGTAGTGCGATACAGTACTCTGTAGATGCAAATTACACTGCTCCACCACCGCGCGAAGTACCTGCATAAGCTCTCTGCCATCTGCATGTCCTATACACAACTGTCCGGAGATGGTGAAACAACATGCAGCGCGGCAAGCCTGTCGGAGTCCATCAAACCTACGTTAGACGCGATGGCGTCAAGCGTCAAAATTCCCAGGTACCTTTCGCACGTGAAGAGTCTTAGCGCGGCGTGCAGCTTGCAAAAAGCTGTGGGAATATTTGAGTGAGAGTTGAGAGCAACGCGGCTTCGGCACACTAGGCACTGCCAAAGGCTTGCAATGCACGAATGCAGAACACGGTCGTACTTGGCTGTGGAGAGGCCCGATGAGAGTGTCTCGGGCAGATGCGGCCAGAGTATTGACCGCGGTTCATAACAGGCTTGCCGGCTTTCGCCACGATCGCGTGCCATCGCCATGTTGTATGGCCGACAGAGGAGCCGAATAGTGAGTGGAAGGTGGTATTTGAAAGTGGCTTCACGTGGATGCCGCGTGGCTGCTTGAGTGCTCGCTTGAAATCTGCAAATCGTGTCATGGTCGTTGCCATATCCAATTCGCTGAGATTGACAGCGAAAGATGCAAGATTCCAGAACACGTTGAGACGGTGTCGTTGAATTGATCGATGAGATGAAGGCTTCAGATCTAAGCATGTGTCAGCATCGTCCATGCCGTAGCTATTTTCTATGCTCTCTTTCCCGTTCGCGATCACGATCTCGTCGATCTCTGTCCCGATGTCTTTCTCGGCCACTGTCTTCGTGGTCTCTGTGTCTTCGGGAACTCTCGCGGTCGTAGTCGTCCTCACGCTCCCGCTTCCTGCGTCGCTCCTTTTCTTTGCGTCGGCGATACTCATCTTCACTCTCTGAGTCGTAATGGCGACGCCGTCGGTCACGATCATGACGATCTTCCTTGCCGTGCTTGCGTTCTCTAGAGTCGTCTCGACCCTTGTCCCTGCGTCGATCTCGAGAATCGTCTCTACGCCTTTTGTCACGTTCTTTCTGGTCGAACTCCATTTCATACTTCCGACGTTCGTCATCCTGCTTCTTCTTCTCCAGCTCCTCCTCGGTGTATGTCTTCCCGGTCTTTTTGTCTCTGATCAGTACTGGGTTGTAGATCTTCGCTTCCTTGCCTCGGGCAGCTTTGCCCCATGCTCCGATCTCCTGTGTGATGGCAGCATTCTCTTTCGCGCCTATGCCCAGCAGAGCTGCTCGGCGCTCAGGCGGCTTGCCAGAGTCTTTGACAATCTTCTTTCCTTTCTGGCTACCAATGCCTTCACCATCTTTCCAACCCATACCACGAAGTAGAGCCGCTCCAAATTGTTCTACTGGTACCCTTGCGTAGTCGTCCAGAGTGGCCATATCAGGTGCAGATGCAATGTCATGATCGAAAGCATCTTCCTCCGTCATAGTCGCATTGCGGCCTTCGATCACCAAAGTCTTGTCTGTTGATGTCTTGCCCAAGAGTGCGTCCATGGCCAGCTCGTCATCCGTCTTCGGTTTGGCAGTCTCGACGTTCTTCCCAGTCTCCTGTCCTGGCTCAGCATCTTCTCCAGTGCCCGACATCTCCTCGTCCCCTGCACCGTCGCCTTTCTTGTAGGTATTCAATCCGAACTGCGGCTTGCTGGCTTCCACTCGGGCCTCCACCTCCCGCATCCTCTCATTCAAGGCTTCGCTGTTACCGCTCTGCCCCTCTGGCAGACCACTTTTCTGTCTCTTGCGCTGATTCGCCTTGTCTCGCCAATCGCGATTGACTTGAGGTGCAATAGTCAAAGGCCCTTCTTCCTCCTTCTTGCTGTTGACGTCGACTGCGCCGCCTGCTTTGGAGTCGAAATGCGACACCTTCTCTGTCCTGCCCAGCGCCGAGCCATCATCTTCTTCCTCGTACAGCGCGGCGCGAGGCCGTTTGACGCCATTCGCCGGCGGCGGAGCCTTACGTGCTGCGCCCAGCGACAGTGAAATCTTATTGCCGCTCATGGTGATGGGGGTGTGAAAATGGACATTGTATTGGCTATGCTTGCGTCAGAAAATCAACAACATCTCGAACATGACTCGCGTTCACCGCTTAGCTAAGCCGAATCAGCCGACTCTTCGGCAAAGCACCACAGTGAACATCATCGTGCAGATTAAGAGCGCTTCTATGCGTTTGTCCTAATTCCAACTTCATATCGCGCAATTCTTGCAGCAAGTAACTTCTTCATGCAATAATGCTGCATTGCGACAGAGTCGCGTCAGAACTCATGACTTGTGGTTTGCCGATATTCTAACCTACGATCCGGTTCATGAAACAAGCAGCACCGCCACGAGGCTGAAGCAATTGGATCAAGAGATGTGAACGACTCGAAACCGCTTGCGATCGTCTGCGACTCATCGCAGACACTTCGATGTGAAAATAGCTCATGATCTGGACGCCGTGCGTGCAAACCAGGCTGCCATGTTGTGCGCTCAGACACCTCCGCGTTGCATCTTCACACGAAAAGACGAATGTTATCTTGAACGCCACTCACTCTGCAAGCCCAGACCACGAGGTGGTGTTGGTGGTTGTCCAATATGATCTTCATATTATTGCATGCTGCACGACGACTCTCTTAACGCCTTATCCTAAGGCTGCATGCCTGACACGCACTGCATGAACCCTCCGATAGCGTTCAGCTGTCAAGAACCACAGCCGCGCCGGACTCGTGGTTTCGTCCGAATTTTGTCTTCGCATCCAAAAATGCCCCGTGCAGGCATATCCTGGTGGAAGTTGACAGCCTACCGTGACTTCCTGTACCCTTGAGGACCACCTCGCTGGAATCAATATTGAAGTCGTATTTCTGACGTTCGCGCTGTGTGGTTGGTGCGGAAGATAGGGGGAAGATGGGCTATACAAGCGCTCGCACTCGTCCGGACTCTTTCCATTCCTAGAGTGCTTACCACGCTTACGACAACAACACGAAGACAACTCAAGGAAGAACTTGCCAGGAAATGGGGTGATGTTATTGAAGGCAATCGAAGAGCATGGGAAACTTGCTTACCTTTTCGTCGCCAACCCCAGACAGTCCTCAAAATCTGGGACGGGAATGCAGCAACGCCCAACGCGACATGGTATGCCACCTCGGACTCCCGATGAAGAAGTCGATTGAAGCGTAGAGCTCCCCCAGCGATGCACAGGTCCATGTCGCGATCACGCAAACAACCAGGCTTCGCCAGGGCTGAGCTGCAGCAATTTCCATCTGGAGACGAACTCTAGGATTTCTGCGTGTGATGACGTGCTCCGCATGGCAGCAAGATTCCAGGCACACGTTCCGCCCTGCAGAAGTTGGCTGGACTTTTGATGAGCCAACATGTCCTTGTCGAAAGACCAGGCCTCGCTGCGGCAGCCAATCAACAAAATGTGCTGAGAGACGCGTGTTGTGAACACAATCGAGGACCACCTTCGCATCGAATCCTGCTGGCTCGATGATGACTGGACGATTTGAAGAGTATCTGGACGACTGAACGACCTGGTGAGCAGCCGGCTACGGTGGTTGTGGAAAACGTGGACAGTGGGCGTTGACACGGTCAACACTGTGCCAGGGTATCCTTAACATTTAATCTATCCAAGGCTGAGTTCCGTGTACGACCTTCATATGTAGGACTTCGATCAGTTGCGGCATTCAACAGAAGGACCGGACGGAATTTGTCGCGCATCACAACGTGAGGACTATTTGCTGAACGATGCCACGGGCGACGATTGGCCTTCAATTGGGGATTCAATAAGCACAAATTCTGTCGCACTCAGCCTGACCGGAGGTTTCCGCTGCGATGAAAGATTTCGCGAACGATGAGAGGGCCCTTGGAAGATGACTGAGGACCCCAGAAACAGTCATCAGCGTCCAGGCGGAGTTTTCTGACAACAGCAACGATACGTGCGGGGACGCTCGAACAAGAAAGCCAGGGTCGCGTCAAGCTCATATTACCAAGGACGCGTACTGGTCGTTATAGTGGAGCTCCAACGAGTGCCCTGCTTGAGAAACCCGCAACCTGGAAGCAGAAAAACGTTGTATCCTGCCTCCAGCTGTCCAGGTGCAGTCTTCATCTCCAGGATTTTGGCAGTCTATTCTCGGTAACCTGGCCGCTTCGGCGAGACGAGTCATGCGAAAAGGTCGTTGCAAGTCTCCGCGGCTGACAATCTGCGGGACGCGGTCCCCGGCGGAAAGACATTCTGTGATTGTGATGTTGGGAGTCAACGCCTCCAACAAAGATGCGAAATCCGACGACGGCGAGCGCCTCGGTGGAAGTACAATGACTCGATGGTTCAAGTCGCTGCTGCAACCAGCACGCAGTCCATTTATCACACACCCCGATACTGCAATGATTGGAACCTGTGTGCCGCTTGAAGTTGCTCGTCAATGCCATTGACAGCCGTGCGCCGCCGGTCCGGAAGTCTCAGGTCTCGGATGCGGACGCTGGAATACGGCGCCACGCCACATGGCGAATGAGCATCGACACTTTACAAGCCGAATTCAACCATGTCCTGGGCCTTTGCTGCGAGCTGATCCTTTGGATGACAGTAATCAGACCCTTACAGACATTCATCGTCTTCCAGTGTCGGCTTCAATGCGGCCGCAGGTGGTCGAGTCATCGGTCTTGCAGCATGTCTTGATGATCTGGACTTCCAAAGTGACGACCAGCAACACAACCACAGGTACACGCGGCATAGAGCCAAGGCTCAACCGGATGCATCAGGAAGGAGGGCATGTCTGGTGCCGCACTCAGAGCAACGCCAACTGCCCTTCCAGAAGAACAAAGTGTGGTGATGCTCAGCGATGCATGCGGTGCCACAGGTGTCCATTGTGCCTTTCTTGCAAAACAAGTGAAGCACGCCTCACTTCGGAACAACAACTTCTGTCAACGAGCAGAACAGGTCGAGGCCGTTCCTCGAGGATGACACGGAAGCGCAAGCTGTGTGGAGCCTACTACTTGGGCACTAAATGAGTGCCGCGAAACTGGCTCGCGGGTGTAATGCTGATCCCGTGATGCCGCACTCGTAACGCGATTGTGCTGAACCCTTACCAGTCGCCACAGCACACAGGCTCAATGGGTAAATGCTGGATCCTGTCGTCTGTGAATGATGAAAAGAACGATCATTCTCGGTCGAATGTCCCAATCAATACCGCCATATTGCACATCGAAACACGGTGATGGCAACACGAACAATGCATGTATCGGGCGAAGTTGTAGCGAGATTGATGATGGATGTGCTCGAGCTGGGACCTGCACGAGCTCACCAAAGCTTTGAATCATGATGCTGGCTTCACGAGTGGAAGAGAGCGCGAATGGTGGTAGTTCGGCAGCTCGGCCTTTCGATGGATGGCCCCAGTTCTGGCAATCCTCACCGACGATCGTCGACCGGCTCGAAGGAAGGCCGGGGGTGGAAACTAGCTTCGCGAAGGTCCCAACACGAAAATTACCAACAGCAACAACGCAAACGCCTCCACAAAGGTGTGTGGAATTTGTCTTTCAAAAAACCGTCAGCTCTGGCGAGACCTGTCCGCGAGAGCACCTGCTTGTTGGAGAGTGTGGAGAAGAGACGCAGACTTGTGGTCGTAGGTTCGCGGTTGTGCCTGTGCCGCGGGGAACATGGCAAGCCGTAGCTCGAAGCCACCGTCCCCGGCAGCTTGGTGGACGGATTCCAGGGCGATCGCGCAAAATGTTGGGACAAATCCCAATTTCGTTTAGGGTCGATCTTGAACAGCTCGAGAAGCTCGCCGCGGTCACTTTTGCCAGTAGCGGCGGCGAAGACGGTGGAAAGTAGTCAAGTCTGCCGCCGGGGTCCAGTTTGCCAGGACCAGAACGACTAGCGACGCTCTTGTCCTCGGTATTGCGAACGGCACTACCAGCGGAGTGAGCACTGCCGAGCCCTTGCTGATTTAACAGGCATTGTTGACCAGGACTCGCAAGATTGAACACGAGCCGGACGACACTGATGAAGGAAGCCGCGCAATGAGTGAGTTTACGGCACACCGACTGAGAAATATCGGACGTCGAGCGCAATGTGTGCGGTGATGGAGTGAATGATGACTGGCATTGTTAGACGAATGAGGCATTTCCAGATTCGCGTCTCGGCTTGCGAAGCTTCCCCATCTCGCATGTGACAGCGGAGCGGTGATGTCTGTGATGCTCGGACTTGACAGCTTGGGACAGCTTGGGACAGCTCTCAGCATCTGAGACGACGATAGCGTGTAGCAGTAGTGCTATGCACAGCGGCTCAGCTAGATAGCTGTATGAAACACACGATGCAGGCCACATGTCTACTACTGCATTCGTTCCTGCATGCAGGCATGGTGAAATGCGCATCGTCCGCGAAGCTGAGAAGTCGCAGTGCAGTGCTGTGTACCTGCAGTAGTTCTGCACAAGTGCGCAGACGGGGACGCCTTGTTACAGCTGCAGCGCGAACGCACCATCGGCGGGGGAGGAGGGCGATAGAATTCCTCGGCGTTGTGCGGGCTGCTTCGTTGGTTATTTTTGCACACGCAGCCAGCGAAACAGAGTTGTGCATAAACGCACAATAGCGTGCATTATTCCGTTCTGGCGCACTGCCTAAGAATTGATGAGATGATGGACGCGGCACGCCGAGTCTCGGAATTGGGCATCAGCACCACGCAGCTCCGTCCGAAGGCTTTGCGGTGCTCATCAAACGCCCACGACGAGCTGATGGTATAGCCAGTTCTCATTGAACAATGATGCGGATCTGAATCACGCTGCAGATGATGCTCCATGTCGTGTCAAGTGGGCTGTGTGTCCATGGCCCCGAGGTGCAGCCTCACGCAGCAAAGATCAAGAAATGTGGACCGGTTTTCGCGAGATTGTGTTTGACGCGTCCTTCGAGAAGGCGATCACTGCCTTCTAGTTTGATACAGCCCGTCGGTAGTGATTGATTTTGATTAATGAGACCCTGTGCGATGGGTGGACGGTGGAGTGCAGTGGGCCACCACACAACGGCCAAGCAGGTTTTTGTTTGGCAGCACGCGTTTCTGTATGGCCGGCGCGACTGCTTTTTTGGTTCCTGCGAGATGGGATTGGGGGGAGGGTGAGCGAGAGCAAACGCGCTGCGCGTCAGAGTGAAACAGGGAACGGCAGGCGGGCGCAACTGCTCTGCTCTGCTCGCTGGCCCAATTGTTGGTCGATCTCCGCACCGTGGAACAGTGACCTTTTTGGGGACCGGTGCCTGCAGCAGACACCTAGTCGTGTGTTTCAGCACAACAGACCAGCCCATGCCGCCGCAACTTGCTGTCTCGCGCCGCGCGCCCACACGGTTGTCCACAAGCTGCACCGTTCATCCGACACGGGAGGGCGACGACGCGTCGACACAGACTCGGCTCTGACAGGATGCCCTCAGCCTGCTGCCATGGGTGCTGCCACCTGCCCACTGGGAGCTGCTGCAGCGACGGTGAGCATCGCGCCGTGTCTTGCTCGCCTCTGACCTCCCACGCACCCAGCGCAACCGCACGAATGGCGATGTCGCGGCCAGAATGTGCGTGATGGGTGGCAAGCGCTATTGGAAAGCTGTTCACACACACATCTCTCACACACTCACACACACGCCCTCGCTCTCACACGTCGGAGAAATTGTGTGCAGCTAATCAAAGCCGAGGGTCGTGCTGCGCGGTGATATTGACTTCCGGCAACCGCTATCGATTGGGGTGAGAGCCGTGTTCGATAGGCTGAGGTGGCGTGGCGTGTCTGGCCAGTGTCGCTTCGAGTGCTCGTATCGAGAACGTGTGTGGCCAGAAGACGGCGACGCCATCGATCACAGCATCTCAACACGTCGACGAAGGCGACACGGCAGGCTGCAGTGTGCGTCGACCGTCGATGGTGATGGGGAAGAAGAAAACAGCACGACGCCGCCCGGATTGGGCGACGGACTGGTTGCGCGCAATACGCAGCGGATTCCGAGCTGCACGAGACCAGTCATCGAATAGCAACATGCCGTCAGCGTGCAGTGAGGCGACGAGAACCGAAGATGCGGCTATGGGTGATGTGTCGTGTGTGTGTGTGTGGCCAAACAGGTCCATCAATCACCGTCTGCGACATCCATTGCGGCACTCCGATTGATTCATGAACAATCGCCCGCAGACTAGGCTACTGCTGACACCGCATCCACAGCTGAGGTGAGAGGGTGTGGGCGGGTGTCGTGCATGGCGGATGCCCAACGAGGGCAGACTGCGCTGCGAGTAGTAGAGACATACGGTGCTACGGTGCTGTGTGTAGTAGTAGACGGCGCGACCGAGGCGCGTCAAGCAAGACAACATCACAGTACGTCTGCACATCTGGTGTGATGATAGATGCTGCAGCGGGCGTCGCGCTGGCGTGAAAAGGTCGTCGGCGGGCAATACGGTGCTGCGCCTTCGTAGAACAGCAACTTTTGGCCAGGTGTGCAGCTTGACGAGCCAACCACGACTGCATGCTGCATGGGCCAGAGCAGACGCATTAGCGTGGGTGCCGGGGTGAGCGTACCTGCAGCCGTGGGCGGGCTGTGAGAGGCTGCATGAGTGGTCGTGTCTTGGGAGACGCTTCGTCGGCCTCTTGCGCCTGTGCGTCCCAGCCCATGGATCCAGCATCCGTCGGGAGCGGTCCCCATGAGCCAGCTCGAATCGCGCGTGGACTACCGCAGCACTAACTTTTGTACCTGGCTAACGCTTTTGGGCTTGACCTTCGAGCGCCGCGCCCGCTGATCTGTCTTTATCGCTGCTCTTCGCAGTTCCAACGCCTGGGTCCAGGGTTTATCTTAAACTGGTCGTTCTCTTGTGTCTGTCCCTCTCTATCAATCGTCATCTCTGCTCTTTCTTCTTATCATCTGTACTGTTCCCTTTAAGGTGCCAATCCGATCTGTGCTTTTGTGCATTCAGAGGGGACCACCACCTCGTCACTCCTTAGGAACTGTTAACCCACATACACCCGGCCTGTACGACCATCGACGATACATACCATCATCTCCCACACCCAGCGACCTCCTCCGCGAACCATCACCACACTCTCTACTACCATCGTCGACTTGGATCGCGATCTGTATTGTCTGCCTGGACCCTGTATAGTGCATACCACCTGTTCACGACAACCCACACAACTTAATCGACGCCACTCTCGAAACATATCTTGGATGCGTTTCGGGAGCTTTGCTGCAATCTAGGAATTTATCCGGTCAGTCACCGATCACGACATCATCGCGGACAACGATGTGGCGCCCAGCATATGAACAGCCAGCTAACTGCTACTCAGCATCAATCAGCCCATCGCAATGGAGTACTCACAAACGACCCCACCAATGGGTCAATCACCCTTCTTCTACTACCAACCGGAGCCGAGTCCAGACAACAAGCAGCATGGCCACTTCACGGCACACCCACAGTACCCACATGGGCTGCCAATGGCCATCGTTCCATCCAGTCCCGGCCAAGTAATGTACTTTCAGCAACAGCCCATGCAACAACGACCACAGTCTGCGAACGCGTACGCGCACTTCCAGCAGCATGCTCAGATCTATGGCCCGCCACCAATGCTCACACCCGATGCCTCGCCTCGCCAGCATCAGAAGCAAGCCTACTACGTGCACGCACAATCGGAAGCTCAAGGTGTGGTGGTGAACACCGAATGCCCGAGCTACTTCCCAGCTACGCCTACACTGTCCGCGTCTTCCGGATCATTTAGCTCTGCATCCACACCACCAACGACATGCGGCATCCAGCCCACGCCCGTAGACGGCCAAGGCGTCTTCTTCGCGAAGCCACAGATGGTTGCATTTCCTGCAGTCAAGCAGGGCTGTGAAGAGGAGGTCTTTTCAGAAGTGCTGGCAGGAGGAGACTGGAGCACACGCCCCGGCTCGCCTCCCATGACTCCAGTGTTCTTGCACAACAACTCCATCTCTGCTGCGGAGTGCGGCCAGTTGTACGAGATTGCCAGCGGTGCGACATCGACGCACCACTCGCCCTCGCCCTCGCCCGTGCCACGATCAGTGGCCTCGGAGCAGGATGTGTGCGACCCACGAGACCTCATGGCAGGCACATCTGGAGTCGAGTTCGCGGCGATGCCTGCCTTGTGCGGCGGCGATGAGCTCGAAAAGTTGGTGGTCAAGGGTGGTGAATTGGCAGCCCCGCAGGTCCACATTGCGGAAGCCGCCGAGCCTCGCTTCTACGCCGGCCTCCCAACCTTTGAGCCAATTTTCGAGCTCGACGTCGAAGACGAATTCGGGGGCATGGTCGCGTACGCCAGCCACGACATCCAGTACAACGGCGCCAAGCGCCAACGCCTCTCTGCCGTCGGCTTCGAGGACGATGGCTTCTTCAGCGAGGAGAGCTTCAGCGACGATGAACTTGCGACGGGCGCGTACTCTCCACCCATCTCCGACTACCCCATCCCTGAGCACTCCGCCGCCGCACACAGCAAGCCAAAGCGCAAGACTAACAGGAAGGAGCACGTACAGCACGCTGCCCAGCCCGCCTCGTCCGCCCAAGAAGAGGGCACGTCGGCGCCCACCTCCAACGCGCCCTCGCAGGCCTCCTCCGACAACAACGAGACCGCCGCGTCGACCCCTGCCCAGAGCAGCAGCGTGTCGCGCCGCGGCCGCAAGCAGTCGCTGACCGACGATCCCTCCAAGACCTTCGTGTGCACGCTCTGCAGCCGCCGCTTCCGACGTCAAGAACACCTCAAGCGCCACTACCGATCCCTGCACACCCACGAGAAGCCCTTTGAGTGCACCGACTGTGGCAAGAAGTTCTCCCGCTCCGACAACCTCAGTCAGCACCAGCGCACCCATGGCGCCGGCACCATGGTCATGGGTGTCCTCTCGCAGCCCGGCGAGCAGCACATGCACCAGCCCATCGAGTCCGTTAATGGCGGCGACGCCGGCTCCGTAATCCGCCCGAAGCAGGAGCAGCAGCAGTACCCTCCTCAGCCTCACCAGTACCCACCGCAACAACATCGGGTATCACCTGACGCCGGCGAGCTCGGTGCCATGCTCTTCGACGTAACTGCCCAGGTTGGGGGCTCCAGCTCGAGCTCAAGCTCCAGTGTCAGCTCCTCCGACGGCGACTACTCTCCCAACGGCGACCGCAAGCCTGCCAGGAAGAGGAAGCGAGACGAGTAGCATGCTCTCTCCTTCTCTTTTCCTTTACTTCATGACGACGCTCCAAGCAATGACCACCACCGTACATTGCAAAGGGACCAAGACACGCTACGAAATTGATGTCGTTACGCCGGGATACTACCAAAAAACAAGGGAACATGGGACATGGCGCTTCACTGTTGTGGGGAATGGTTGACATCAACCTCACCCCCTGCGACTTCTCTTCGGACACGGGACGACAGCACGAAGACGCTTTCGACTTCTTACCTTCTTGCACATCCTATTGACTGTTACATTCGCTTGTACAATATAATGCTTTTCTGCTGTCTGGGGTCGCCATTGCTTCTGCTCTGCGCCTTGTTACCGCGAAACCTGTAAATTATAACCTTTCATTTGTGTTGGGCGCGCTGCTGGAGAGAGGGTTGGAGGCGGCACGACCAAAGGTCGTTGCCCTCCGCCTTTGTACTGCTTCATACAACCTACCAGTTGTTGGAGGCACTTCTTCCGCGCTGGTCGAGGAGATGTGAAATGTCTTTTGAGCGCGCTACAACACACACCTATTCGCTGTCATTGTACCTACTTGTATCATAGAGGAAAGTCAGAGAAGACGCAAAAAAAGCTATCGACTTTACACACCACTGGTTCTCACCATTATTCCTTCTGTCTGTCCCAGCTCTGCCTGTCATTCCATTCCACCTTCCTGGCATCGCACCTTCCTCAGGCAAAACACTGCACTGCGCATCACGACCCGACTCGACGACCACCGCAAGAGCGACAGCAGGAGTCAACTCCGATCGACTATCTCGCCACCCGCGTGGCCGCCGCCACCATACCACATGGCCCAGCACCAGCCATTTTATCAGTAATCAAGTTGAATCATTGCACACCCACACACTTCCACGCGCAAGCAGAGAAAAATTCATCAAAGTTCCGCTACTACTCTACGAGGCACGTACGTGTGGAGTCAATCACTATTCGCGTGTGAAGTTCATGACATGTTTATTGCTTGATTCGCTTGAGAGAGTGCCTTGAATAGATTGTAGAAGAAATACTGAAACACTTCCGATTCTGCCGTGGATGCATATCATAGATATCAATTGTCAAGAATCAGCTAGAGATGGAGTTGGGGCCGTTGGAAAGTGCGTCATTTGTGTGTGGATTCTGGCTACTCGTGAGAAGGGACAGGAACTGGAATTGGAATTGTGGGTAGTTTCCTGCCACCACTACTGATATCCAGCGAGTGAGACGGAGGAGGCGGCTTTGGTCATGACTTCTTCCTTGGGCATACACGCTGCGGATGCGATGCGATGCGGTGATTGTGGAAGTCTTTGCGCGAGGGAGAGAGGGAGAGGTGTCACGGCTTATTCTGTATAGGGATAGAGATCAATTCTGGGCTGATCTGATCTGGTGTGTGGTTGTTGGTGTTATGCACAGTAGATCCCATCTCGGCGAACAGGTCAAAGGTACGTGTGGTGTTGTACTTGCATCTTGGTTAGGCATTCACGCAGATGCAAGCCATGTGGAATTCTCATGCAAGTCATGACTTAGACGAAGCAAAGGATAGGATTTGGCAAGAAGAAGAGCTGCAAGTTCGGCCTTCACTTCCCTTATCTCCATCAGGTATGTACATGTTTAATGTATCTTGCATGCATGTACCTCTGTACTGCCGACAACACCTCTTCATCTCAGGCTGCAAGACAAGAAGATCCAACGAAATGAGTAATGCGCGAGAGCAGTCTAGCGAGCTACTAGAAAACATTTATTTACACTCTGCCAAACGAGCGGGCTAGGTTGGATTCGCGGCGAAAATCCAACCCAGCCTTGTGGTGGTCGCCGCACCATGCATGGCTTTTATGCAGGTACATGACACGTGCAGCGAGGCCAATGCCAGTCTTCATGTCATGTCCCAATTTTGGATCGTCACCCTTGTTGCCTTTCGTCTTGTTTGCGCAACTTCTTGTCTTTCTAGTGAGGTGTCTGTGCTGTGGTTGAATCGTTGTGGTGGAGTTCGTTTCGGGCGGTGCCTGTGCTCTGGCTGTAATCGCGCAATTCATCTTGCGTGGCGGAGATAGGTCAGACTGGTTCACTGACACGCGTATGGAACTTTGCAATGCTATAGATCTTCCGGAGAAGCCTTCTTCGTGCTGTGTGCACGAATAATGAGCCGAGGGGTGTGTTCTGGAGGACTGCCTTATTCATTCCCTCGGGTCTATCTTTCGCTTTCGAGGGTCAAGCACGCCGCCACCAGCTCCGTTGGAAATCTCACGTGTTGTTCATGAATCGCAGCCGGATCATCCCAGCGGTGTCGCTTCTCGCCACTGCAGAGGCGTTCGTCTTGCGTTACTGCGTGTCGGTGCTGACTCAACTTGCATCGGCATTCGGCTTTGGGTATTCGTGCTGCTGTAGGAGACCAATCAAATATTTTCTTGCAAATAAAACTATGATTTAGAAATGGTAAATGAAAGGAGCGCGCGAATAGTCGGTCTTGAGGTACGCCTCGACGCTTGCGCATTCGTGCATGGGTGCGGCATACCCTCAGTTGTGCTTTGGCTTGCATGCGCACATACTTGCTACAGTGTGCTGTACATTCCCTAAAGAGTAATGTCAGTCCTCTCAACGGTGGACGGCACACAGCTGTCACTGCAAGTCGGGCATGAAGTTCTATTCCTGACAAATCCCTCGACCACGGAGCCGGTGGCGATGATCTGCTGCGAACTGGACCCCATTGTTCCTCGACATGCGCGGACAGTGCATTATGCTGCTCTTCCTGAGGCCTAGTTGCTCAGAATGGTGCAGGGAAGCTGCCGTGAGAGAATTGCGTTGTTGGCCAGCCAATGCTATTCGGAGGATCGTTCATCAGATAGGCTGGACGTCTCGATCTCGTGCCAGCGCTGATCAGGCCATTGACAGACTGCCTTGCTATGGCGCTGCAGGACTGCATCTGCTCGGCCGCCATCATCTATCGCGGCTAATATGGCTACCAGACCGTCCAGTGGCTTCACAGTGGCCTCGAAATTGAAGGAGCACCGCGTTAGCGGTATCTTGGAGACACTTGTGCACTCGCATGACTATTCTTGCACATCATCAGGCAGCAAGACTTCTACGCCTTGAAAAATGAACAGCTGACCCATCATGACTAGGAGTTGATGACAAAGTAACTCCACAGCACTCCGCTGATGTTCAATCCAGCGCCGTCGTCAGGCCGCAAGGCGTTTGTGACCTCGAGATACATGTGTTGTCAGGGCGCTTGCAGCTGTCGGCACCTCTCACGAACCGACACAGTCAATGTCAGATTTCGTGGTCCGGACTGTGATCCGATGGCACGAGTTCCTTTCCTTTGGCAAGACTCATGTCCTTCGAGGACGTTGTGATGCTCGTCTATTTTCGTCCTGTATCACGCGTTATTCCCGAAAGGGTTGCTGCTTTCGTGTTTGACCGTCGCTGTCTCAAGCTGGCCGTTTGCTCAGTGCTTGACGAGACATTGTGATGTTCCTGATACGAAGAGAAGGGTACGCGTTTGGCAGTTCGTTGCCGCTGTCAAACGCGGTTGGGAAGGACGGAAAGCACAGTTCCGCTGTGGGAAGCGGCAGGGCTAGCAGCAGGATCAGGGATCTCGCCTGGCTACCTTTGGTCGAGATTGTGAAAGTGTACCAGGTACGGAATGATGAGAAGATCGTTCCGGTGATGGTGATGATGTGTTCCAGAACCGGACATGTCGTCAAAGTTGGTCTGGAGTGCAAGTGTTGTGGCGGAAGGATGGTTGTGACAAGGATGGTGTGCTTGGCCAATCAAGGGTGCAGCCGCCGACCACAACGAACGTGTGGACTGTCTGCACAACACACATCACATACACATCACGACAACTCAAGCGCCTCAGACACTGCACGGGAAGCCGAGCTCGACATCCATACAAGATCAGCATTGCGCCCAAAGCCGCTGAACATGGGCACACGAAGACGCGGATGCAATCACATCCCGTGAATTAATGCTACCAATGACTGATTATGCTGAGTTCTGGCTTTGCTCATTCATTGAGGTTACCAGTCTGAAGGGTGCCAAGTACACTGTAACGATTTCAGGCTGACACGTTCTGATTAAGACTATCTAATACTCTTACCAGAAGCCTCGAAGAAGTCGCTAGAAGTGCCTTTCTCATCACAGGCAGGAAAGGCCGAGCACACCTGACCTCACGTGTTATCGCCTTGAGCTACATGTCCCAGGAACACTTGCTATTGCCGGCTAGGTCCTGGCTCTGGGCCAAGTGACCTCTCTGTGCTGGCCACTATGGTCAAGACCAGTAGATCAATCTCAGCCATGCTTCGAAAGCCTCTTTCCCATTGAGCAAGGTAATGCGGATGGAGAAGAAGAAGCCTTGACACATTAGGTAAAAATTAGTCGTATTGTAGGAAATGTGCCCTCGTGCGTCGTGCATGTACGCGGAATTCTTGAGCACCCAGTCTCGCGAAGAACCTGGAAACCATGTGGAAACAACATTCTGAGCTCCCCAAATAGCCGCGATCGCAGTGCAATGAACGGAACCTTCCATCGAGGTTGATGGCCGCCTCCAGAGATCGCGAGAAGAGTGGAAGCCTCCCAGAACCATTCACTTTCCAAACGAAAGCCTGTGCCCAGGCTTTGACATGCACCTACACTTGAAGAACACTCAGACACTGTTCCTTTTCTAGCTCAACGTCACCTCACAAACCATGCCGAAACAACCCGACTGGACGCTGGGGCTCGCGGCGAAGGTGCCATATTCTTTGTTATTCCATTCGAAAATATTCTGCTAACTTGCATCCAGGTGCGCCGCCACCAACTCCGACACCATCGCAAAGCAGGCGAAGCTCTGCGCGAAATCTTGCTTGATGGCCTCCGCCATGCAGTTCTTTCGACGACAGAACTACTCGAGCTCATCCTCGTACACCTACCAAATGCTGATCTCGAGCGGCTGCGTAAAGTTTGCCGCAAATGGAATGCAACAATCCTCAGCTCGCCAGCGCTTCAGTCGAAATTCTTCATGACCATCCGAGAGCCTCTCGATAGATTTTGGTGAGTGTAGCAGGCAGGCAACAATACGAGACTTGATGCTTATGAGTTGTACGCAGGTCCATCGCTTCTTTTTCTCCGTTGTCGCCGCCGCAACCTCTGGAAGGTTTCAAACTGGTTCCCATCAGCGCTTCCATCAAGAATCACCAAGCAAGACTACTCATCTCACAAGCATCAACGAACAGAGCGTACGGATCTACATTAGTGGTACTGCGTCCCGTCCAGCTGAACCCCTTATTTCGCACGACTGAGCTATCGGACTGGGAATTCGCCACCGGTTTCGGCCAGTACGTTCACTTGAAACTCGACAGCGTCGCCAGCATGCTTTCAGGGCATTGGACATCTCCAAAACTACTAGATAGCTTCATCACAGATCCCCCCTGCTATAACGCATACATATATTGCCAGTGGAGGGGGAGACATAAATTGCCGAAGAAGGCGGGGGAAAAGAGAGTATGGTGTGTGTTGGGCAGTACTGTTCACAGCGCGGCTGGCTTGACTGTGAGGGACATCGCTCGTGCATTCTTTCAGGACCGTCGCGCGAAGACTTTGGTGCACCAGACCCTTGAGTCTTTCCCTGGGTCGTGGACGTTTCCGACGCTTGTGAATCACTTGAAGAGGCTGGGATACAAGGATGACGAGGAGTTCTGTCTCAAATCGTTCAAGCTCACGTTGTTCGGGGTCATCGTTCCGACTGAAGAGCAGTGGCGGACTGTGCAATAAACCGGAGCTGGAGTCCTTCTCTTACATGCGAAGTAGCAAGGCAGAGGCCTGGCAGCACGGAGGGAGGACTAGTCAGGATTAATGAGCTTCTGAGGATAGTCAAATGGCACGAAAGAGAGAGAATCATTGCAGAGACATCATGGCACATCTCCTCTCACTCCCTCACAGACTCAAAATTATACCACTGTGAAAATTTCTCTGTTCAGATTTACATTCTGCTTCTACTCCTTTCTTCCTTCTGTTCTCATAAAATGTCTTTCTACAATAAACAGTAACGATAGTATACCATGCTAAAACCAACCAGCAAAAGCAAACCTGCAAATAGGGTATCATGCGCGCTCGCCCGCTACGTTCCATACCATATCCATGCCCAGGTCAAAAACAAGAACACCAAAGCCAGAAGCATCAACATGAACATCGTTTCAGTCTCATGAGTCCTCCGCCGCCCGTTTCAGGATCCTTGGTCAATATTTAAACCAGATCGTCCCCTCTTTCCCCCTCCTCTTCTCCTTCTTCCTCATCGTCCACATCCACCAACCTCGCCTGCGTGGTACTTTCCCTCGCTGGCTTGTCCCCGATCCACACCCCATGCAACGGGGCTACAAGGCTAGGGTTGACGAAAGGCAGGTTCCTCTCCGTCTTCGCGCCTTCTTCCTCAGTTCTCACAGCCAACGTCACGGAGCCTTCTACCGCAGCCGCAGCATTCGGGTCTCGTCCAGCCCAAATACTTGTCTCAGGAGCGAGGTTCGTACTGTTCAAACTGGCAGCGTATCGCGGTGTGCTGCGATGACTGGCTTCCTGTTGCTGATCGGTATAGTGGTCATAGTGTTCGTTTCGCTTGACGGCCGACAAAGCGATGTACCTCATCAGCGGTTGATACGTTTTTCCGTACATAATCATGACCCAGACTGTGGTGACCAGTAGTGGGACCATCATGACACTTCGGGCAATGGCTCCTTTAAGGATGAGTTGACCAGCAGTGGTAAGCTGGAAGAGGATCATGCCGATGAAGATGCGCTCACAAATCATAGTCCAAGCGCGACCAGAGGTTTGCTGGCGGTGATCCATGGCGTAGAGAAGTTGGTATTTGTAGCAGTAGTGTCCCAGGGCGAAGTAGAGGAACCCAGCGAGGAGGACTTGCCATGAGGAGCGTAGGACGGAGTATACCATGCAGATGATGAAAATCAGCATGGCGTTTGGTAGGTAGAAGCCATAGCTGAAGACGGGAGGCTGAACGAGCTCGGCGTAGTCTCGCGGTGTCTTCGCCCCAATCAACATGATTGGATATAGCGACACACTGCCGGCCTCCAGCATGCGGAATGGGAAGAGACCGACACCTTGAAGAATGATGAAGTTGACGTAGAAATTCAGTAGTCGTCCCAGTGAGTACGCCATGGTCCAAGCCACTTTCTGGATATCTCTGATCGCGTCACCAAACTTCGCAAAGACTTCGTAGAACTTGGACGCTGTGCCGAGCACTGTGAAGACGATGAAGAAGTTGAAGAACGTGAAGAAGAAGTTTTTCGAAATGATGGACAGCTCGATATCGCCTTTCGAGATCTGACCTTGGCACCAGGAGAGGTAGTAGTAGAGGTATGGGACCAGGACCATCAGGAGAGATGCAATAGCAGTGGGCAATTGCGTGTTGACGAGCGATCGGATGTACTTGTGATCTTTGAGGATATCTGCCAGCCCGGGTACCACTTTGCCAATTGTCTCCACGTTCAGCAGACCAGCGATTGGGATGAACAGCACCGACCAGAATATCGTCAGGAAAACGATAACTGACGTGACCGTCCAGTTGCGAATGACACGCCTTCTCTTCGAGATGTAAGTGTTCTCCCAGATCACGTCGACTGGCTCCGGACTCTGTTTGGCGATGAATTGCAGAGGTGACGGATCGAGCACGGCTTGGATCGCCATTTGGCAAGATGCCACCGAATCCATCGTAACGAATGCCAAAGGCGTCGTGGGGAACTCCTTCTTGCGCAGCTCCATCACATGCTCGTCAGCCTCTCGCAGCCGTTCCGTGTAGTAGTCTATCGCATCGACTTGTGTTCGCTGAAACCAAAATCGTCCATATCGAATTGTCGTTTTCGGCCTGGGTTTCAAATATGGTCTCGCAGAGTCATTACTCCGTCCGATCAGATTTCCGTTCTCGTTCGCATCGTCACCAGCATCGGCATCGATCAGCGGCTCCGGCGGACTCGGCTGCGCAATCGGCAAAGTCTCCAGGTTTCTCTCAATCCTTCGGTATCCCAAATGAATGGTCCACGCTTCTTCCAGTTTCCTCAGCAAGTCCATCCTTTTGGCCATAGCTCTGTCCAGATCCCTCCAATTCCTACACAGCACTACCCTCTCCACGTGTCCGATTTCCAGGCTTTCAAGAAACTCTTTGATCCGCTCCTCATCCTGTAGGTCCTTCGGGATTCCCGAAAGCCGAATTGTCCTATCTGTGACCGTTGTCTGCGTACCCAGGAACTCCTGCCTGACCTCGATCACTTTTCTCGTTGTCGATATAACCAAATATATTAGGATCCCCGAGAACAGGTACGCAAAAACAATGTACATCCAGAGGTAATCCGACTCCAAGTTCTCTGGGAAGAACGGAACCGTCCAGTTCCCACCACCTCCAGTCCCGTTTCCTTCGAATAATCTCACGCTTCTCTTCAACCCCTGCCTGATCCAAAGGTCCGTATCATTATGATGTGTCCCATTTTTCCCGAAGTCGTCATCATCATCGTCGTCCGGATAAGCATCGTGCACAGGCTTGATAACCACCAGCGAGAACCCCAGCGTCACAATTAAAAACTTCATCGCCATTTTGAAGAAAGTCAAGAACACATATGCATCCAATCCCGCGCTGGCCAGAACCTGCTGCTCACTAATCCTCCATAACGGCAGAATCCACCCAAACATCGTATCGGGCAGCTCAGGTAATGTCGCGATCCCAGCATGCTTCGATGTCCGTTTTCGCGCAGCGTAGAGGTTTTTCCACCGTGGTCGGAGAAAGCAGAAGGCGAAGAAGGCGGTTGTGCCGAGGAGTAGGGAGAGGATGATCTGGATTGTCGTGTCGCGTGGGTTGGTGGCGCCCATGAGGTTTTCCCATTCGGAGCGGTCATCGCGAGGGTGGTTGTGGTGATTATTGTCATCGGGTTCTTTCATGTTGTTTTCGAAGAGGAGAAGGGAGGACATGATGAGGGTGATGGAGCATGTCCTGGCAGAGTGAGAGGTGATGCGTCGTCGAAGCTGGTGTGGTGGGGAGCGCGTAGGAGGTGGGTGTGAAGGTGTTTTGGTAGCATGCAAGTCGTCGATCGGCGAATCCAAGCTGCGGACGATGATGTCGCGTCATGCTCTCGAGTGTCGGCCCGACAGATCTTCCGCTCTTTATGCATTGGTATGAACATTGTGCAAAATGAGTGCAAGGCGTCGATGTGTGAAGTTCATGTTTGTAATTATCGTAGTCGCACGCATGACTCTCTATGCTCCGCGAACGATCGCTCGGTTCTCTATCCTAACTATACAGTACTCGCTATTGCACGCTATGCTGTTGATGCCATTCGAATGATCGTTCTCTCGTAAAGTCATGCTCACTTCTTTTTGCCGAAACCAAGGAATTTCTTCATCTTATCCTCGATGTTGCCCTTGTTCGCACCTCCTTCTTTCTTCTCTGGCTGCTTCATGGCAGCCTTGTGATCTTCTTCACCTTGCTTCTGCTGTGTCACAACGTTCACTTTCAGCTCCTGGGCCTGACTTCGATACTCCTCCTTCAAGCTTGGACCTTGTCTGGCTTTTTGAGATGCCTCCTTGGACCAGACCAATGTCACAAGCACCTTGCCTCGAAATCCAAAGTCACGCACGAGCTTCTTGTCGCTGTTGTTTGGCAAGGTCGTCATTTGGTTCTTGTCGCCATAGAACTTCAGCTCAAATGGTTCAGGGGCTTGTGCAAGAGTATTTTGCACTTTGGCATACAGATCGGACGCGGTTTCTGTGCTCAAGATTGGGGTCTCGATGATACTCTGGTCGGGATATTTGACGCGAACGATCACGCGTTGTATGCGTTCAAGCTCTGCCCTCTTCGCGGCCTCTTGCTCTTCGATCTCCTTGTCTGAGAGGAGTCGCTTGTTCTGGCCATGTTTCTGAAGTGCGGCTTGCAATGCTTTCGCCTGCTCTATGCTTGGCTCGAAGCTTGAAGGGTCGTCCTCTTGGAGCGCAGCAGCGGGTGTAGTCGATGATGAAGGAAGGTACACTGCCATGCCGTTGACGAGATTGGGCTTCATTGAAGCAGAATCTTCCGGGGCGGCTGCAGATGCACCAGCAGGCGGCTGAGCTGTAGATCCGGTAGGTTCTGTTATTGATGATGAAGCTATCACATCACCTTCGACTGGCTGTGCGATGGGGGCGTCCTCCATAGGAACATCCGATGGCTCAGCTGGGTCTGGGCCAGCATTTCCTCCCAATGGTACATCAGGCGTCGTTGTTGTAGCATCGGGTACACTTGTTGTATCGTTCACCGGAGCAGCATGTGCACCCTCAGCAGGCTTGGTTGCGGAGGGAGGAGCTTCAGCCTCGCTGAAGTACTGTTCGATCTCATTCATCGCCTGCTCCAGAGGCTTCCCGCTGCTCTTGTAGGTCAAACGAATAAGTACGCTGCCACTAATGCCCAATTGCGTCAAGGTCTTTTGCAGGTCGGCAAACGTCTCAAGTGATCTGCCCATCACATTTAGACATGGTTGTTCGTATTCCAGCCTGCCAGAACCAGATCCGACGTTCGATGGTGTAGCTCGTTGTGTGATATTGAACTTCTGTGTCACAGCTCCCCCAGCAACTGCATCCTCGAACTTTCGTAACACGAGCCAAAGGCTGGTCGTGCTGGGGAACTTGTCCTGCAATCTTTTCCCGCCTTCGCTCTCTGGAAGCTGCAGGGCAACATTCACCACGCTGGCCGACCGACTTCCTTGCACAAGTTGAAGCTTTGCACCTGACGCGAGGCCCGACAATCGAAAAGGTTGTGACAAATCCAGTGTCTTCTTGCCATCTTGAGTCTTCAGAACCCACGACTCAGGATTCAGCTTCTTCTTCTTGCAGGCCTCTTCCAGCACTTCTCGCAAATATGTCCCAGGTGTAACCTTGATCTGTGTTCTCTGAAATGTGGAGTCCACCACATAGACGCTGGCCGACATGTCGAGCGTCTGTTTTAGCGCTCTTCTGCGCGGGCCAGCAGTTCGCGAAGTTCGTCCCCGTCAAAGCGATCCGCGCGAGGAAAGAAGACGACACCGTCGAGTTCGAGAAGGTGGCGGATATGCAGGTGCCAAAGAGCGAAGAGGGGACCAGCGAGACGAGGCTCGTCCAACAGTATCCGTAATAAGGCCAAAGAAGCTTCTGCCTCGAAATGCGCAGCACCAGCAGGAAAGTGTACTAGACGGCGGCGGCGAAGTTGGCGCGACGGTGATCGCGGTCTTCTTCGCGCAGCTGTCGCCGAGCTTCGAGGGCGGTCTCGTAGAGATAGGAGCAGAACTTCTTGCCTTTGCTCCACACTATGGGTGCCACGAACAGATAGCTCAAGGCGCAGACTACTAGGCGTTCGGACTTGGTGAGTTGCAGGCCGCTGAGTCGGAGGTGGTCGAGGGACATGCTCACCGCGCGGCGAAGCTGTGCATTAGATGAAAGAATTGTTTGTGTATGTGTCAGCAGATGTTTCTGCGTGATTCTGCTGGATGGCGGCGCGAGAGAGTTGACGTGACGAACGGGGTGTTGCCTGCCCTCGACGCAACCTGCCCCACCAAACACCGACTGCAGTGACACTTTCTCAACTTCGACATCAACACTCCACCGACAACACCCCTCCTCTTCCTCCTCACCACCGCCACGATGGGCTCCACAATCGTCGATATCTCCTCTCCGCAACACTTTTCCCAAGTCCTCTCCTCCTCGCGCATCGTCGTCACCGACTTCTGGGCCACATGGTGTGGACCATGTAAAGTAATCGCCCCCGCCTACGATGCGCTCGCCAGCCAACTCAGCAGACCTGGCTCCATCACCTTCACGAAAGTCGACACCGATGCGCAGAAGGAAATTGCCCAGACGTACAACATTTCCGCCATGCCTACCTTCCTCATCTTCAAAGCCGGGCGCGAAGTCAAGAGAATCAGAGGTGCCGATCCCAAGGGCCTTAACGAGGCTATCAAGCAGATCGCTCTCGAAGCGCAACAAAGTGATGCTGGCGGCGGTGGCAGCTCCAGCGCAGGACCGAGTGGAACAGGTGGACCTCAATGGCTCGCTGTACCAGGACCAAAGGGATACCACGAGATCAGCGACGAGGTCGAGATCAAGGGTCTCGATTTCCTGAACGTAGACGGAGAATCAGGCGAGCGGAGAGTAATCTTTGATCCTTCACAACCTAGCGGTTTGGGCAAGGGCAAATCAGCAGGGAGCGGCAAGAAAGACTGGATCGAATCGGACACAGACGAACAGCTGATGCTCTTCATTCCATTCCAAGGGACGCTAAAACTACACAGCTTGCAAATCACTTCATTACCAGGTGAAGAGACCACGCGACCACGGACATTACACCTATACTCGAATCGCAGCCATGTGCTAGGGTTCGATGAAGCGGAGGATACGCCTGCAACTCAGACCGTCGAGATCAAGGAGCGCGATTGGGACGAGGAGACACATACGGCGAAAGTGGAACTACGCTTCGTCAAGTTCCAGAACATCAGCTCAATCACAATCTTCGTGGCCGACGGGCAAGGCGACGAGGAGAAGACACGAATCGATCGCGTGCGTCTGTTCGGAGAGTCAGGCGAGAAGAGAGCGATGGGAAAGTTGGAGAAGATTGGTGATGAGCAGGGAGAGTAGACGTGTACACACGCAATGTACGCATTGAGGGTCTGAAAAAGGATAGAGGTCACGTTGAATGCATGAGTACGACTATGATCACGAGATAGATGAAATCGGTATGAAACAAAAGTGATGCGTGATCGCGAGCTGAGCGAAACACCAAGGCTTCTCAAACCATACTGGCTCATCTTGAATATACTAATGTACGGATGATTCGCAGTGAGACGAACTCACTTTTGGACAATCGACATCTTATCCTCCCCCGAATGACTCTGAAGTGGGAAAGCCCGGCTGGAGCTACATATACACGCAGTCGCCGCTAGACCCCAACGATCGCCTTGCTACCACATTAGCTAAGTCAGTAAGTCGTCAGGATAACCTGATGCTTGATGTCGATTCAGCTTGCAAACTCGCTCTCCATGTCTGCTATGACATGAAGTGTGACTTTCCCTCCGCCTTGGTATCTAGTGAAGTGCAAGACGATTGTTTTTTTGCCCCTCTATGCTAACTTTGAAAATTCCTTTTGAGCGAACGACGGAAAAGATGCTGCGCTTTTCCTACGTGGGTTTATTTTGGCTTGACCACCATTTTGCGCTCCTTGCGCTAGGATTTTCAAGGTCGCTTCTGGGACAGAATGAAACGGCTTGTTGAGCCTTCCTTTACAAGTAATGACCACCAGAACTCAACGATTGTCGTGTACCTCATTAGTCAAGCCGGTAAGTCGTTGGCTCTTTGGCTGATGCTTGGTAAATTCCATGGCACGACCGCGGACGACGTCTGAAGACTTGCCATCGTCTAAGGCGGTGCCGCTTATAGAAAACTGGGCGCGGTACAAGGCGATTGTTTTTTGCCCCTTTTGCGTTGATTTTTGATTTTGGGACAAATGCCGATGAGATGATTGTCTCTCTCATGTGATCTCCCGACCCATGATCCTTCTTGCCATTGCCATGCACTGGATCATGTCACAAGTATCGTTATCGACTGAAAGGGCTTGGTGAGCTAACATATGTGAGTAACGATCACCAGAACTTCACGATCATCTTGGACCTCATTAGTCAAGCCAGTAAGTCGTTGGATCTTTGGCCAATGCTTGATGCAAAGATTCAGCCGCCAAACTCCGTTTCATGCCAGGTTCGATGGCATGTGTGGTAGGAGAGATGACTGTACATAAGGGAAGTCCAAGACGATTGTTTTGCCCTTTTGCTTCGACTTCATTTCTTCTTTTGAGGAAATTTGCAGGACGGACCTATTCTATACGTTCTTTATGTGTCTTGCTATATCGTTCTCGGTGCCGTAGCTGGCTGAGCCTACATATACAAGTGAAGAACCCAAGAACTCAACGATCGTCTTCCACTTCGTTGGTCAAGTCAGTAAGTCGTCGGTCATCAGTCGACTTCTGACGCTTGATATCAGTCCAGCTTCGAGATCCAATTGGATGTCTGATTGAAGGCATTCGTCGGACCGTAGTCGATGGTATTGAAATGTGGTGCAAGGTTCTTGTTTTGCTCCTTTTGCGTCGACTTCGTGGAACTTTTGCGTAGCTGCAGATTCATGCCATGCTATCCAACCTTTTGACATAGTCAGCTGGGCATGAAGATACAAACGATAGTCAGCATCAAAGAACTATCGTCTTATGCTTTTCGTGGAGCAAGTAAGTCGTTAGCTCCATAGCCGATGCCTGTTTTGTGAGTCCAGCCTTTCGATTTTCGAGGTGTACTTGTCCATGCCTTCTCATAGTCGAAGTGGCGAGAGATTGAATAGAGCAGAAAGCGATTTGTTTTTGATCTTCCCTCCTTCCTGGGCAATGAGCCTATATGTACAAACGCATCCTAGCAAAAGTCAACGATCGCCTTCTCCCTTATTAGTCAAGTCAGTAAGTCGTCAGCCATGTGGCCGATGCTTGGCTCCAAGATACGGTATACAGACGCTGTACAACGTTAAAGCCAGTCGTGTTGTAAGGCATGTATTTGCCTGCGATCTTCGCGTAAGGTGGACGGCGATCTGTTTTGCCCTTTTGCTTTGACTTCAGCAACGAGAATGGAGCCGTTTGTCGCGCTTATCGTCGAGATGACTGCCGGAGTCCCGCTCGAAATCGGGCTGTTGACGATCGTCTCTTGCTTTTCTAGCCAAGTCAGCCAAATTGTCATCTACTGGCTGATGCTTGAATCAGTCGACGCTCTGCAGCCTTATCGTCAATGGTCCATCCGGTTGCATTGCGACCTTGAGCTGGCGTCTAAGATAAGGTGGAAGGCGATTTGTTTTGCCCTTTTGCTTCAACTTGCTTATGGAGAAAAGAGTCTCGAACCACATCCTTTCAAAGATGACAGGCAACCGCAAGGGACCAAGCAATATATTCGCGCTCGAAACTGAACATCTAACGATCGCCTTCTGCCGCATTAGTCAAGTCAGTAAGTCGTCAGCACCCGCTGATGCTTGGTAAAGGGATAGCGAGTGAGAACGGCTTGAGGTGTCTAACCTCCTGAGTCGTATTTGCTGTCTGTCAACCCGCATGCTGTAGAAGGCGATTGTTTTTGCCGTTTTGCTTCAACTATTCGATATTTCGATCAGTCCTAGCGCTATTTTCATCTATTTTTGCCTGAGCAGAGACAGTCCAAGCACCATATTCATGCCTGAACCACGACTGTCAACGATCGTCTTCCGCTTCATCAGTCAAGTCAATAAGTCGTCAGTTGCATGGCAGATGCTTGGAAAATGCTGCCAGCTCCGCGGTCGAGACATGTATATTAACTGCATGGTTCGTTTGCAGTGTGTGCTCAGCTTCGCATAAGGCAGAAGGCGATATGTTTTGCTCTTTTTGCGTTGACTCCTGCAAAGGGACAATGCTGGGGTTCCTCATCGTTCGTCGATTGGTAAGAGTCTATGCCATACACTTCCCAGCCGCCGGGTCTGGTGACCATGCTGCAGTGACTTTGATTGTAAGTATATACTGTTCTAGCGCATGCTTCGAGTTTGCACGCCTTTGTGTAACTGAACTTGCAGTCAGCACGTTGCTCCTGGGCAAGGGCCCGAATTTCAAGGGTCTTCTTGGATTATGGCGTCACAGTGTCGTGCGGCACAGTCCGACTGCTCCAGTCCGTTGCGACTTTGATGCCTAGTCGCCTCGCGTGTATGCTACCGGAACACATCAGTAACTGAAGACTTCGATCGTGGACCAGTCTTTGCTGGAAATCCGAATCAAGTCCTTGACATACCGCTCTATCTCTTCAATCAACTATCAACATGGAAGATCAGGCAGCAACGAACCTCATCGGAGCCCTCATATTCTGGCTCTACATCGTCCTAGCCCTTGTGTTCACATCCCTCGTCCTGGACTCTCTCATTCGACTCCCTACACCTGCCGGGAGACGAAGCCAAGTGTTGGTCTTCAGCAGCCTGGCCTTTTTCAGCTTTGTCGCCTTATCCTTCAACATGCTGCACGTTCTGGTATACTCCTTCAAGCTCTGGACACAAGGTCATCCTCTTCCGGAGAGAATAAACGTTGGCCTAGCGTTGGCAACGATCTGGAAGTGGTCCATCACATCGACTCTTTTCAAGGATTTCGGCGTCGCAATCGTTGAAGATCTGAAGCGATTCTTCTGGACGCAGGCTGCACTTTGGGTGACCATGTCTGTGTGCCTGTATATGGGTGCCGAAGGCGTGCACAGAAGGGTTCCAAGGTTATGGGCATACTTCGCTTTGAGTCAGATCTTGCCAATCTCGTTTGCGCAGAATTTGTTCTACGTTGCGTTGCTTAAACTGCCGCCAGCCGAGTTGAAAACAGGAGTAATGCTACCTCGCAAAATTACTGCAGGCGTTGTGCTGGGTTATGGAGCCTCTTTGACATTGGCGGCCTTTCCGCTGATATGGGATGTTCTGGACAGAGTGTACCCAATCACGCTGCGCAAAATAGAAGCTGTGCCGTGGAGATGCGTGCCACCAAGAAAAGTGGAGGTGGACAGCCGGTATCTCATCCCAACAATACTCGTTGCGAGAATGCTACTGTTGCTCCCACTGTTCCTGCCGAAGTTGCAGCGAGAGGCCAGCGCAGCGAGCTATCCACGTGGAGGTTCTGACATGCAGGTTATGCAGAAATTGGTGACAGTTTGCGCTATCGCTATGACAGCGGGCGTTGGATGTCTGTTGCGAGATCTCGATTCCATGTGGATAGAGTTCTTGATTCTGGAGTTCAGATGGTGGTTACTGCCAGCGCTCTGGAGTCATCCAGCTGTCACATCGCTGGGCTTCGATTTCCTCCTCAGCGGCGTTAGTGCTGGAGCTTGGGTGTCCAAGTGGGTGCAATGCGGAGGTACACCTCAATCGTTCGAAAGCAAGAGAGAAGGCATCAAATCCAAGTGATGAGATAGCAACGCCAATGTGCTCGCTCACGAGAACACCAGATCTTCATTGAAGTCTCGTCCATTCACGGCATATTTCTCCTTGTTCAACGAGCTCATCTCCGGCTTGTCCTTGCTGGTGTCTCGTATCTCTGTTGTTCTAGCTCCTCCCTCCTTCTCTTTCTTCTCGTCTTCCTCGTCCTTCGCACAGCCACAATCGTAGAAGTCTCCAATGTTATTGCAATCAAATATCTCCTTGTGCAGCCTGATGTTCACCTGGTTGTGCACATGACATGCCCAGCCTGCCGCCGCGTTTCTCGAGCTCACTTGCGGCGGGAACTTCTTCAGCAGCTCTCCGAAGTGTGTGGCACAATCTCCGCAAGGATACACGCGCTGGAATGAGTAGATGAAGGTGCGCAGGGTGTTGCTTTCCTCTTCTGTTGGCTTCTCGGGGAAGCGAGCCATGACTGTGTGGAAGAAGTGCCACGTTGATCGTCCGAGTTCCGCTTTCGCTGTCTCGTTGCCCAGCTTTGGAGCGATGGCGTGGCCGGTCAAGGCCACTTGGCCAAGCTGGAGAGCTCCATCAGTCGTCTGCTGCAGTGACTCTGCTGCACGGGCAGCTTTCAGCGCTTCCTGATCATTCACTGATTGGCGAAGAGTGCGCATGCCGCTAAGCATGGCGAAGAAGATGATGAAGCACAGGAGAGCCAGCACGGTGTAGTACCGTCGAGTGGCCATGTTGATTGTTGATGTCGTCGAACGGTGTTACTGAGGAGTAAGCAATTGCCTAGTGAATGCTCAGACTATCGGATTACGCGGAGGTGGTGGACGAGGAGTCCTGCAGACTCAAAGGACAACATGTCGTTGTCGACGGGAGATGAGGACAAGGATGTCCAAGCTTTATTGTTGGAAGCATGTGTCTCAAATAAAGTAAGCATTTCAGGCACAAACAGTTGATGCCTGACCAACATTCCTTGAAAGAGCGACCTCGGCCAGGAAATACATGCCATTGGCACGACTCATCATCCAACACCACTGCTTACTCTGTCAGCACACACAACAAGACTCACTCAATATGGCTTCGACGTTCCCACCTCCACCAGTCAATACCATCGGTCAGTCGTGGTCACCAGCATTGTGGACAATATACTGATTCAAACCAGACTGGGACGACATCGGCTTCAAAGTCCGTGAAGGTAAGCACAAGTAGAGCGGCCGCAAACATCACAATCTGACATGGACAAGTCAACGGACACATCGAATCGACATACTCAGTCAAGACCGGAGAATGGACTGCCCCAAAATTTGTGCAAGATCCCTTCCTTCGCCTCCACGGCATGGCTCCAGGCCTCAACTATGGAATGCAATGCTACGAAGGACTGAAGGCTTCTCGCGGACCTGACGACAAGACGATCGGAATCTTCAGACCTCAAGCGAACGCAGAACGTATGCAGCACTCTGCTTCCTTCGTCAGCATGCCGGAAGTCCCGGTCGAGCTGTTCAAGAAGTCAGTCCACCTGGCTGTCAGCTTGAACGCTGCTTACGTCCCACCTCACCGCACTGGCGCTTCCATGTACATTCGTCCTCTTCTTTTCGGATCCAGTGCCCAGCTCGGCCTCGACCCACCTGAAGAGTACACTTTCCTCGTCTTCGTCATGCCCACTGGCGTCTACCACGGAGTCCACCCAGTCGCATGTCTGATCCTGGAAGACTTCGACCGTGCTGCTCCCGAAGGCACAGGTAGTGCCAAGATTGGCGGCAACTATGCTCCTGTCTTGCGACACAGCGGGAAAGCTAAGAAGGAAGGCTTCGGTATCACCCTTCACCTCGACAGCCGAACACGAACAGAAGTGGATGAATTCTCCACTTCCGGCTTCATCGGAATCCACGGAAACCCCGAAGAAGGCTGCACAATTGTCGTTCCTGACAGCAAGAACGTGATCAAGTCCGTGACGAGCAACACAATCTGCGAAATCGCCAAGAGTTGGGGATGGAAAGTCGAGCAGAGACCAGTAAGTCCCAGCAACCTTTCTATTCTCACCCACCTTACTAACAGTTGATCACAGATCAAATACAACGAAATCGGCACTTTCACCGAAATCGCCGCAGCAGGCACGGCAGCAGCTCTCGTCCCCATCAAGAGCATCACCATGCGCTCCAAGAACGACACTTTCAAGTACCAAGGAGGCGGCGATGAGCCCGGTCCAGCTGTCGTCAATCTTCTTGCTCAGTTGAAGGGCATTCAGCAGGGTAAAATCAAGGATGAGTTTGGATGGGTCGAGCAAGTTCGGGAGTATAAGCCTGAGGAGTATGCGCATGATGGCAGTGCTGGGCAGTCGAATGGTGTTAATGGTGCTACGCCGAATGAGTTGCCGTAGGAGATGTCTTTGCTGTGATGGCTAGAAGATGGGAGAATGAAAGGAAATGTATGCTCATGCTAGATCACGATTAGCTAGATGTTACATGATGAAATGATGTGGTAGCGCGCCGCCAATGAACCTCTCAGCAATAGTATCTCGAGAAGAAGTCCAACTACCAGGTGATGCTGATGCACTGAGAAGATGCTTGCCAGCAGTCCGCAGGAAGAACCAACCGAAGGCGTGATCGAAGCACAGCATGTGATTTGAATCATAATTGCATTTCTTCATCTCCTATTTAAAACATCCTCACTCCCCATTCCCCCTCCTCATCAATCAAAAACTAATGAATATCAACCGCAACCTTACTCGTCATAAGCTGCCTAATATTCGGCAAGAAAGCACAAGCAATACAACTCACAACTCCAAACGGAATCGTCGCATACCACACCATCTTCAAAGCCTCCGAATAAGCCATCTGACTCGCATACTGCGTCGCCGCAACAGTCGAAGCACTAATCCCCTCAATCGCAGCCGCCGCACCAGGAACTTGCGAAGCGTAAGCAGTGATGATGGCGATGATGGTTTGTTCATCTGTGACGCCGGATTGCACTGCGGCTGCGCCGACGAATTCTGGCAAGAAGCGAGTGAACCGTGTGAGGAAGATGTTGAAGAAGATGGAGGTTCCGATTGAGCCGCCGACGAAGCGGACGGAGAGGGAGAGGGCGCCTACTGTTCCGATGAATTCGTCCGGGGCGGCGTAGAAGGCTAGGGTCAGAGCTGGGACGACGAGGGCGCCGTTGCCGAAGGCTGCCAAGGTGGCGAGGGTGATTGTTGTGCCGGGGTTGTTGGGGTTGGAGACGACTAGGGCGCCAGTGAAGGCTGTCATGATGGCTGCGACGGTGAAGAACATGGTTCGGACGTGGCCTTTGGTGTAGCTCATCAGGAAGGAGACGATGCAGGCTCCGCCGAGGATTGCCCAGGGGTAGCAGAGGCCGCGGACACCGATGGTGATGGCGTCGGTGTTGTAGACGTATTGGAGGACGAGAGGGAAGAAGCCCAGGATCGAGTAGAATTCCATGCCGGCGATAAAGACGATCACGTACGCGAGAGCCACGACGCGTTGGCCTTTGAAGATCTTGCCTGGGACCATGGGGAAGGGGTGTTTGCCGTAGACTTCCCAGAGAGGGAATGCGACGAATGTTGTGATGGCTCCCACGATGAGAGGACCAAGGACTGGCGCTGAGGTCCATGGGTGTGGGTAGCCTCCTGCTTGGAGTCCGACGAGGAAGAGTGTGATGCCGACGATGGACAAGAAGGCGCCAACCCAATCGATACGTGCCAAAATTTGCATCTTGGTGAGTCCTTCTGCATTTGGTCGTGGCGGTGGCTTGTAGCAAAAGACGAGACCGACCATGCCGACGAGATTCCACAGACCGCAGAGAAGGAAGCAGTAGCGCCAGGTGGAGCTGCGGACGATGAGGATGGTGTAGAGGAGTTGTGGCATGAATGGGACAATCGAAAAGGTGACGAGGGAGAGAGTGACACCTCTCCAGCGTGCTGGGGTGATCTCTGCGACACTGGGAGCATGTTAGTGCACAGATCCTTGTGTCTTGATTGTATAACTTACCCAGCAAGCGCAACAAGCTCAGCCATACCAGCTCCCAGGCCTCCAATAGCTTGAGCAGACACAGCTTGTGCGAGCGAGTTGGCAGTAGCCTGGACGGCGCAGGAGGTGAGCAGGAAGAGTGTTCCGATGAGTGCAATGTTCCGGCGACCCATCAGATCAGTAATGTAGCCCACGAATGGGCAAATGGCAGCCACTGCCAACGTGTTCGCAGTCAACATCCAGTTACCGCGAGTCGTTCCCAAGCTCTGCGAGATGGGAGCGAGCGCGGAGCTGGTGAAGTAGAGGATGATTTGCGAGCCCACGTAGACAATACACAAAGAGAGCACAGCGATCATACGCTTTGCGGTCCATGGAATGTCTTCGCCATCCTTGCCGGTCTGAAAGCCTTCTGGAGGGCCTTTCTCCAAGCTTGACTTGTCATCGTTGTATTCATGTTGTTGTTGGAGCCCTTGCGCCTTCTCTTGACTGACCTCGGTGGCCATGGTGGGCGATTGCTGGAGAGGGTAGAGGAAGAGGAAGAGAAGAGCAACAGCTTACCCCGAGCTCTGCAGGCAATGATCTACCTTTATTATGCTGATCAGATCGCCGCTGCCACGCGGGAATATCAGACGAAGTACACGTGCGGCGTACGTGCATGAAAGTCTGTTTGCGCGCCTGTGTTGGTTCCGACTCGAAGCTGCCGTCGCTATAGAATGTGCGCCGTCCAATGGATTTACGTATAATGGCCTCAAACCTACACGGACCATTCTCTACGCCACGGCAAAGGACAGATGTAGTTTGGTATAGCAAGGAAAAGCGATTCAGCCCCCGCAATTTCCCCAGACACGTGAGGGGTGAGCAAGAGCGGCGAGCGCCCTGCAGTCAGCCGTGATCTAGAAGGTATACTTAGATCAACAGGTAGTAAAGCTCAAAAGAGAAGCAATGGTTGGTAGCGTAGAAGCCTTCGACGAACTAGCCATGATCTTCTTGGTCGCTTCTCACATCCATGATCGTGAATCAAATCTTTTGTTTCCCAGGCTCGTCTTCTGCTCGAGGCCTGCTTCACCATCTTGTGAACATATGCGATTTGTCAACAGCTGTGACTGCTGGACATGACATCCTTCGCGCGTTCAAGCAGGTGGTGGCTTGCTCTGGCTTGCTCCGGCTGGCTCAGAAGTCCGGCAAACGCGGTACAAACGGTTTGAGCGAGCACGGCGGAGACCTTGAATCCCAAAGAGGCAACGGCGTAGATTTCTTTAGTGCGGCTGACATCGGTACTAGCGGGACTTGAAGAACACGTGAGGACAGTCAAATGTACTGCGGCTCAAACATTTCTGGTTGATGTGTTCGAGATGCTTGCGAGGATGGAAAGTTGACACGAGGTCGTCCGGGAATGATTTTCGGTGCCGGATTTGTGTGAGCGCGAAGCCGCTGAGGTCGACGAGAGCGGCCAGGTGGTCTGCTATCCTTCGGCCTGTCCTGGAGCTGCATCACTCATCAATGCATATATATATCGCGAAGCGACGGCCTGCTGATAGTCAGCATCAAAGAACGCACAAGCACATAAATGTCAATGTCAGAACACAGCACGAAGGTATCAGAACCGGTGGGGTGCAGTGGTCTTGCCCAGGACTCTGGTGTCATTGACACTAGTGCGCGTCTGGCTGCGCGGACGTGTCGAGCGTGTGTGCTGTCGGCGTCCAACCCAAACAGAGATGGTGGAAGAAGGAACGAAAGAGAGGTTCGACTTGCAGGAGGTGATGCCTGTCTCAACCTGAGGCAAGTGACAAGGATTCTGCAACGCTGGTAGTTAGTCTCCCCTGCGCACAAGACGATACGACAGGACACGTGAAGCGAAACGCACAGTAACGTGAACCATTCTCATAAAATGCATAAACACATCCCCTCCATCACTTCATCCTGTACCCCATCTTATCTAAAAACACTCAACTGCGCGAGCAGCATCGTCGTCTTAAATTGCTACCCACATTCCTCTTACGCTCTTCGATCCCATTCCTCATCTCTCATCAGCATCAGCATAACTTCGCAGTCAAAATCAAAATCCAACGCAAACAACGCCCGAACGCTGCAAAAAAGGGGGTATTCTCAACAACAGCAACAACAGTAGCAGCAGCATCAAGTGCGCCAGACAAACAATGCAATGGCTTTTCCCCGACCCCATCCTTGCTGAGAATACCGCTGTTCCGGACAGCAACCACCCTCCGCATGCCTCCCTCTACCCAAAAGCCAAAGCCGCCTCGGCCCTCTATTGTAGAAAGAGAGGAGAGAGGAAGGGGAAAGGAAGTAAGAAGACCCCTGAAATACGAGATGAGCGCGAGCGTAAGACAGAAGGATTCATCACTGCCGAACGCCTCGGTCTCCAGCTCTCTCAGTTTCACCAGATCGAATCCTGCCGTTTCGCATAAAAGCCATGATGGAAGGGTTGTGATTAGATAATAATGCTCTCAAGAGACGAGTTCTGACAAGAAGTCGGAAAGCCTGATTCGCACAATAATGCAGGAAGATGCAAAGTGCGCAAGGTCCACGGTGCTGCAGAAGAAAAGAAGGTCGAGTAAACGATCATCTCTTCTTCGGTCGAGCAGCGAGATTGCCACCAGCGAACCAAGCAGCAAGAGGCGAAATCTCCTTCGACTTGACACTCTTGCTGCGAGCTTTGGTCTTGTCCTTTGGCTTGTCCATGACAGGAGAGATTCCAGGCGGGAAGCCAAATGGATCCGGGTATGCCCCAGCCGGGCCAGGTGGAGGCGGAGGCGGCATCCCACCCATGCCCATACCCATGCCAGGAGGTGGAGGTGGCACCATGATCATGGAGTCTGGGCTACTGGGCTTCTTGCCCTTCTTGCCAGCATCTTTGCCTTTCTTGGCTTTCTTGCCCGGCTCAGGTGGCATCGCATCAAAGGCTCCGAGGCCTCCGAGGCCAAATGAACTGAATGGGTCGTTGAGGGAACCAACGAAAGGATCTTCCTTTGGAGGCTTCTTCTCTTCTTCCATCGGCCAAAGATGCATTGTGACTTCCCAGTCAGGCTGGATCATCGAGTCCCAGATTTGTGGTAGGATGATCTCTCCATCAGGTCCCGTGAGATCGTAGTGACCTTGGTGAACATGATCGCCAATCACATCGACATGCAGGAACGCCTGCTTGATCAAAGTCTCCATTCCCTTCCAGGTTTTGCAAATAGCCCATGGGAAGCTGAATTTGCGTCCAACGGCATCCTTGAATCGAATCGGTGCTTTCAGAGAGTCTGGCGTCGGCTTGTTCTTCGCCGCTTCCTCTTCCAATGCCTTCTTCGCTTTCTCGGCCTCGTCTTTGGCCTTTTGAGCTTCTGCCAGTTTCGCTTCGTGCTCTTCCTTTGCCTTCTTCACAGCAGCTTCGTGCTCGTCTTTGGCCTTCTTCGCAGCAGCTTCAGCCTCCTCTTTAGCCTTCTTCGCAGCATCTGCAGCCTTTGATTCAGCGTCGTCCTTCGCCTTCTTAGCGGCCTCTGCAATCTCAGCCTTGCGCTTCTTCTCCTCTTCGGCTTTTGCCTTCTCGGCAGCCTTTGCAGCAGCCTCGGCTTCACGCTCAGCGATCCACGCTTTCTCTCTTGCAACACGCTCTTCCTCATGCTTCTTGATGAGCTCTTTGAGTGCAGCGATTTCATCATTCTTCGCGCCGGCGTCTTTTGTATCTTCCTCTTTTTTCTTCGTCAACATCTCTTTCAACTGCTCAAGATCCTTGTTCTTCTCAGGAGCAGCAGGTGGCGGTGAGGTCGCAGGCGGAGGAGGATATCCAGGCATTCCTGGCGGGTACATGGGATAGCCTGGCATGCCGTATGGATGGCCATAAGGCGAAGGGTAGCCCGGCGGTTGGTACGGCATCATTGCTTGTTCGGGTGCGAAATGTGTTGGTGCTACGAAACTTTGCGGTCTGCCACGTCGGCCGTGCACGTCAACTTCGGAAGGATGTCGTTGTGGTGGCGGCGGTGGGCCCATGTGAGGCATGGGCGGTTCTGGTGCGCCGCCAAAATAACTCGCACTGTCGTTGGGCATCGGTGAGAAGGGATTCGGCTGTGCTTGGTGTGCAGCAAACGGGTTCGCGTGCGAAGGGTAGCCAAAGGCATCTCGAGTTACGAGTGCCTGGCGTGGATCATGGTATGGATCTGGGTAGCCCGCTGAGGGACCCGACGCCATTGTCGGTGGGTAGCCACCATGGCTTCCAGGCGGCACATGTCTGTAGCCGGGATAAGGTGCGCGAGGCATGCCAGGGTGGCCATACGGTGGGTAGTCGTCAGCCACGGTTCCTGCGCTGGACGAGCCGTCCGAGAGCTCACGCCTCGACGAGCTGCGGTCGCGTCGACGTTCGTGGCGGCTTTCGTGCCTGGAGTGGTGTCGTCGCGAGGAACGATGCCGAGGCGGACTTCTCTCCTCTCGCTCTACTTCTCGATGTGTCCTGCGAGAGGAGTGCCGCCTGGCAGGTGGTATCGGCACCTCCACTGTCGGGCGGCGGGAGTGTGGTCCGCGTGATCGCGAAGCTGAGTCGGACGGGTCAATTTCGTCCTCGTAGTCACCGTCGCCAATGTTGTCCCAGCTCGAGTCGCTGGAGGAGGGACTACGGCTGCCGCCGCTCGAAAGTGGTGAACGTACTGATGCGCTGCCGCCGGACGATGTGTGGCCTCCAGGAAAGACGTGTATCACTCGATCCGCTCCCGTCCGTACAGAGAATGAGGCTGTACTCTGTCTGCGAGGTCGCTCAATGTCAGCTGAAGACTCCTTCGGTGCACTTGTGCGCGGAGGGGAAACCCTAGTTGCGCCTTTCTGCGGAACGCGGGTGGCCATTGGGGCAGGATGGCCTCGGACGCGAAGCAGGTCAAGTATGTGGGTGAGGAACAGAGAATGGGATTTTACTTACGCCCGCGACATCGATCAGAGCAATGTATAGGCAAGCTCAATCCTGGCCTTGTTACTGTCAGCTACAAGGACAAGGTCAAAAGGCCAACCAGTGGTCTGCCGTAGCTTTCTGGAGAGCCCAGGTGAATGGGTGGTCCCGCGTCACAGTATTGCCCAAAGGGTGCTACGGCGACGTCGTAGCTTGGGGACTGCCCTACCACGTACCGGATTCTGCTGCACGTCAAGCCTCGGAGTGACCTGGTCGACGTGACACAATTCTCCGACAGTGAATATTCGTTGAGAGGTGGTCGCCTTTGCGGTCGGTCGGTGATGTGGCCGTACTGCCCCAGGATGGCAGCGTGGGAGAGGGCGGCGGGAGCGAGGGGTATAAACACAGCCCTCCGGATTGCTGTAATTGCGAGGCGCTGTCGGTCCAGGATTCCCTAGACGCGAAAGTCTGGCTGGCAGAAGCCGAGAGGTCAATTCCTAGCCGCCAGATCTTAAACGGCTGGTCTGTGTGAAACGTCTCGTCAAGCTTCGTACGAAACTTTGGCGCGTTTTGGGCAACGACGTCGCGCGACTGCCGTGCAGCAGTTGGTGACGGCGATGGCCACCAACAATGGCGATGACAGGTGGAGTCGTGCGTGTGCGTGGTGCAGCAGCAGCAAAAGGTTGTTGTGTGTTTGGTCGCCCCTCGCGGCAGCGCAATGATGCAATGGGGGGAGCGGGAGTGTCCAGCAGAAGATCGCGGGAGATCACTCTCGTCTCGGCGGGCTCCTTCGCTGCTGCGATTGGCGATAAGGGGGCTGACAATGGCAGATTGCGGTCCAGTGCTCGGTGCGGGGTGATTCGTGTATATCAATAGATCCAACGTGCACTCCTCTCGTGACTCTGCAGGCTCCGGCGCGAGATCAATTTCGCGCGCGCGCAAACAGCAACAGCGGCGTGGAGCGAAAATCGAACGGGGGCGCAGGGTATAAGACGAAGCGGCGGGAAAAACCGCTGCAGCCTGCACGCAGCGTGGTAGTTTGCAGTAGTGCCAGCAACTGCTTAGGCACGAAGGCTGCAACACACGGACAGTGGGTCTGACTGCGATGCTGATGAGTGCTGACCGGTGTAGACTGGATGCGCTGGGTGGTGGGAGTTTGTGAGCGAGCAAGAATGGCTTGTCCTGCTCGAAAAGCCTGGCTGGTTCCAATGCTGGGTCCGTTGGCCAAGTAACAACCTTTCTCCAAGACAAGTCAGCCAGTCGTGTCGCGGGCCGACACAGAATCACCGGATGCAAGAATATGCGCGACAGCGCAGGCAGGCAAGCGTGGTACGCAGGTGGCCGTCCAGTCTCTCACTGTACTGCTGTCCGTGGTGCAGGCGCCCTCCTCAGTCTTCGTAGTTCGGTATGTCGACGTGCGAAGGAGCCTGAAAGCATGGATGATTGCTGTAGTTGAGTCGGGCGGAGAAAAGTATCGCCCGGGCAAACACACGCAGGCAATTGCTGACCAGATGAGGCGCAAGTCGGTGGCAAGATGCTGAGTAGCAAGGTACAGTGGTTGGTATCGCAGGAAAGTACTGACTTGCTGGTACCGAAGAAGGTGTCGCGAAAGGGAAAGCTGCCCGGAGCGAGGAAAACGTGCAATCAATCGAGCGGGAATGCGGCGAGTTTTCCTTGCGATGCAATGACGGATCTGTGTCACCCAGCACCCCAAACACGACCAGCGCAGCGCAGCGAAGAAAATGCCAGCTGGCTAGGCAGAGAAAATACCCACCCTTGCAATTCGCGACCCAAGCTGCAGCAGAGATGGATGCAGTATGTATACCCAATCCGCCGCACGTGCTACTGGCAACCAGTGACCAGTCTCAACCGCCTCTCCATTTTTTGGGCGCCGACGACCAGAAAGATAACAAGCAACATCCCAGCAAGATTCCCCAGCCCGTTCTTTGACAGACCGCTGCTCCAGCCTCCAGATACCCAGAAAAGAACACCAGCCAGCCCTATGATACCACGTTCTCTCTCTCCACTCCATGTACCACATGAATAACGCCCCAAAGCCGAGACATTCCCGTTCCCGTTTCAAAGCAATTGTTTCTGCATTCATACAATAATCGCGCCACATGTCTCGGTGATACGAAACGCAGGCTGCGAAGCACGAAAAGCGTTGGCCAGGAAGCAAAAGCACCACTGGACTTCTTTTCCTTCATCATGCATCTGCCCGGCGGGTTCGGGCAGAAGCCAAGCCTAACCACTCTAGCTACAGTAGCTAATCCAGGACAGCCACGTATGGACGCCCAACACTAGGCTAGGGAACGACGTGCATGTACAACTTCGTCATTGGGCGACAAGAATCACTTGTTTCGGGTTGTTCATCAGTACAGTCATTCTGATGAGCCAGTCGTGAACTTGCATGCAGTAGAAGCGAGTGGCAAGTCGTGGAAGATTGGATTGGTGAAGGCAGATGAGATGGATGGAAGAGTTCGGGTTGGGCTGGCGCTGGCGCTTAAGCATCTCTACGCTTCTTCTTCGGCATTAATATGCATGGAGAATTCGATCCTCCAGGATTCGTTCAAGGCATTGTTCATTCATCTCTTTCGTGTTTGCGTCGTACTACTATCTGGGTATCATGTGGCGAAGAACGTGGTGGTTGTAATATACAAGAGCGGTGAAGGATGGAGCACGCAAGCCTGCAAGCCTCGTGTACCTCTTCGAACAAGGATGAGCACGCTCGCGTGCATGAATGACTGCAGGACCTCCGTGACTCCGTCCAACGCATCATCCGTGAGCAAGGTCGTAGATCGTATCATTCGTGGAGTCTCGTCCCAAGCAAATGGTCGTGCCTGTCGGTGTCCAAACTGTCGGATTCTCGACAGTCCAGGCCATCGCGTGGGAAAATCCTGTCGAGTCAGAGAGTACACCGCATGGGGCGAAAAATGGCTTTGACGGGGTTGTAATCATTCGCCGAGAACGAGGTCGACGTTTTCCAAATCCTCCATTTCCGTGTTGCCGACTACATCGTCCGGGTCGAGGCGATCTCCATCGAAGGAAAGATATGCGGGCTGGTCAGCTGAGACGCCCATCCGCTTCTTCGCGTAGTTGATGATCTTGGAGATCTTCGTAGTCTGAAGATCCACGTGTTAGCTGGTTCGGATATGCCTGGGCATCTAATCCGACTTACCGAAAACACCTCCACGTTGACAGGCCGCTGATCTTTTCCTCGCACAATCACTTTCACGCCCTTTCTCTTCTGCTGCTCTTCCTCAGCAGCTGGCTCAGTTTCGACCTCGGGCTCGTACTGAGCGCTCTCAGCCTTCGCTTGCCGTAGTTTCTCGGCTTTCTGCTTATCCAGCAGCTCCTGAGTTGTGGCCACAACATGAACTTGCGCAGCTCCATCGGCATCCCGTTGATCTGCGCGCGCGACATTCCCTTCTGAATCGACCTCGAGTCCGAGTCGCTTGCAGGTGGTGAAGTCATACATGCGTATTCCATTCCAAGTGAAGAAGACCTTGTCACTGAAATCCTGAGGAAATCCTTGCTTCCCACACCAAGCCCGCCGGACTGTGCCCAGATCCTGTGACATCTTTCGTTTGACCAGGAGCTCCACTGCGTCTGGTATGTCCGTTGTTATAAAGAGCGAGATGATGGGGTCGGGTGGAGGAGGCGTGGGTAGCCCTGACATATTGTCTCCCTCCGAGTTACCTGCACCCGGAGTCGCCGACCTGAGCTCTTCTTGCTGCTTCTTCAATCGGTGCTTCTCCCTAGCCTTTCTCTGTAGGGCTGCGATCTCTGGGTCTGAATCTTCTTCCTCTTCCTCCTCCACCACCGGTGCCGGCTTTGTAGTGCTCTTCACAATCTCCACTTCACTCTCTGTTTCTGGGTCTTGCTCTGTTCTCCCCAGCGTACTCCGACTTCTGCCTCCAGCAATGGCGTCCTTCGTACGTTTGGTTGTCGGCGATCGGCGAATAGGCAGCGAGTCCTCTGGCTCGTACACAATCTGTTCGTCCTCGGTATCGCTGTCGATCGTCACCGGCTTGATTCCAACAGACGCCAAAAGCTTTGCACTCTCTTCTGAATTGATGCGCCTCTTTTTGACAGGCTCATTCTTTGAATTACGCTCGAGGCTCTCCCGTTTGACTCCACTCTTACTGTCCGTCTTCGCAGCCTTGTTTTTGCGCCGCTGCGCTTTCTCCTCTTCTTTCTGCTTTGCTCGTTCCTTTTTTCGCTTCTCCTGCTCCAGTCTGTCGCGTTGAATTGCCATGAAGTTCTTGCTGTGACTGAACAAGTCCTGGTCATCGTCCTCATCGTCGCTGTCGGGTTTCGATTGCGTTTTCGCCCATGAGGGCGCTTTGAAGAACGACATCGTGGTAACGGCGGCTCCTGCTTGCAATCGTAGGATGTTGCGTCGGTAGCATTAGTGGTCAGTGGCGCGAGTGTCGCGAGAAGTCGATGCGATCAACAACAGTGAATTGAAGGTGGAGCACACTGAAAGCCTGTGCCACGCGATCGACGCGAAACCTTAATTGAGTCCGTGCTTCACACACGCGTGCTCACATGCTGGGATCTTCTCATCACTTGAACTTCCACTTCCACCTTCCATTTTATCAAGAGACCGGACGTTAATAGAGAGACATCGCTCTTCTTGAAATTCGCTTGCGTATGCTGTCGATGAAACGAGTAACGAATGCAGCACTTCACAACACAATGCCAGACAAAATTCTTCGGAGCAAGATCTGAACGGCCATTCCAACTCACAGCAAGCCAGCTAACATCGCAACAACCAAGCCGAATGCCACGAACCAGCTGCCAACTCCCTCCCTTCTAGAACCACTTTCACTTCCCAGCATCTCAAATTCACGACATTCGCCTTCAGGCTGGCCATTCTGAAACACATTCTGCACAGCAAAACTTTGAATCGCATACGGCAAAATCCTACAATCACCTCCAGCAGCACCACTCTGACAAGTCCACTCATAAATCGGCGGTTCCATCGCATCCTGTCCCGCTAAAGGCGGCAGCTTTGAACACTCCCTCCCGCCGTAGACATACAACCTTAAAGCCGCATACTTTCCCTCACCTTGCTCTCCGTTCCCGGTAGCATTAGTCATGTTGCTTCATGAGCATGCTGAGAACGTATCAGCTACCCGGATCGTGATATGGTCGCGGATCCACGACCCGGCGATGCTCTGTGGCTTGCACCTTCACTCAGCAACAATTTCTGGTCATCGATACTGTCATTGATAGCAGTCTCTGCTACCATTAGTCACCTATCACGCTCAATGATGAAAGTGAGGTGAATATCCGAGCCCAAATCCCTGGACAGCCCCGACACGAGCAATGGTACACATGGATCGGGTTATATACGTCTGTAATCGCACAGGAGCTTCCACTGAGTCGCGTTTGCCAAGCATGGCAGCAGTTGTTGTTGAATTGTATCAGTTGGTTCTTCAAGCTCAGTGCTGGAAGGAACTTGCCCGCTGGCTACCTGACCTGCTTGTTTGAGTGAGCTGCATGCTTTGTACAGCCGCGAGGAACAGGGCCAACGCACTCATATACGCATACTTTGGACAAACACTGCGCATGCAAAGATTGATACCCCACGAACACCCGAGACTAGAAGCCACATTCTACTTGCGTACAAGTCGCAGCCTGCTGAAGCTTACGGGTGGATTGGAGTCAAACATCCAGCTCGTCAATCGAATAATGGATCTATTGATGATCACATACTGGGTGCGGCCGAGAGATCTTGCTCGGTCAACCACATAGTCACCGCAGCAAAGAACGACTCGTGAAGCATTGATTGCTCATCATTCTCCCTGTATGTCACTTCGGCTTGGCAAGCGAGGAACCTGGTACTGATTGTAATCTTTACCGCCAAGATCCGGCATGCCTACGACGAGCACATGGCTTTCATCGCGTGATTGCTGAAGCCTCAGGACTGGGAAGAAGACACTTTCCATGCTGGCACAACTTGATCCGCTCCCTAAGCCCTGACTGATTGACAGAGTTCTGCACAGCACGCCTCCGTCGGTGAGTGGAACACTCTAAGACAGTGATAAAGAAATTGATGCATCCCAGTTCCAACGCACATACTGAGTTCAACTATGTTGATCATTGGACACCACCTTCGCTCATGCCATAGGTTCTTGCTCTAGCACGTCTACTTCCAAAACCTACCCTGCAAGAGGTCGCTGCACTTTGACCAGGGAGAACATTACCATATAGATGTCTTTGTCTATCCGCCCGTTCAGCCTGACATACCACAACGGCACATGCTTTACTGAGCAAAGGACCAGTGACATCCCTTCCTGGCTACCAGAGTGAACGAGCTTCGACGATATTGTCTTCGTGCATGTTGATTCGAGCCAGGTTGAGGTTTGACAAGAGCAAAAGTCGGCCTCTGTATGCCAGAATGACTTCACATCGGAGGACACATGTTTCATCCACGTAAGGACCCCATAAAAGTGGTCGTCGATGGGAAATCTCGACACCGCAACGCACAGATAGTATGAGTTTGATCATCTCGCTCGCCTATTGACTCTGCAAAGTTCTGTACGAATGTACAAGGCATTCACTTGGCAAAGAAAAGAGACGAACTTGTGTCCAAGTATCCTCATACACTGCTTAATGAAATGTGTTACCAAGAGGGCGGTTCATGCAAGGGGCGAAGTTAGCCTTGTTGCCCTTTTTGCTCCTGCTCCAACCATGCTGTAGATACGATGATCATTTGAGATAAAATGGCTCCTTCTACCATGCCTTCATGGCGTCTGAATACGACAATTGAGCCAACATGGGCCAAGACCATCATTTTGCTCATTATCGGCTATGTTGCGTACAAATACTTCCAGGCTTCAGCAAAATACAATGCGAGAGAAGGTCTGTGGTCTCAAGAAAATAGCTAATCTACCTCTCAGCCCGACCTGCTTTACAGCGAAGACCATGGCTGCAAACCAGCTACCTGGATCATGCCATACAAATGGCCGTTGGCACTGGATGTCCTCACGAAGGGTTGGCAAGCCAGAAAACAGAGAAAGCTCCTCGCCATGTTTGATCAATACTTCGACGCTCTGGGTCCGACTGTGCAAGTTTCCATTCTTGCAGGAAAGGGGTACGCAACAATGGATCCCGACAACATCGAAACCATACTGTCCACCCGCTTTGAAGACTTCCACTTGGGTCCACGCAATGCTGCCATGAAAGCCATGATCGGCGAAGGCATCTTTACGCAAGATGATCAGGCCTGGAAGCACTCCCGCGATTTGCTGCGCGGGAACTTCGCTCGAATGCGTTATCAAAATCTAGAGGGCTTCAGAGAGCATGTCGAAAACTTGGTCTTCACGCCTAAGCCGAGAGCTCCAGGTATAATCGATCTGCAACCACTCCTCTTTCGTCTGACCCTAAATACAACGATTGCCGTGGTGTTGGGTCAACCGATTGACAGCTTCAACCACGAAGTTGACGATGGGTTCTCGGAAGCGTTCGATAAAGCTTCATTGGTCACAGCTACCCGCGTGAAATTGGGAGACTTGTGGTTCTTGTATGCGCCGAGAGGGTTCTTCCAGGCGTGTAAGACGGTAAAAGACTATACTGAGCAATTCGTGCAAGCCGCGCTCAGGTCCGACACATCTCAGCAAGACAAAGACTCGGACACTTTGCTCAGCGTCATGAAAAGAGAGTACAGCAATATCGAGCTTGTCCGAGACCAGGTCACGAACGTCCTTATTGCCGGTCGTGATACTACAGCGACTACCATGTCGTACGCGTTGTGAGTAGCATGGGTTTCTTCCATCGACGCGGCTGACTTGTCCACAGTCGTCTTCTGATCAGGCACCCGGAAAAGCTGCAGAAACTTCGCGCAGAGGTTGAAGAA